TACCACTTTCCCCATTATTATTAGGAGCTCATAGGCAAGTGTATTCAGGGGTCCTGTGTGAAACCCCTGCATTCTCAAAAATATGCTCCCTGTCAAATCAAGTGCTGTTCTCTGTGTGTTTTTGAATCTTCCCAGACTACAAAGGTGTGCCCACATGGAGATTATAGGAAAAGAAGGAATTTATTAGAAAAAATAACACGATTTTAACAATAAAGCTTAACAGTATACATTTACAGCACTAGGTGCACATAACGCAATATTCTAACACAAGCATGCATCTAACTTAGAAAAAAGGGAAGAAACTGTTGCAAAATTTACCTATCCTAGCACTCAGTAAAGCACTTCTGAAACCGTGTGTGTGTGTATGTGTGTGTGTGTGTGTGTGTTTGTGTTTGTGTTTGTGTTTGCAGGTGATAGAAGAGCTGGGATCAGGCATTGAGCTCAGGAGTGTATACCCAAAGTGATTTCAGATGTAATGACACTTGCAATGTGGAACTATTTATGATAATTATAAAAATCCAGAATGCAGCAGCTAGACCGGTGACTGGGAGCGGCCGCTGAGACCACATAACATTGGTCTTGAAAGACCTACATTGGCTCCCAGTATGTTTCCAAGCACAATTCAAAGTGTTGGTGCTGACCTTTAAAGCCCTAAACGGCCTTGGCCCAGTATACCTGAAGGAGTGTCTCCACCCCCATCGTTCAACACTGAGGTCCAGCGCTGAGGGCCTTCTGGCAGTTCCCTCATTGCGAGAAGCAAAGATACAGGGAAGCAGGCAGAGGGTCTTTTCGGTAGTGGTGCTCACCCTGTGGAACGCCCTCCCATCAGATGTCAAAGAAACAAACAACTGCCTGACGTTTAGAAGACGTCTGAAGGCAGCCTAGTTTAGGGCAGATTTTAATGACTGATTTTTTAATGTATTTTTAATCTTTTGTTGGAAGCTGCCCAGAGTGGGCGGGGTATAAATAAATCATTATTATTATTATGGTTATTTAACAGATAGATAAAGGTAAAAGATGCAGCAAATTTAATCTTAAACATGAAAGCCATGGAGGGAGGGAGGGAGGGAGGGAGGTCCAAAGGTTCAAAAGAACCTTGTACTTTAATGTTTGAAATGGTTATGTTAAAATGTATAAAATTATGAAAAAACCTCTCTCTCTCTCTCTCTCTCTCTCTCTCTCTCCACACAAACCAAAGTGATTTCAGATCTTTATTAAAATAGGATTACAGGCATAGACCCTTCAACAAACCTTAGGTTTGAAGTCCAGTGGCAAGTTAAAGATGTTCCTGAGGTGTGCAGAGAGGTTGCTCAGAGGGAGAATAGCCCCTCAATCACTTCTGAGCTCCGGCCCCTGAGTCTCAGATGCTGTTAGTCACCTTCCCAGAAGACCCACTGGAAACATGTAATACAGAGTACGGCATTCTGTGGCAACCATGACAGCCTATACCTATGCTAGGGCCTGCTTTTCTTTTGAAACCTTCAAGGCGTGGGTAACAGTTCAGCCCTGTGCCTCCCTCACTGGGGAGGCTGATAATCTACAATACCTCATCTCCCTTAAGGAGAAGGGGCTGGCCATCAAGACCATGGCCTGACCCCTGCAATCACTTCCACATGCACAGGTTGCTAGAAGGTTGGTGCCGAGGTCACCCTCCAGCCCTAGACACTAGAAAACCTATCAGTTATAACTGCCTTATGAATATTTGGAAAGTGCCTGTTCCTTGGCATTTCTTGGCACTCTATGTGTCAGGAAGTGCACTGCTGCCCCCCATGAGCCCAAGGGGATCATGATAGGGGATGTGCACCTCTCCCACTCATCCCTCAGGGTTCGTGTGTGAACCTCAGAAAACTGACCAGCTAGGTAGAGGGGCTACAGTCCATCTGAAGGCCTCCCCCCACCCAAGACTCTGCCCTGTGGTAGACCTAAAAAAATTCATTGGTGCAAGGCCAGCCAACCATGGCCCGCTCCTAGTGCATGCAAATGGTCCTCGTCTGTCCAGGGGCCAATTCACGGCTGTACTTAAGAAGGCCATCTTCACGTGCAGGATAGACCCTTTAGAGTATGCCACCATTCCTTCCACATAGGTGCAGCCACCACAGCCTTCTGTTGTTGTTTCTCCTCCGCCTGCACAAAATCCCTGGATGGGTGGTGCTCATCTGCCTACAGGCATTACACTGGAACTGCTGGTCTCACTCTTCCCTGTTGATGGTTTTCTGTTCAGGTGCTGGCCGTGAGAAGGTTTGGATTTGTGACCACAGTATCATGCAGTGGGCCCAAGGGCACACATCTTCAACATCTTGGAGTGCTCAGTTTGGCTTGGATGACAGCACCCGTATCACATGGTTGGGTCAGAGGGGCATGCATTGGGATGACCTAATGCAGTGGCTTACATCTTGATTCACAGTTTGTGGTCTGCCAGATGTCTTGGTGATACAGCTGGGGGGGAAACAACCTAGCTGGCAGGAAGGGTATCAACCTCACCTTATCAGCAGCCTCAGACCAGGTGGTCCTTCACTCAGTGCATCCCCAGATGTTCATCCTGTGGTTGGAGATGTTGGAATGGCAGCAATGGTAGGATGTTATGGAGCCTGCATGCATAAACTGGGCATGAAAAGGATGAACGGGACAATGCTGTGTGTGGTGTTGCAATTTGGGGCTGGGTGATTTGGCACCCTGGTATAATGTTTGACAAGGCAAAACTGTATAGGTCTGATGTAGTGCACCTGCCTCCCATGGGGAATGAGGCTTGGTTGCTAGACACCGGTCATGAACACATCTGCCCCAAGTAGCTCTCTACAGCATGAGTTAGGAAGCAGCCAGCAGCAGGAAAGCTTGCATTTCTCTCAGACAGCAGATACGATGTTAGCAGAGGGTGGGATGGAGAGAAGCCAACTTGCTCAAGAAGCACAGGCAGGCTCGGAAAGCAGGAGGGGGAGCGTTTCCTCACCGGAAGAGGGGGCAATTAATCCTATGAGCCCAAGGAGTAGACGTATGGGAAAGGTATTAGACAGGAAACAAAACCAGAAATATAAGGGTCATAGGTTCAGGATATTTTGCAGAAGCAGGAAGAACTCATCAGAAGGGTCAACTGAATCATAAGGTATGGAAGCTCCGATAGAGCGTCCAAGGCTGATAGTTTGTTTTACAATAAATCTTCCACCTAATTACAACTTGTGTGCTGTGCTATCAAGATGGCAGCCTGGGCTCCTGACAACACCTACTGGAGCCTATGTGATTGGTTGCAGATGTGAGTGGTTTGGTGGTGAGAGGTGAGAGGCCAACTCGAGTGGCAGAAAAAGACATTGGGTTGGATCCTTAGCCCAGGAAAAGTGGGTGGGTAGGAGACCAGCCCCCCTCACCACTCGTCAAAGTAAAGTGCACATCATAGGGTGATCCTTAAATCCAGGATTGAGTCTACAAGCTTAATCAACCAGCAAATGTACAGGTTAATTCAAGATCCACGCCCAATGTCTATGCCAAAGCCTACAGACATCTGTAATCAGTAAAATTGTTCCCATTTTCATCCCAAGGCACTGTGTTGTATTCATTTCTACCTATCACATCCGTGACCTTGGGCTTACTGCGCCTGGGCCCACAATATAAAAATCAACAGTGTGACACTTGATGATCAGAATGGATCCTATGAATCCATCATAAATGTTTGCACAACAATTGTGCATTCTGCTGACTACATCCTCCATTTCGTTGCATAATTAGCATGGAGCTGATGTATAAGCATTCTATGGCATTGTGCAAACTGCCCAAGATGGTAACACATCAACATAAAACTGGAGCACACATATCCACATGGATACTCCCTAAAGACTTGCACTAATTGCATATGCAAGGCGATAATTCATCAATTCTAACTGTAATGTTTCTGAAGAGGGTAACAGTTATGTGCCATCTGTATTGTGGTGCTGAATAAATGGGAGAAGGCATGCACGTATTTCCTTCTTTGAGCTTTAACATGTTTGCATTTGGAAAGACTTGAAGAAAGTTGAGAAGGAAGAGCGGTAGGAATCAACATAATCTTCATTGCTAACTGAACTGTGATGTGTCTCCCTTTAATAAGCTTTTAGGATGTGATAAATGTTCATCAGCTGAGCTTCATAACATGAATATTTGATCTATTTACTCCAGCGATTGCCAAGAATGTGCGGAAATAAATAGAAGAAAAGCAATCTCTCCTATTAGTTGTTTGCAGGGTCACATGAAGTACTTGATTTTAGAAATGACAACCAGGATACTTCTCTTAATCATAGCTGATCTCCTGAATCCCCTATCCTCAAGTTGATAATCTGTTTATGGGCGCATCTTCTTAGTTCTTAAAACTCTGTGCTTCAAGGCCTTCTAGATGGCCCCTAGTTAAGGAACAATTCTATGCCTTGTGCCATTTTCAACAAACCCCACTAGAGTCTCAATAGCGGCCTAGAGGCCCATTACCTCCTTACAGAGCGAAGCCACACTTCCAAAAATTCCATCAAACATGTGTTGAGGTAGAAAACAATGAATTCATGGAGCCTCCCACAGTTCAGGGCCCCCACTCTCATCTGTTCACTAAGTTTCTGTGGCAGAAGTCTCTTTGCCTATAGCTAGTGTAGTTTTAGCCTGGGGGATTGGTATTGTGCAGGGTCATTGAAAATAAAGGGCTGGGTTCATGGATCAATTAATCATCTCATCAGCAGTGGCAGCACCATACTGTCCCCTGCAGTATGGTGATCCATACTGAAACCAGGGCTGTCAGAACTATTGAGGGAACCCACATATCAATCGAGCAGTGGCTGATTTACATCCAGGTGCCTCGTGTTTGCAGTTCCATTCCTGGTTAGTAAGTTGTTACCTGTCCCATAAATGGCCAATATAGATTTATGCTGCTGACAGCACCCTGTTTTTTTAGCCTTTTATGAACAGTAAGGATGGGGAGTACAAAGTTCTTCTTTTGGCCGACTTTCTTCAAAGTTAATTGATGGACTAGCAGGCACTGGCTGATCTCCCAGATGCTGAGTTATTCCAGCAACTCCAATGCGGTAAATAAAAAATTGGAAGATAAGATGGTGAATCATTACAGATAATATGAAAAGAAGAGTATGCTTCTCTCAACTTTCAACATTCACATGGCTCACTAGATAGATGTGTTCTGGGCAAAAGATGACCAATAAGCCATGTGATTTTAATTCTGAGATGCTCTTTCAAGGGATTAGTGACTAGTTCAAGAAGCCACTCAAAGCCTTAAGTCAGTCCGTGGCACCTTTTTCTCACTCTGCTTTTTTACCTCCATTTCAACACATTCCTGGAGACTAGCTGCCTTTGATCTTTTAGATTTTGTAAGTTTAATTGTTTGGGAACCTTGGCCTGTAGCTATCCACTACTTATTCAGAAATAGCCTCTAAGTCATGTCCTGCAGGTTTTTATATTATGGGTTGCTACAGTTCTCTCAGCTATGCTTAGGGCCACCCAGCACTCCTGGAAATGACAACAATCTCAAGCTACTTGCTGGACTGATGGATGGAGTTGTGCCAAAGTATCGAAGGATGCCAGACCATGCAGTCAATCTAGTAGAAAATCTCATGGGGATTTCATCGGAACATAACAGCTGTATATCTGTACAATCTTTATATACAGGGGTCATTTTACATTCCCTAGTCTGGAAGGAGTTAACCTCATTTTGGATTCATATATTGCCTTCAGCTCTTTAACATACAATGCTTTGGAGTAGGATTCATAGGTTCTTATATATTCATTGATTTAAACATAAAGATGATGCCCTAGTGTTTGTTCTTCTTTAGAAATTGGAGCCACTGAATTATTTTCAAATGCTACATCATCAAGCCCAGTTAATTTGCAACTTTTGTAAGTTTATCCACTCGTAATTTGAAGTGGTCTAAAAAAGGAATCATGCCCACACCTTATTTTGAATTGGCACTGTTTTATTATTGGGTAATTGGCTCTTCCAATCTATTCCCTTGCCAGAGTAAAGAACACTTTAGTATTTATATAACCAGTAACCCATTAACTTGTTCAGGTTTTTGAGTTTTTTAAATTATCCTTGTTGAAGGATTATATTACCCTTTAATGCCAGCACATTGAAGTTAGATTCCTTTTTTTATTCTGAAAAGCTTATTCAGTTGGTTCTTTTGACATGGGTACAATGTGATGAAGCCACAATGGGTTTATTTCTTAGAACTACAGTAACTTGTCCAGTGGTACATTAAGTTTCATATGCAGTTAAAAAAAAAAAGGTAAAGGACCCCTGGACAGTTAAGTCCAGTCAAAGGCGACTATGGGGTTGCGGCGCTCATCTCGCTTTCAAGTCGAGGGAGGCAGCATTTGTGCACAGACAGCTTTCCAGGTCATGTGGCCAGCATGACTAAACCGCTACTGGCGCATGGAGGACCATGCCAAGTGCCAGAACACACGGAAACACCATTTACCTTCCACCACAGCGGTACCTATTTATCTACTTGCACTCGTGTGCTTTTGAACTGCTAGGTTGGCAGGAGCAGGGACAGAGCAACGGGAGCTCACTCCGTAGCGGGGATTCGAACTGCCAACCTTCTGACTGGCAAGTCCAAGAGGATCAGTGGTTTAGACCACAGTGCACAAGTAATATGTTTATTTATATATTATCAATTCAAGTATTCTCTCCACAGAGATTCTTGTGTTGTGGGTGGAATAAATGTATTTTCTGTCTCATTTATAAAGGAAAAGAATGGAAGCCAAGTTTCACCAAAAGTGTCTATTCTTGAAGTGCCTTTAAATACCCTTCTGTGGTGAGTAAGGCATTCTGATAGGACCACATTCCAAAGATTTCAAGATTTCAATTGAGATTTCTATAGGTAGCTTCCAGAATCGGGCTATTGTTATTTGGGCTGCTGATAATAATATTAAATTTAAATTTAAATTTGAGATTATGCAAGAGCAGAACTGGGTGGAAGGGATTCCCAAAATGAGTATACCATCGTGCAACTCCACCATGCATGAAAATATGAGCATATCTCCCTACAGCCTTTCCAGCTTAGGGAATAGATGCTAGTCTTTATTTGGGCTAGACATGATGGAGCCCAGTGCCAGCAAAATAAAATTTTAAGAGAAGCCTCCTGCAAACGAGCAGAGAAGGTTCGTAGGGACGGGTTATGCCAAATTGATTGCCATTTATTATCTGCAATTATGTTCCCTACGTTTCCCCCCCCATATTGTCCGGAGGCCTCCTGTATCGCCTGCGTATTGTTCTAGAAGAATGCTATAAATTAAAGACGCAGCTCCTTTTATTTCATATATTGATTTGTTACAGAGAGACTCAAATGACATAAGAGAATGAAGGCCCTCCCTCTTGCATCCCAAGTATCTTGCAAATGTGCACAATTGAATAGATTGGAACCAGGTTCATCCAGTTTCTCCATGAGCTTATGCTTAGAAATTGCTTTATCTCTAGGCAGAAGGTCTCTTATCCGATAGACGCCTTTCTCCTCAAGTTTTTAAAATTGTCCATATTCATCCTCCTGTTGGAATAATGGATGGTCCAACAGTGAAGTCAGTGGTGAGGGTTTGGGGGCCAGAACTGAGTCCCATCAGCACTGCTTTAAAAAATGGGTTTTGAATTTTTCTCCACTCAGTTTGGGATAGTTTTAGGAAAGAAAATGCCCTTACTGACAGTGAAGAGGGAGAGGCCTAAATCTGTACCCATGGAATGTCATATTTCCCCCTAATCAAGGGGATCAGAGATTTAATCTGAAATGCTGCATAAAAGAGTCCTAGGTTGGGCAATCTGAGACCTCCCTTAGATCTATGCCTAAATAACGTTTTATAATTTATTCTAGATTTTTCCCCAGATGAAACAAAGAGAATTGGCTTTTGTTGCCATTTTTTAAGCAGAGATGAGAAAATATGGATGGGCAAAACCTGGAAAAAAAATGAAAACTTCGGAAGAATAGACATTTTAACCACGGCTATCCTGCCAAGCCAACTGAGATTTAAATGTTTCCATTGTACCAATTCTTGGGAAATATCTCTGAGCAGGTTTTTATAGTTTCTGCGACTAAGCTATTTTAGATCTGATGTTAAATTGATACAAAGATAACTAAAGCCACAATGACCAATGCTAAATTCTGCTTGTGATATTAGTTGCTCACAAGTCATTGTGGGTAGGTTAATTGGAAGAATGGCTGAAACTACCGGTACTTTATTTTGTACACAACTGTGTGATGCTTGATCACATGCACACAAATTCACAGGTATGCTTCTTATAATGTTTGGTGAAACTTAGCATGTAACACCCCCAACCAATGGCCTCATTACATGTTAACATGTTACTAGAGTTCACCAGACGTACATACTTTGGATGTACGTTTATAGCTTTGTGCTAAGCTTCATATATGCAAAAACATGCAGCCTCTGGTGTATTAAATGCTCATCCAAAGCCACCTTAAGCAACTCTATGCCCAAGTGACCACATCAATCAATCTTAAGATGGCAACTCTTTCTTATGCCAAGAACAGCAATTCCAAAAATACTTATAATAACAATATAATTTTAATTAGTTTGGAGGTTTAGAGTTAAATTTGCAAATACTTGTTTATAAGCACTTTACAATAGGAAACATTATCAATCCCATTTACTTCTCTTCCCACCCACCTATCCAAAACAGAACAGAACAGTGAGATATGAAAGCAATGCTCAGGAGGTCATTCAGCAATGACAACACCAGCAATAGCAATAGCACTCAAGAGGCCCTTGTGCCATACTCTGGCTTTCTTGAATAGCCCAGATTCTCTCCTTTAAGACCCTTGTGAAATTATTTATAGGGCATTTACTCACATAGTCTGTAGGACATCAAATATTTCTAATTATATCCAGTCATGTCAAATGACAATTATGCCTTAGCCAACTTTGCCAAACAATGCTTTACAGGGAAAGGTTAGCCAAAATGCCTTGAGTGAAGAATGGCTTGGGGGTGGGAGGACAGGGGCTGGTACTTGTGCTCATCCGAGAGTATAAAAGTGTCTAGGGCCAATTTGTGTTGTCCTTCCACAGATAGTTAATAGGTAAGTGTTGGGGGGTGATTGTGGGGCTCTGGAGGGGGGGGTAGCACCCCTGAATTCCACTCATGCCAGGCCATTCCTTATGCCTTTGCCATTAGCTCAGGAGAATTGACTATGTCAAACGGGATTTCAGATATGCTCCTTTGCTTCCAGTCAGTAATTCATTGTTGGAAGACTCTTTGAAAAGTCACCAGTAAGAAGAGATTTGCACTTTTTGTTTTGCAGTACTGGCCGGTGCTGAGCCTGAGCACTATTCATTTCGTATACCAGGAGGTAAGGCTCTGATTGTACCCATTCTTGGGGAAGGGGGAAGAGGTTCAAAGAAAGTCTCCTTTTGGATCTGAGCTGAGAATACAGGTGCAGTGCCCCTTGCTAATTATGTACCGCATGAAATATTTTATGGGTATTGTGTTCAGATTTTATTGCACAGTGTCCATGTTAACTGATCATGCAGTTCTGGCATATGAGGCATTACTAGCGAGTGCTCCTCCCCTCTAAGCACATGCTAGAAGTTCCAGCTTTTAATTGCCCTCTGCGACATTATCTGATACTTCCAGAGAAAATCTAATTGCAAAATGGGCAACCATCAAAGTGGGCAACAAGTTGGCATCCAGGACAAAGTGAATTCTCTAATGAATACCACTCTTTGAGAATGTGTACTGGAGTAGACTAGCAGCAATAACACTGTGTTTGACTGTTCCTTTATTTCAGGTTTAGTTTTGAGAAATGATAGTGAAAATCATGTCTTGCCTTCTCATTTATTTACATTATTAGTTAATATTATAACAAATTGAACAAATCTTAACAAATTGAACTAAAATTTTCTAACTGGGACTGCTTGAGAGCTACTTTATGATGTATATATTTAATTCCCCAAGAGCAGAATCCAAGCGGAAAGGAAAGTAATGTCTAGGGCTGAGCATGAACTTCCATCAGAATACAAAGGTTAGGATTTCTGATCCACAACCAAGAGTATACTCATCAATCAACAAGATAAGGGAGGAAAATGGAAGTTAACAGGGAGGGTGGCAGCTTAGTGTTTTGTATGAAAAGGTCCATGGTTCAATCCATGGCATCTTCAGGTAGGGCTGGGAGAGATGCCTGTTTCAAATCCTGGAAAGCTGCTTGTTGGTAAATGTAATACTGAACTTGATGCACCAATGGTTGGGCTCCATATGAGGCAGCTTCCTGGGTTACTGTGATGACTGGAGGCTAATTACATGGAAGCAAGCAAGGTGTAAAGGGATGTGGGTGGCGCTGTGGGTTAAACCACAGAGCCTAGGACTTGCTGATCAGAAGGTCGGCGGTTCGAATCCCCGCGACGGGGTGAGCTCCTGTTGCTTGGTCCCTGCTCCTGCCAACCTAGCAGTTTGAAAGCACGTCAAAGTGCAAGTAGATAAATAGGTACCACTCCAGCGGGAAGGTAAACGGCGTTTTTGTGCGCTGCTCTGGTTCGCCAGAAGCGGCTTAGTCATGGTGGCCACAAGACCCGGAAGCTGTACACGGGCTCCCTCGGCCAATAAAGTGAGATGAGCGCTGCAACCCCAGAGTCGGTCACGACTGGACCTAATGGTCAGGGGTCCCTTTACCTTTTTTAAGCAAGCTGGAGCTAGAAGCCAAAGAAACATATTCAGCTAGAGGCAGGAGGATAGAACAGCTTAAAACTAGAGCAAGAAATTCAGAGGGGAAACAAATTCAGTATGTTCCTAAAATCCAGTTTGTCTTGCAAACTTTCAAATTCATTTTCTAGCTGCTTGAAAGTATTGGTGCAATCATGAAAAGAAATAAAACAGAGCCATTCACGACTGAGTTGAGGTGCTGTGCCAGAGTCGGATTGGACACTAGCACCGCTCAGCGGGTGCAGTGACCCCTTCTGCTCACCAAATGTGTGGGCAGGTGGCAGTCAGCAGGAGGCCCTGAAATGGTGCTTTCTGTGGGCTGGCAAGTGGGAGGGCCTAAGCTGGCATGGGATCCATTGGATCCCATACCAGACCCACTGCTGGCAAGTGCCCGCCCTCTGTCCCCTAGAGGGCCCAATACCTACACAAGCTCCACAAATGAGAGGTCATAAAAGGATGTTGACAAGATGTTGCGCCTCCCCCTGCCACTGAAGGGTAAATTCAGGGAATATGGGCTAACATTTTGATGCCAACAGGGTTGTGTAGACACAACAACAACAACAACAACAACAACAACAACAACAACAAAGTATGTTCATAAATGAGAAACAGTGATGCCGCAATAAACATCCACTTGGAATCACCCTTACTTATTACATTTTGGCTCTAATTCTGTTGGCATTCAACCACCTGAGTTCCGTATTAGAGGGAACAAGTGGGACTTGCAAACAAAATATTACTGTAATTTCTCTTTTAGAATGAGCACTCCACCTTAGGCTTCTAGCCAGCCATTTACTCCCAGCAGGGCATTTCACTCTTCCTCCTCCCCAACCAGTTTTCTGTTCCCCTTAACAACTGACACTTAACATTCTCACTGGCTTCTTTTGGAACTTTTTGCCTCCTTAGGTTTTTCAAAAAGCTCCCCTGCCCCACTTCTGCAAATGTTGATGTTCAACCAAGCATGCTCCTACCACCTTGTTTCCAGTGGCCATCTTTGTCACTAGTCCTGTTGGCACTCACCACCTGAGCTTGCTACCGGACTGCTGTGATGATGATGAAGTTCTGTGGAGTACCATGACACAAAACTTTCTGCAAATTGTGCCAAGGTGCCCTGATCACTTCAATACAGATCCTCCACAGATGTTGGCTGCCCCATTAATTTTGATAGATCGACCAATCTATAAATTTGTTCATTTCTTTGCTTGAATGAGTGGGAAAACTTAATGTTTGTTCTGGTTTTACAACTTCTTAGCTTTGATGGATTGGCACGATCAATTTGGGGAATTTAAATAATGTGACTGTGGTCACCTAGTAGAGCACTCAGATATAGCAGGGCCAGGGTGGGAGAGTGCTAGAGTCCTGTCTAGTCAAGTTGCATGGGATCAGTTCCAATCTGTTACTTCCGAGGATGTGGACAGGCTGCTTGGACGAGTGAAACCAACCACCTGTCTCCTTGATCCTTGCCCATCCTAGCTCATAAAAGTGAGCTGGGAACAGCTGGGTGCTGGGCTCCATGGGGTGGTGAATACCTCCCTCTGTGAGGTAGTCTTTCTAGACTGGCTTAAAGAAGCAGTTATTAAGATTGAAGTTGAATCCCGGTAGGACAGAAGTACTGTTTTTGGGGGACAGAGGGTGGGCAGGTGTGGGGGACTCCTTGGTCTTGAATGGGGTAACTGTGCCCCTGAAAGACCAAGTGCGCAGCCTGGGAGTCATTTTGGATCCACAGTTGTCCATCGAGGTGCAGGTCAATTCTGTGTCCAGGGCAGCTGTCTACCAGCTCCACCTGGTACAATGGCTGACACCCTACCTGCCCACAGACTGTCTCGCCAGAGTGATGCATGCTCTGTTTTCTCCCGCTTGGACTATCGCAATGTACTCTACATGGGGCTACCTTTGAAGTTGACTCGGAAACTACAACTAATCCAGAATGTGGCAGCTAGACTGGTGACCGGGAGTGGCCTCCGGGACCATATAACACCAGTCCTAAAGGACCTTCATTGGCTCCCATTGTGTTTCTGAGCAAAATTCAAAGTGTTGGTGTTGACCTTTAAAGCCCTAAACGGCCTTGGCCCAATATACCTGAAGGAGTGTTTCCACCCCCATCACTCAGCTCAGACACTGAGGTCCTCCTCTGAGGGTCTTCTGCTGGTTCCCTCACTGCAAGAAGCAAAGTCACAGGGAACAAGCTGGAGGGCCTTCTCAGTAGTGGTGCCCTCCCTGTGGAACACCCTTCTTTTAGATGTCAAGGATATAAAGAACCATACAACTTTTAGAAGACATCTGAAGGCAGCCCTGTTTCGGGAAGTTTTTTGTTTGATTTTTTTAATGTTTTAATATATTCTGTAAGACACCCAGAGTGGCTGGGGAAACTAATAATAATAATAATAATAATAATAATAATCACACCATAATTTCAAATATATTGAAATACTTAGAATCCATGTGCCTCCTCAACAATTTCCTCTACTTCTAAGTCATACCAATATTAGAAATGCAAAAGAATATATAAAGTGGCATTACACAGCTGCAATTCTCATGTGGGCTGTCATTCTTTGTCACAGTGTTCTCTGCTAAGCTGCAGCCATGTCTTCGGACTCAGAAATGGCAGCCTTCGGGGCAGCTGCCCCTTTTCTCCGAAAGTCAGAAAAGGAGAGAATTGAGGCTCAAAACAAGCCATTTGATGCCAAAACATCAGTTTTTGTGGTGGATCCTAAGATCTCCTTTGCAAAAGGTGTTGTCCAGAGCAAGGAGGCAGGGAAAGTCACAGTCAAGAAAGAAGGTGGAGACGTGAGTAGAGAAACACCAACTGACATTGAAAAATTAGGAATATATTTGTCCTATTCTTTATGCTCTTTGTTGAATGGTCTCTTGTTTCCTTGCAGACTGTGACAGTTAAGGATGACCAAGTCTTTCCTATGAATCCTCCCAAATTTGATAAAATTGAGGACATGGCCATGATGACCCACCTCCATGAACCTGCTGTGCTGTATAACCTCAAAGAGCGTTATGCAGCCTGGATGATCTATGTGAGAACAGTTTAACATTTACCATTGACTTCACAATACAGATTATTATTCCACAGAGAATCAGATTTATTATCCATCTTTTCTTTACAGACCTATTCAGGTCTCTTCTGTGTCACTGTCAATCCCTACAAGTGGCTGCCAGTATATAATCCTGAGGTGGTAAATGCCTACAGAGGCAAAAAGCGTCAAGAGGCCCCTCCTCACATCTTCTCCATCTCTGACAATGCCTATCAGTTCATGTTAACTGGTAAGTAGGTCAACCTACCTCAAAGTGATTACAAAGTGACAGTTCCCGAGACTGAGTCAACAGCTTTTCCAGAAAGTCCCATGCACGATGGGGTTGCAGTTAAGAATTATTTCTGTAGCCATTAAAGCTCAAAGGAAGGAAACCTCAACTCAACTGTCCTCTAAAACACCAAAACCTAATAGCACTGTGCCAACATTTCAGGGCATTCTTCTTTATTGCTTTGTTAACTCTTCATGAGCTTATATGTAGTTTTAGAACTATTTAATAGTTCAGTATTTTCTATAGCAGCTTGCAGTTGGAAGTAAAATGCACAAGAGACATCAGGATTATAGTGAAGAGCAGTAAGATGTGAATTTATGGCATGCATACTGAAATAAGTGTTGGTTATGAATAATAACTGATAAAAAGTCAGATTGTTTTCATTCTTAATGGATGTATGGGACTTTAAAATGAAAAGAAACATTAGAAAGGGACCATCCAGATTCTGAACAATCATAGCCTAAAATTATCAGGCTATCCTAGTGTATTTTAAATGAATATTCCTTATTTCAGTAATTGGGCTCATCCACATTTCCACTTATCCTGTGTGTATGAGCAGTTTCCCCCTTGCCCCATTCCTTTCCCAGGGAAAACCTACTCTTTAGTGCTAAATCAGAGCAAATGTTAATCCGGAGAAAACCTGAACAGCTGTTTGCTTCAATTGAGGGCTAAAGCATGGTTTTCCCTGGAGGAAAGCAGCGGGACAAGAGGAGATGTGGATAAGCTAAGTTACACTGTTGTTTCTTGATTTTCCTAGATCGTGAGAACCAGTCCATTCTAATCACGTAAGTATGCTTATGATGAGTATGATTCTAGTCAAAGCAAGCTTTGTGTGCAAAGCACTGTTTGACAAAGTGGTCTTTCCTTCTGTTTTTGTTGACAGTGGAGAATCTGGTGCTGGAAAGACTGTGAACACAAAACGTGTCATCCAATATTTTGCAACAATTGCTGCAGCTACTGACAAGAAGAAGGAAGAACCACAGCAAGCAAGCAAGCTAAAGGTGAGTTGTATATCTAAGAGGAAGCTAAGCTTTCATTTTTGTTAACTGCTGTAGTTATAAAATACATAACTTTGCAATAACACTTTTTCAGGGAACACTAGAAGATCAAATTATCAGTGCCAACCCTTTGCTGGAGGCTTTTGGGAATGCCAAGACTGTGAGGAATGACAACTCTTCCCGTTTTGTAAGTCTTGCGTTCAGAAGTACCGTATTTTTCGGCCCATAGGGTGCACCTAGTTTTTTTGGGGGGAAATAAAGAAAAATTTTTTTATCTCCCCCCCCCAGGCGCGGGGCTGGGGCGGGGGAAGCCCGAGCTTCCCCCGACCCCAGCCCCCAGAACAGGCAGCTCTCCACAAGCCGTGGGAGAGCTGCGCGAAGCCTGAAGCCTGGGGGGGCTGAGCTCAGCCCTCCCACGGCTTGCAGAGAGCTGCGCGAAGCCTGGGGGGCGCTGAGTTCAGTGCACCCCCGCGCTTTGGGGTGCAGGCAGCTCTCCCACGGCTTGCGGAAAGCTTCCTGAAGCCTGGAGAGCGAGAGGGGTCGGTGTGCACCGACCCCTGTCGCTCTCCAGGCTTCAGCGAAAGCCTGCATTCGCCCCATTGGACGCACACACATTTCCTCTTCATTTTTGGAGGGGGAAAAGTGCGTCCTATAGGGCGAAAAATACGGTATATTTAAGAGTGTACCAGTGAGACAATTTCATTAATTAGTTTTGTGAAATTTTTCCTAGCATTGGTTGAAAAGAATCAGGGCCAATGTAATGCAAGAAATAAAGTGTTAGATTTGGGCATGAGTTACCCAGCCACAAAGATCACATTAATTGCTTTAGCACTATACTTCTTCATGCTAATTCTGTCTTACACAATTATTGTGATAATAATAAATGGATTAAGAATAGTAAAGCCCTATCTAATGATAGCTAAAGATAGAAACAAGGAAATAGATTTGTTTGAGTGGGTTTTACTCTGCGTATGACATATCATTGGGTAAGTCCCCATATGTCTGCAAGATAATACTAATACTAATAATAATAATAATAACTACTATTAAAAACACAATGAAAAGGAAGAACCAAAAGACCTTTGGTTTACAAGACATTGTACATATAAGACATTTATGGTTCTTCCTTTTCATTATGCTTTCTTAGTAGTGGCTGGTGTACACCATTTTTGTCCCGTCAGAAATGTATAAAATCAATAAAATGGCACTGTGCAGATAACGAAACACATGCAAAACATGGTTTAAATGTGTTGTAATTAAAATGCCATTTCCCCCCATAGGGTAAATTCATCAGAATTCACTTTGGTGCTACAGGAAAACTGGCTTCTGCAGACATTGAGACATGTAAGGAACTTTGCTAGACCATCACACAGTCTCCTTCTTTCCTTCCTTCATCTTCTTTTCCTTCTTTCCCTCCCTGCCTTTTACTTAATTACCCTTAATTGTGTTGCCAGATCTCCTGGAGAAGTCCAGGGTTACTTTCCAGCTGAAAGCTGAAAGAAGCTACCACATCTTTTATCAGATCACATCCAACAAGAAGCCGGAACTGATTGGTAAGAAGCATTTGTTTTGGAGTAGGCTGCTGCTTGCTAAAATCTTGTGTTGATGCTTGATTATTCAATGGATGAAAATAAATCTGTATCTTTGCTTCTCCTTATTCAGAGATGCTTCTGATTACTACCAACCCATATGACTTTCACTTTGTGAGTCAGGGTGAGATCAGTGTTGCCAGTATCAATGATCAAGAAGAGCTGATGGCAACTGATGTAAGTAACTTGTAGATTGGAATATATGAAATTTGATCAGATCAGTTTTGGGCTGAATTTATTCAGCAGAAATTAGATTTCTTGGGGTGATGAACCCTTGCTACAATTTATTTGGGGGAGGGAAGCATTCTAGAAATGCTGGGGGTGAGGAGTCTTGCTAGAAATGGGAATGACAGCAGCCTCCCCTCTCCCAATCTCTCCATTAAACATAGTCTTGTTGCCTTGAGTAGTATCAGTGGCTTGCCTTTTTTTGGTCAGAATGCACCCTTGGAACAATGTCATGATGTGTGTGTGTGTGTGCGCGCGTGTCTATGTAGGAGGCCAGCAGAGGCGGCAGTAGTGGCATCCTTCCCACATACCCTTGAATTTGCCACACGTGGCAACAGCTTTCCTTGACGCTTCCTCCCAAAATGTGCCTTGGAAAAATGGTACATCACGCTTTAGTGTTGTTTGAAGAGCATTCTCTCTCTCTCTCTTTCTCTCTCTCTCTCTCTCTCTCTCCCTCTCTCTCTCTCTCTCTCTGTGTGTGTGTGTGTGTGTGTGTGAGAGAGAGAGAGAGAGAGAGAGAGAGAGGGAGAGAAAGAAATAATAGGCCCCTCATGGCCAGTGAGGCAGACCACAAATACCTCACCAACAGAATGCCCCAGAACAACACTACACCATGACATGTTGTTCCAAGTGGGGCAATGTGAGACAAAACACAGGCCTCTAATTGCCAAAAAGGGTCACTCAGATTCTTTACCTCCTTATGGAGCAGCAAATTTGAAAGGCCAGTTGCAGTCAATATTATATCAGACAGAAATTTGACTTTGATTTGGTTGATAGGAAGCCATTGACATCCTGGGTTTCACTGCTGAGGAAAAGACAGCCATTTACAAGCTAACTGGAGCTGTAATGCACTATGGGAACATGAAGTTCAAGCAGAAGCAACGTGAGGAGCAGGCTGAGCCAGATGGCACTGAAGGTATTTGGAAGACATGTGGCAGGATACTGAGATTTTCCAGAAAGAAGGGGCTTGCTCTATAGAAATTTGTATTAAAAATCCAAAACAAATTATATTATTATTGTTTATTAAATTTATATATTGCCCTTCATTCGAATTCACAGGGCGGTTTATAATAATAATAATAATAATAATAATAATAATAATAATAATATTAATCTTTAAAAGGCCATAGGTAGTTTAATCAGCCAAAGGTCAAATGATTAACAGCAAGTGATTGAGGTGAATGCTCATTGTTATATAGCCATCCCATAAACAAATAAGAACAAATGCTCAACGAAGACCAGGCACAATCTAACCACCACATAAACTTTGTGCAAGCAAATCAGGATGAATGCTGAATACGTAGGTTGTCTGGAGAATCCCATAATTGGTATTCCAGTGCTGATAATCTCTCTCATGTCTATGCTTAGTTGCTGACAAGGCTGCCTACCTCATGAACCTCAATTCAGCAGATCTGCTGAAAGCTCTGTGCTACCCCCGAGTCAAGGTCGGCAATGAATATGTCACCAAAGGCCAAACTGTCCAGCAGGTAAATGCCACATTAGCTAAAATGCATGGTTTGACTTAACTATCTATGATTCACTGCATTGATAATAGGTGAATCACATATCATTATATCTACCATTGATTTCACTAATGATTAAATCAAACATATTTCTCTGCTATCAATAGTAACTCCTGCTGTTATCTTGTCTTCTTAGGTGTACAATAATGTAGGTGCTCTTGCAAAAGCAGTCTATGAAAAGATGTTCTTGTGGATGGTTCTTCGTATTAACCAGCAGCTGGATACCAAGCAAGCGAGACAATACTTCATTGGTGTGCTGGACATTGCAGGCTTTGAGATTTTTGATGTAAGGAAATAGGGAGAAATTAAAAAATAATAATTGTAAAGCACTAGAGAAACAGTGTTTTGTATCGGCCAGTTCAAAACTGTATTACATACTGAAGTGTGACTCTGGCAGCTGAAACATTTCAACTGATACAAGTTGCCATTCATTGAAAACATGGAGCATTTTCCTATACTATAAAATGTGTAATTAATTGTAATTAATCTCAAAGAAAAGGCACATCTAAACTGATGCCTTCAAAGTGTTTCAGCATGCAGCACAATACTAGAAGCCACATACCATGCAGGAACTGAAACACTCAGAGGATTGAACTGAACCATACCAATGCAAAGACTAAATGAGGCTGAGAAAAAGAACCCATACAAGTCTAGTTCTGTGGGCAAATGCCTGCAGGAGAGGAAAGAAAAGTGTCAAGCTGCTGTAGGGCTGTTTCATGTTACTGAAAATGTTTCTTGTTTTTCTGTAGTACAACAGCCTGGAGCAGCTGTGCATCAACTTCACTAATGAGAAACTGCAACAGTTTTTCAACCATCACATGTTTGTGCTGGAGCAAGAGGAGTACAAGAAAGAAGGAATTGAATGGGAGTTCATTGACTTTGGAATGGATCTGGCTGCCTGCATTGAACTCATTGAGAAGGTAACTTTCGCAGTGTGAATACTTGGTATGCTCTGAAATGTTGTAGTTACATGGGAGAACATGCATGCAATTTGCATTCCTTTCTTAAGTGCACCCCAGCAGAGGGGTTGGTTGCAAGAAACTCCAGTGTATTGAACACTGTACCATGAGAGGAAGTGGGTTGGATGTGGCAGGTGATTGGATCCTGTCCAAAGAATCGTATACTAAATCTTCACAGGTCTATACTCTGGGGGCCTTCCATGCATTCTTGTTTCATGCAATAATCATGCAATCTTAACTCAATTTATTGAACAGGATGTAGATATAGTGTCAGTTTAGTAGCATTTGGTTGCATTGAATCAAATTTCCCCACAGCTGTATAAGAAAAAATGATTTTTCTAGACCAGCCTATTTATTTCTATAGCATCAAGTGTGTCCATGGCACTTCAAAGAACAGGCCTGGCAGCCCTACTCTAGGGAGTTTACAATCTAAAAGCAGACACAAGGGAAACAACAGAAGGTGGGGAAGGGAAATGGAGACAAGTGCAAGCAGAGAAAGACTATATTACTGTTACTCATACTTTAGCTTTTTAATGGTATGGCATTGTCAACAGAGGCTTGTTCTAAAGCAGGTGTGGGGAACCTGTGGCCCTTCTGATGTTGCTGGACTCCCGCTGTCATCAACCCCAGCCAGTATGGCCAAAGGTCAGAGATGATGGAAGCTGTAGTCTAAGAGCATCTGGAGGGCAATAGGTTGCCCTTCCCTGTTCCAAAGGTTTCATGGGCATGATAGCAATGGGCCAGAAATACTCAGGTGGCTTCTTTCATAGGGAATATTGTTCAAGAATAAATAGAAATAGGGTATACACTCTCTCATAGTAGATATTTGCTGAGATTATCCAGCAGGATATATTATGGAACATGTCTATACATATGTACCTTTTCGGTTGTAACAATTGGTTGATCTGCATGTGGTGTAAACCTGTATTCCAGGTTTTAATGGGACTTGTGCTTGCATATTTGAACTCAGTTCCTTCTCAACTTCTCTGCTCCAACAGAAAATTCTTCATGCTTTCCCAAAGGCAAGTGTTTCCAAAAGCTGACTAAGCAATCTCTTTATTATTGTTATTCCTTCCAGCCAATGGGCATTTTCTCCATCCTGGAAGAGGAGTGCATGTTTCCTAAGGCAACTGACACTTCTTTCAAGAACAAGCTCTATGACCAGCATCTTGGAAAATCTGCTAACTTCCAGAAACCTAAGCCTGTCAAAGGCAAGGCTGAAGCCCACTTTGCCCTGGTGCACTATGCCGGCACGGTGGACTACAATATCACTGGCTGGCTGGAGAAGAACAAAGACCCTTTGAATGATACGGTGGTGGGTCTGTATCAGAAATCATCCATGAAGACTCTAGCTTTCCTGTTTGCTGATCGTCCTGTAGATGCTGGTAATGGCTTTATAATCAACCCTCTGACTAATGTATATATAAGGAAACATTTATTCTAATATAAAAGTATTATTTAATAAATCTAAGGTCCCTTTAATATTTTTTCATGTTAATTTTAGATGGTGGTGGCGGCAGTGGTGGCAAGAAGGCTGCTAAGAAGAAGGGGTCTTCCTTCCAGACCGTGTCTGCTCTTTTCAGGGTATAGTATAATCTTTATAACTCTTTTCAGTGTGTGAATTTAAAAATGCTTCATGAAATGCCTGTATTTGTCAGTATTTGTGTACCAAACCATTTTGGATCTTCTGAGAGATATGCTGAATCTAACTGAATTCATGGAATAGTCTTCTTTTCAAAAAATATTGCCACAGATTTAAAATACATGCCCGCATCCTTCCACATAATTCAAATATGAACAAAGTACAGTATGTAAAATATCCTTGACTGCTCTAAGTCTCTAAAAAGAGGGGATCAGTATTGAATACAAAGGCAAATAAATCTTTATTGAAATGCTTCATGTGTTACTTTGCCTAAGCGATGTGTCTGCATGCTGCTTTAATATTTATTAAAGGAAGAAATATGGAATGTGGCCCTCCAGGTGTTGCTGGACTAAAACTTCCATCAGCCCTGAGCACTAGCCATACTGGTGGGGATGATGGAAACTGGGAGTTCAACAACATCTGGAAATTCACAGGTTCCCTACCAGGGGGACTAAGGATTGATTCCAAAGAAGCAGTATACACTTAAGGGAGCTCCTCCTCTTAACAGCATACAGATAGTACTTTATTTAATGGCATGCTCCTAATGTCAAAGAGATAAGATGCTATTAAACCTGAACAGCAACTTGTTTAACAGCCCAAACATCAAAAGCAAGCATTGACAGTGGATGTTAGGAGCTTGAAACAAACCTGATTTTTTTTATCTCTGTTACATTTGATGGTGCTTCCCCACCCCTATTTGCATGCACTTGTCTCCTCTGCATGCAAACATCCCTTCTTTGGACTTTTGCACAAAATATCTGCTTCTGGTCCCACAGGAGAACTTAAACAAACTGATGTCCAATCTGAGAAGCACTCATCCCCACTTTGTGCGCTGCATTATTCCCAATGAAACAAAAACACCTGGTAAGGCATATAAATAAACAAATAAAGCAGATGTTATTGTATTTTTAGCAACCAACTATCACACAATTTCAGTGGGGAAAGTCCATTTAGTTTCTTATTAAGCATTAATCCAAGTCTTGCACAACATGCAAACTTTGAGAAAAGTATAATGCAAAGCAACACAATGGATCAGTTTGGTTTTCACTTGGCATGCGCGGCAAAAGGAAAACTGCTAGCGAGACATTTCACAAGTACGCCATTAAATTTTCATTTCATTAAAATTTGATTGCTTTTTCAAAGCCTGTTCTGATCATGGTCTAATTTGTCATGTTTGGATTTCCTTCTGAATTTTAAAAGTAATAGTAGAATATATTTAGCTTGTAGTTCTAAATACATTCTCCTCTCCATGAAAAATGTGTAAAGTTCCCCTCACTGTTGATTATTTATATGAACATACCAAAGCAGTCTAAAGAATGCTCCTGTGTCCAGTGTGTTCCATGAGGGAAAGCATATTTAACTGAGCTTGTGTAAAAGAAGGCTTAGTTTTCTGTGCCTCAGGTGTTCAAAATATTGAGAAATCTGAACAGGAATAAATACATATAAATGCAACAGTATTTGCCCTTACAAAATGGTGCTAATTCCTCTTTGATTTTTTCAAAAGGTGCAATGGAACATGAACTTGTACTGCATCAACTGAGGTGTAATGGTGTGCTGGAAGGCATCCGCATTTGCCGAAAGGGATTCCCTAGTAGGATCGTTTATGCTGATTTCAAACAGAGGTTAGTTTGGCCCTCCTATAGAGCTCCATTCTGTACATTTCACATCTCATATGCTTTCTTGACTTTATAAAAAAAACCCAACCCTTCATCATAAATCCAGTTAACAACAAGATTATATTTATTCAGCGTTGATGAATATCCCAGACTAGATAACTCCTTTGAATCAAGTGTTGTTTTCTCAACATGCTTTGAATGTTTTCAGAGATCAACAACTATTTTATATTAATTCATTTTTACTCAATCATTCCTTGACAAGTTTTTGGAAACCAATAACCACAACAAATTGCTATTCATGAAACTAGTGAATTTAATGGCAAGACACCAGCATCTTCTGTTTTCTCCAACAGATACAAGGTTTTAAATGCAAGTGCTATTCCAGAAGGCCAGTTCATTGATAGCAAGAAAGCATCTGAAAAGCTTCTTGGATCTATTGATATTGACCACACCCAGTATAGATTTGGACATACCAAGGTATAAACTATCTCTGATGCAAATACCTTTTCTTTAATTAGTACAAGGTTGCATTTGTGACATTCTGCAACCTTTCTTTTCTCCAGGTGTTCTTCAAAGCTGGCCTTTTGGGTCTTCTGGAAGAGATGAGAGATGACAAGCTGGCTCATCTGATAACACGTACACAGGCTATGTGTCGTGGCTTCTTAGCAAGGACAGAGTACCAGAAAATGTTGGAAAGGAGGTATAGCCCTCACAATTATTTAAAAAAGCACTATCAGAAGGCCTGATTTGGTTGCCCTGCTCTGCATGCCATTTAATGTGAATCTTAACTTTGTTGACAGAGAGGCCATCTTTACTATTCAATACAATGTCCGTTCATTCATGAACGTCAAGCACTGGCCCTGGATGAAGTTATATTTCAAGATCAAGCCCTTGCTAAAGAGTGCTGAATCAGAGAAAGAGATGGCCACCATGAAAGAAGAGTTTCAGAAAACTAAAGAAGAGCTTGCCAAGTCAGAGGCAAAACGAAAGGAACTTGAAGAAAAAATGGTGTCTCTGATCCAAGAGAAGAATGACTTGCAGCTCCAAGTCCAGTCTGTAAGTGTTATTGGTGCCATTAATTTGACTTTATTCTTGATATAATTTAGGTAGAGGAACGCACACATTGTAGGGAAAGTACACTGTGAATATTTTGGGTTATTTAGGCTATCCCCAAAATATGGCGCTCTGTGTGTGTGTGTGTACACCAAACAATCTGGCACTGAGTATAATATATAAGACACTATTTTATATACCGGTAAGACTGCATTTTATTCATGAATGCACATATGTAGGTCTAGTATGCAGCTTTTTGTTTTCACACCAACATTTATATTGGATTCAACCCAGTTTACCTACTGTGTGAAAGACTGTGAGAAAGGGAGTGGGGAAGCTGACATTGTGATTACAATTATGTAATATAAAAAACATGGAAGGAAAATAGCATTGATGATCATTTGGCAACACTTTGCAACTTGTTTCTTGAGTGTGGAAAATATTAGTAAAGTCACCAGCAAAGGCTACTGTCTCAGTAAACATTACAGTTGCTTAGACTTGATATGAAAATGAATTTAATTCACTTATACAAATACAATTTCTATACAATTAATCACAGATTAATATAGATGAAAATTTTCAGAACACAGATTCCATTCAGTAGGAAAATCTACCCCAAAATCCTACTGAAATCTTACAGAAATGAAACATGGATTATTCTCTGGAACATTACCAGTACTGTTATTCACATTTAGAAAGTGAAAATACTGGAAAGACATTCGTTTAACATGCTACATTTTCTCCCCAGGAAGCTGATGGCTTGGCAGATGCAGAGGAGAGATGTGACCAGCTGATCAAAACCAAGATTCAGCTGGAAGCTAAAATTAAGGAGCTGACTGAACGGGCAGAGGATGAGGAGGAAATGAATGCTGAGCTGACAGCCAAAAAGAGGAAACTGGAAGATGAATGCTCAGAGCTGAAGAAAGACATTGATGATCTGGAGTTAACACTGGCCAAAGTGGAAAAGGAGAAGCATGCCACAGAAAACAAGGTAATGATCATAATGTGCTCAGATCTGCAACCAATAGTCAGAATGTTGTATTATCATTCCAGGGTAGAATGATATATTGAATCTGTTTGTTCATTTCTAAAAGGTGAAAAACCTCACTGAAGAGATGGCAGTCTTGGATGAGACCATTGCCAAACTGACCAAGGAAAAGAAAGCCCTCCAAGAGGCCCATCAACAGACCTTGGATGACCTGCAGGCAGAGGAGGACAAAGTCAATACTCTGACCAAAGCAAAGACCAAGCTGGAGCAGCAAGTGGACGATGTAAGCACCATCACATGCAGAAGAATAACTGTGGGGTAAAGGTAGCATTAGAGTGACAAAGTCTTTGTCCCTTCTTTGTCTTTAGCTTGAAGGGTCCCTGGAGCAAGAAAAGAAGATACGCATGGACCTGGAGAGAGCCAAGAGGAAGCTTGAAGGTGATCTGAAGCTGTCCCAAGAATCCTTAATGGATTTGGAAAATGATAAGCAGCAGCTGGATGAAAAGCTGAAGAAGTAAGTAAGGTTTGCTTCTGGAAGACCTTTTAGGAGGTCTCTATAGAACCCAACTATTATTATTTGATTTGGACTCAAAAAATCCTTGTGTTTTGTTGTGAAAAGGAAAGAATTTGAAATCAGCCAGTTCCAAAGCAAAATTGAAGATGAGCAGGCCTTGGGCTTACAACTTCAGAAGAAGATAAAGGAGTTACAGGCAAGTCAAGCATATATCAGATCCATTGTGACTATGAAAATTACTTCCTCTGAGAATATATTGTGAGTGTTAATGGCTGCTTCTCTTTCTGTAGGCCCGTATTGAGGAACTGGAGGAGGAGATTGAGGCTGAGCGTGCATCTCGGGCCAAAGCAGAGAAGCAGCGAGCTGATCTCTCCAGAGAACTTGAAGAGATCAGTGAGCGTCTGGAGGAAGCTGGTGGGGCAACTGCAGCTCAGATTGAGATGAACAAGAAACGTGAGGCAGAATTCCAGAAAATGCGCAGGGACCTTGAAGAGGCCACTCTGCAACATGAAGCCACAACAGCTGCTCTCCGCAAGAAGCATGCAGACAGTGCAGCTGAACTTGGGGAACAAATTGATAACTTGCAACGTGTGAAACAGAAGCTGGAGAAGGAGAAGAGTGAGCTGAAGATGGAGATTGATGACCTTGCTAGTAATTTGGAATCTGTCTCCAAAGGCAAGGTATCATACAGCAATTTCAATATACATATATTACAATCACAAAATATACATATTGGATTTACATTTCTGTAGCTTTATACAGGATTGGAGTGAGGTAATTGTAATTTAAAAAGAATTTCAACTTCTATGGGAAAAAGAGAAAAGTAATTTTTATTACATTAGCATCTCTATCCATCCATATATAATGCTGTTTCTATTTAATAATGTTTCTATTTGCAAGATGACCCATTTTTTCCATATATATATATATATATATATATATATATATATATATATATATAAAATAAGGTCCTCATTTCCCCCCTTAAATAATGCATCACTTATTCAGGACTCCTTATTACATATTCTTTTTCATTATTCAAGACATTCCCCATTCTTCAGCGTTATATGCTTCTGGTCTTCATTGTGACTCTAAAACATATATGAAGCGTCCATTCTGAATACTACAAAGTCTTACAATATGCAAAGTACAATGGTGTTAGTTAATATGGTTCTTTGACTGTACACCTATAGGCCAATTTTGAAAAGATGTGCCGCACCCTAGAAGATCAGCTTAGCGAGCTTAAAACAAAAGAAGAAGAGCATCAACGTTCTATTAATGACCTGAATGCTCAAAGAGCTCGTTTGCAGACAGAATCTGGTAAGATGCTTAAACAAATTTCTAAAATGCTGGAGATATTTGTGAGAAGGACATGGCTTGTTCTGAAAAAATACAACTATGGGCATTATTTCCCATCCCATCCCCAATTCAGTGGGAGTGGTGGTTGTAGCTCGGTTTGGTGGTTGCATGGAGAGATGGTGCTTCAGCTTTTGCAAGATAGGAAGGGTGATTTCCAGCCTCTCAAAGATGGGCTGAAGCCTAGAGAACCTGCAAGGCTTCAGGAGCCAATCGGTGCACGAGCTGGGCTCCTGAGAGGTGGGGCCTTGGAGCAGCCCTGGGGGAAGACTTCACCCTACCAGGTCCACTCCAGATAAATAAAAGGAGATGCATGGTGCAGGGCCCAGGAAAAATTGGCCATTTCTTCCCACTACCTCATAGCAACCTTGAAGGTAGAACAACCTTGAAGGTGGAAGAGGCATTGGGCTGGAGAGGGGATCCCCTTAGATGGGGATCCCCTTAAGAGTCCTTAAAGGGCAGCACTTCCCATCCAGATACCTAATTCAGGGGCTGAAGAGCCATACCTATGGAAATTAAAACACTTAAGTCCATAGATTTCAGCAGGTCTTCTCTTATTATAACTAATATTGAATATCACCTTCACTTTTTTACTACTTAATATGTCTACTGTGAACACCATCATTGTACCAAATAATTGCCAAAACCTATGCAAAAATGATTAAATCTTGGAGATTTCAGATATTAATTTTAATATAATTTTTCAATTTACTTATGTTAAATTATGTTATATATTCTCTACTTCAGGTGAACTCTCACGACAGGTAGATGAAAAAGATGCTTTGATTTCCCAGCTTTCCAGAGGCAAGCAAGCTTTTACTCAACAAATTGAAGAACTGAAGAGACAACTTGAGGAAGAGATAAAGGTGAAAATTTGGAATCAAGAATTTATTTTATCGTCTGTTATAATGACAGAAACACTGGGCAGCTTTTTTGTCACAGATTCACTACTGCAAGAATTGCCTCACCTGCATAATTATTTATGTTTTATACATCTCATTCTCTGTGTGCTTACTTCATCTTGTGGACTGGCAATTGTATGTGCTGAAGCCCACTCCGAATATTTACATAATCTACAATTCTATGTTAATTCTATAGGCCAAGAATGCACTGGCCCATGGTTTACAATCTGCAAGACATGACTGTGACCTTCTTCGGGAACAATATGAAGAAGAACAGGAAGCCAAGGCTGAGCTTCAGCGTGCCCTGTCCAAGGCAAACAGTGAGGTTGCTCAATGGAGAACTAAATACGAAACTGATGCCATTCAGCGGACTGAGGAACTGGAAGAAGCCAAGTATGTGCAATGATGTGCTTAAAAGGGTGTTAGGAAATACCAAACAAATAGTTGTGAGAGAAGAATTAGAGAACTCCCTCCATTAACTGGAGCACCATTTATAGGTGGAGGACCAGAACAATTAACAGAAAGGACACATTATTATTATCTGGGCTTAGCCTGAGTATGAGATAGTTCTGTGAATTTATACAGTGGTCTATGGTGTTGTTCAACACTGCATATCATCATGTTTATCTTAAATCTTCATGTTTCCTGAAGAGAGGTTTGGTTTTTTTGTAATCTAATGAAACAGCTGCATACAGCTGAATCTAATAGCTCCTCAATGAGTGCAATGTTCACGGTATTTTCAGATGCAGCAGGAAGAAGACAATATTTTTTAATGTAGACTGAATTAGAGAAAGCAAGTTATATTTTTATCAGAATCAGTGTACAGAATAAGTCACACATTGGTTTATGCTAGGCTCAGAGTAGGGATGTACTGCAATTTTACATGAGTCACATTTTCACTGGAGCAGAGGCAGAGTCGCTTGATCATGAGCATCTATGGCAATTTCCAAGTCGATAACTGCATTCTGAGGTGTGTGTGTCCCCCAATATTTGTGGAACCTCTTCCTGCCACTGCTGCAGAAAGAATGAGTGAATGTAGTGAATCAAATTCCACAACCAATTTCTTTGTTTCTTTGTTAGATGTGCTTTCTCACAATGTCAACGTAAATTGTGCTCACAAATTCCATGGGAAAGAAAAAGTCACCAACATCAATTCTGCAATAAATTATTTTAGGTTAAGTTGCAAGGCATTTAGTGAATTGAATGACTTAAGCCAATTTTGCACAAGGACATTTTGAAAACAATTGAAAGCAAAAAATTTCAGCAACTTGTATCCCTAGCTTAGAGTGGTAGTGAGACATGATTACATTATTACAATGTTATGTGTTAACATGGAAGGAAAAGAAGATATGTCAAGACAAGGTTTGAAAGGAAAAGCGAATTTGTATTATCAGTATGCACTGAATAGCTTTCAGCCATTTATTATCATGGATAATTAAGAATCACTAAGTGTTGTAATCACATTCCTCTAGGAAAAAGCTGGCTCAGCGTCTGCAGGATGCTGAAGAACACGTAGAGGCTGTGAATTCCAAATGTGCTTCCCTTGAGAAGACAAAGCAAAGGTTACAGAATGAAGTGGAGGACCTGATGATTGATGTGGAAAGGTCCAATGCAGCCTGTGCAGCTCTAGATAAGAAGCAGAAGAACTTTGATAAGGTACTTTTGGCCATAATTTGAAAGAAAACCCAGCACGTTGCAACAAACCCTCAGGTACACATGAACACATTTCTTATTTCTTGTGTTTCTTCTTTCTGGTGTTTTGCAGATTCTGGCAGACTGGAAACAGAAATATGAGGAAACACAGTCTGAACTGGAAGCCTCCCAGAAAGAGGCTCGCTCTCTCAGCACAGAGCTCTTTAAGATGAAGAATGCTTATGAGGAATCCTTGGATCACTTGGAAACTCTGAAGCGTGAAAACAAGAATCTCCAGCGTAAGACCATAGTCTTTACCTAGGCATTCTGCCAAGTTTGGTCATTTTTGTAGTAGGAGGCTTCCACTTAATTTGTATACCATTATTTTTTTCATTGCCCACTGATAGATTCAAACATTCAACTGAAAACCATTCACATGAATGGCAAAAGTGTAATGCTAATTATTAAACGATTGTTGGGTTCTGAATTTGTACTGCTTACACAATCCAGTGTACAGATTGCAGGTCTGCTCTCTCTGACTGTCATTTTAATGTGTAAACCAACAGAGGAGATTTCTGACCTCACGGAGCAGGTTGCTGAAGGAGGAAAAGCTATCCATGAATTGGAGAAAGTGAAGAAGCAGATTGAGCAAGAGAAAAATGATCTGCAGACTGCTCTAGAGGAAGCTGAGGTAAGTACACTATTATGCATATAATTATTTTGTGGCATATATCAGACAGAAAGGTTGGCAATGCTTGCACAGTGCATACAAACTAGTGGTTTTTAGTGTTTCCTATTGAATAAACTTTCAGATAGTGAGTCCATGGTATGCTATTCTTGTTTTAAGGCCTCACTGGAACACGAAGAAGGCAAAATCCTCCGCATCCAACTTGAGCTCAACCAGGTGAAGGCTGACATTGACAGGAGAATTGCAGAGAAGGATGAGGAAATTGATCAGCTGAAGAGGAATCACCTGAGAGTTGTAGAGTCCATGCAGAGCACGCTGGATGCTGAGATCAGGAGCAGGAATGATGCCCTGCGGCTGAAAAAGAAGATGGAGGGAGATCTGAATGAAATGGAAATCCAGCTAAGCCATGCCAACCGCCAAGCTGCCGAAGCACAGAAGAACCTCAGGAACACCCAAGGAATACTCAAGGTACATATATATTTCTGTAATCAGGATACAGTTGTGATTGTTATTGTGCAAAGAATGGTCTCACAATAATATCTCAATATCATTTTTTAGGACACCCAGATACATTTGGATGAAGCTATAAGGTGCCAGGAAGATCTGAAGGAGCAAGTGGCCATGGTTGAGCGCAGAGCTAATCTGATGCAGGCTGAGATTGAGGAGCTCCGTGCAGCTCTGGAACAGACAGAGAGGGGCAGGAAAATAGCAGAACAGGAACTTCTGGATGCCAGTGAGCGTGTGCAACTCCTCCACACCCAGGTGAGCTTCTAGCTTGTAATGGGCGCATAAAATTCTCTAAGCAGAAGATGGTTCAGGTAAAGGGAAGAAGCTACTTCTGTTTTTTGAAATGGCATTGTGTATTGCCCACCTGTGTCAAAACTCCTGATATGTATGTGTCCATCTCTTTTTGCAATGTCGCTGACTCCATTTTCTATTCCTTATGAGCATACCTTCATGATATGGTCAAGTGCCTCCAAAGGACTTCATCAATTAAGTCATCTCCATGTTTGTTAAGCCTGAATCAATGCTATAAGAAATGGAATGTAAACATTAACTGATAATTTGAGAGCTTTCTTAAGGGTTGATGAAGGCTCCAAACATTGCATTTGCTGTTTTCTAGATAACCAAGAATGCCTCCCACACCAAAGAAACATGAATTTCATGCTGAATATATTACGGTTTGCGGCTAATAGTTAAATGTCAGTTTTATTATTCTTATACAGAACACCAGCTTGATCAACACCAAAAAGAAGCTGGAAACGGATATTGCCCAAATCCAGAGTGAAATGGAGGAGACAATTCAGGAAGCACGCAATGCAGAAGAGAAGGCCAAGAAGGCCATAACTGATGTGAGTTTGGGGGATTTTTCTTTGGAAATATTTCCCTGATTATACTTGGCGTGTATGGCTTTCTGATTAATAATAATAATAATAATAATAATAATAATAATAATATTTTACTATAACTATTAATAGGCAGCCATGATGGCAGAGGAGTTGAAGAAGGAACAAGATACCAGTGCACATCTGGAGAGGATGAAGAAGAACCTAGACCAGACTGTGAAGGACTTGCAGCACCGTCTTGATGAAGCAGAGCAGCTGGCACTGAAAGGAGGGAAGAAACAGATCCAGAAACTGGAGGCCAGAGTGCGTATATCTCATAGAGGAACGGTTTCTCCATGCATTTTGAATCTTGAATAATCATTTTCCACACTTTCATGTCTTCACTCCCTGCTTTGCCCGCATAGGCAGGAGACATACCATCTAGGAGAGGTACTATCTGAAAGTTCGGAAGGCAGCAATGGTAGTAGTAGTTTGCTTTTTTATATATTCTTGATGCCTTTCTTCTGGGAGAAAGTCTCCCCTTTGCGCACAAATGCCCATTCTCTCTGAAAACTACACAGAAGAAACTTTCCCCTTTGCTTCAGTTATTACTCCTACCTCCACACCAACCTCAGACCTATTTGCATATCTAGGAACCAACACTAGTAACCATGTCAAGTAACCAGAAACACACAACAGACGTTGGGTGACAGAGCAGGACTTGGGGAAACAGGGGTACATATTCAGTGTCTGAGAATTTGGAGGGGCTTGTGGTAGCATGGCCACAGGGATGGGCCACAGATGAATAGAAATGAAAGTAAGGAGCAATCTTCTATGATATTGTTCTATGAATTGGGGCAGCTCAGGTAAGGAAGCTGACAGAAGATAACGCTCTAAGTTGCTATCAGAGGAATGAAAAGGGTGCCAAGGGAAAGATGGGACAAATGTACCTAGAAAGTTTCTACCCATTCAGCTACAGCTTATCATTACAGCCATATTTCCATATCATCATGATTTAGTGAGTAGCACTTGGATTAGAATACCAGCTAAAATGCAGAAGCCTTTGTTTTTGCATTTCAGGTTCGTGAACTGGAAGCTGAGTGTGAGAATGAACAGAAGCGCAGTGCTGAGGCTATAAAAGGTGTACGAAAGTATGAGAGAAGAGTAAAGGAACTGACCTATCAGGTGAGAATAGAGACTTCCTTTTATCTAGGGTTGCCATATTCCCAAAAGTGAAAATCCGGACAAAGTTGCTGAGCTTTTCTTTTTGGGGGGGGGTGTCCCAAAGTTGTTATTTGGGAACATCTCTCTCCTCCCCCCCCTCACCAAATTAAGTTTTTAGGCTTTTAAAAATATTTTTAAGCATTTTTAAAAATAAAAATCGCCCTGCTTGCCATAAAATCTGCTTGGAAGCCATTACCAGAACCTGATTCCTGGACGTATGGCAGCCCTACTTTTATCTGAAAATGTCGTAGGTACTTGCATGTGAGTTCACACTCTCTTCTCTTACTTTTAAACATTTAGGCTGAAGAAGACCGGAAGAATGTTCTGAGACTCCAGGATCTTGTAGATAAACTACAGCTCAAAGTGAAAGCATACAAGCGACAAGCTGAGGAAGCTGTAAGTATCACACAGAACATGGTGCAAAAGTTTTGGCTTGCATGTATTGCACCAACACACAAAACCTGACTGAATAATGAAGTCTAGTTTTGAGCAGAACATGTTTATATCACATACAAATATTTTGAATTTACAGCATTTCTCATAAGAGAATTTATACACTGCTCTTGTGCACCCAAGAGGTGAAGACCCCATGGAGCTCTGCACATTCAGGAGCTGCCCTACTATCTTAAATATTATGGGATTCTTCACAAATTGAATTGTATGCCCTTCAAAATGGCCTGAGAAAAATTAGTACATGCTTTGTGTCTACCAGAATTCAATCTGGTGCAGGCTGAAAAGCAGGAAGGACTGAGTTCTGCCATTTTCATATCTCTCTGTCTGTTATCAGGAGGAACAATCCAATGTGAACCTTTCGAAGTTCCGCAAGATTCAGCATGAGCTGGAAGAGGCTGAGGAGCGGGCTGACATTGCTGAGTCCCAGGTTAACAAGCTCCGGGTGAAGACCCGAGAGGTGCACAAGAAAGTTGTTGTAAGCGAAGAATAAGCTCACCAAAGAGATGTAGAGTGACTGAAGAGAAGCACAAAATGTGAAGCTCTTTGCCACTTCCTGTAATTAATGTTTATTCCCCTCACTGTTTAGAAAATAAAGATTGTAGATTCCTTTGCATACTAAATATGGACATGGCTTTTCATTTTAACTTGTTAGTAAGTATTAGAGACCTGGAAGGATTGTGCATTTCTGGTGACAGTCTTAACTCTGCCCTGTTGTGCATTCAGTTGAACACAGTTCTCAGATTCATGAATATATATGATGACTCTCAGAAACATTATTACATAATCAGTGAATCACCATGAAATTGAAGTTTACTTGCAGTTCACATTAAGCCTTAGTTCTTATCTTTAATCACTTTGGGTTTCTCTTCATGAAGCAAAGGAAGAAAACGAATGTTAAAATAAATGAGCAAAATCTTATATGGTTAGTTTAAGTAAATGATAGCAAAGCACATTGTCATTGTTATATTGAGCCTAGGTGCTGAACACCAAATGGGATGAACAGGAAAATGTGCAAACATATACTGCTAAGCAAGGACCTAAAATAGTGTTTTTTGTTTTACAAGAAAGCACTTTCTTGAGATGGGTGTATCAACTATTTCTGAACTGTACTGTGCCCTCTAAACTAAGAATGAACCTAATGAGCACTGAGGCTTAGCCATATGCAACTCTATGCTGGATTGTGGTAACGCTGTCCAAAGGGCTGTCTTGTCCTTGGGACAAACTGTAAAGATCAAGGCAGGTTGCCAAGTATGCAAAGGTTCTAAATAAGCCTTTCACCTCGTATGTAGTCATAAGATATCAAATGCAATTGTGTAGTCATAAGATATCAAATGCAATTGTAAGGAGTTATTAAATCAACAGGTGATTTTGGGTTATAATATTTTTAAAATCACTGATCAGTACTATGAAAACTCATGTTAAATAGATTGATTTAAACAAATAATATCAAGAGTATGTTACTAGGTATTCACATCATAATGTTATATCAAAGGGATCAGCTCTAGACTGAGCACTCTTTTAGGGGTTTATAATCTGGTTCCAAACTGAAAATACATACAATGCAAATGATATGAACCCTGGATGTGAGTTAAATAGGAAGTAGCACACAAGGAAAGTAATTCAGAATAAATTGCATGTATTTGTGCAAAAATGCAAATTAACACAACCTATACACTTTGAACAAATATTACTGGTCAGAACAGGACTTTCAATTTCCGTCCAGCTGTCCCCTCCCCCCAGCTTCAGAGAGCCCCCCCAAAGTTCCACAGTAGATTTTGGGAGTACACAGAGTACAGTGGGCTGTAGCAGGGAGAAGATGAAGGAGAAACCTTGTTGTGTGGTGGACACCAGTTCACACTATGTTGAATCTCACCCAACATCTAAATATTGGGTTTCTGGTAAGTCTACTGTTAAAACAAATATATATAAAACTGGGGTTTCTTGTCAAAAAAGTTTGCCTTGAAAACAGAAAATATTTACCAGAATGTCTGGAAGGAAGGACAACAAACGTTATGCAGAGCAGACTACTGAACTACCAAATACTATAACTGGAAGGTATTTTCTATAGTGTTTTAAACAGTATGATAATCACACAAAATATAATATACCTCTCATTCTTTTTTTGATCAGTTACTAACTCACTGGATTTTAATTCTGCTTCTGGTTTGGGCCTATATAGGACATACATGCTGATATAGGATTATAGTATACATTCTGTGTCAAGTGTTCTTAAATTTGAATGCAGCTGAATCACAACTGTTCTATACTGTATCATTTCATATGTTGGGTTTTTTCAAGTGGGGGGTGGTGCTGCTGCTAATTCACTGTGCACACAGTCATGGCAAAAATAAGATGGCATAAACTGGGGGGGGGGGACTCTTTATTATATAAGAAGTCTGTAAAAAAGGGAAGAAACTTCTAGTAGTTGCCAATTAAATAGCTTTTCCATAGCAAATAGTTAATAGACTCCCTGAAAGTCCCTAGAAAAGACATTATTTGTATCACCAAAAACATCTGTACTTAAAACTACCTGTGCAGGGTCTGCAGCAATCACTGGTGATTTATTACTTAACAGAATTTATGCTTAAGTAATATTTGTATTTTCCTATAAATTAAGCATTTAACCAATAAGTAGTTTTCATCTGTAATTGCTTTTGTTTTAGCAAATGCTTAATTTTTTTCAAAGTTGTTGTTCCTTTTCATCTTGAAGCTACGAAAAAGATTTTTGGTCCTTCCATGTAGTTCTGGATATTGTTTTACCATCTTCTAAATCCTCTCCAAATTGTTTGCATATCTAAACTGTCACCAGTATCCAGGCTGAGGATCATCTAATAACAAGCAGTGCATCGTTGCACTCTCACCCCTCTCCCAATCTAAATTATACCAGCACAAATCAAACAGCCATTGGTTGCACATGTGGGCTTGAAACAAAATACACAAAACCGTAAGAGAGGTCCTTTCCACTTGTTTGACAATATGGTGTTATTGTGGTTTATGTGGAGTGTGCAGTCCTTGGGTGTGCAAGAAGTGAGAAACCATCTTAAAGCAATTATTATGTTCACTACCACAGAACCTAAGCCCTATAATGCATGTCTCCAAAGCTCTGGGAAATGTCCCCAGTGACCAAGTCATGTTACAACTTTTAGGGCGTGGTCGCAGATTGTGATTAAGGTCAGGGAATGGAACAAAATACCTGGGAAACCTATCCTTACAACTACTAAAACGCTACTCATAGCTCAGTTGTACAGCTCCTAGTTAGCAGCTATCTATCTAAGCAGATGAAAAAAGACAGGAAGGAGAGACTATTGAAGGCCAAAGGTAGGTGAATGTCAAGCATGAGGGATCTACTTCTTTTCCCTAAAACCTCAAGGTCCACCAACTAGAACCAAGTGAAAAATAGTGGCTCAGAAAGAGGGCAGATGCACACTTAGAATTGAAGATCAGGACATCTCTGAATTCAGCATAGTCCGTAAATTTGCAGTTCCAGAAATTTCCACGGCCTTTTTTTGGGTGGGGAGGAGGAGTGGAAGTTGTGATTGTTGAATAATAGCAAAACAGAAATCCTTGTTGATCTACTGCACTTCACTCAGAGATTAGCCTGTAGATCCCTAACTACTTTCTCCTCATCGCTGTTGTGGGCACCCTCCTGGCCTTCCAAACCTGAACTCCTGGCCTTTCAAACAAACTGGCAGTGGCTAGATAAAAATGGAAGCAAAAGGAATAGCTCCTAGATTGGGTAGGGAGAGTGCAGTGGGGTGATGTTAGGCTTCCTCAGGTTTACATCTGTGGAAGAAGTTAAAGGGAGAATGCAATACACAAATAAGGACTTGGAATAGAATTATATCCAGTTGTGGTGTCCCACTTGTGCAAAACATTTCTGCATGTGCATGCAAATGGGACCTACTTTTCCACCCCACCCCCCAAAACCCATTTCTCTGGATGGTTGCAGGACATTATGGAGCAGATTATGGAATTAAGTGTGTTGCAGATGAAGAAGTCCCATTTGTATCCACTGGTGCAACAGTGGATCTCACTCATAGAATCTTCAATGCAGCATAAGTGCCTCAGGATTTTTACGTCCAACTGACAGCTCATTCACTTTTTTGTCACTTTCATCTCCTTCCCAACAACCTTTGCCTTTCAAGACAGGAGTTACCCTTCACAGCCTCTTCATTTGGACTCTATTGCAGAGCACATGCTCTCTATAACTAAAATTCTAGTCATGGTCTGGAGGGTTTATGAGCACAGTAGTTGTCCAAAATGGTAATCATAGAAGGGATGCCAAGAGTCTTAAGCCTCCAATTCCTTACCCATCATCACGTCTGTTTATCACTGTCTGAAAATAGTGGACAGAATTCCATATTTTCATCAAATGATTTTAAATGCTTCAAGATTTTTGAGACACCAACATTTGCTGTAATAAATTTTGTCAAATTATTTTTTCTAGGTGGTTTTTTAATCTGTGTTTGGTGCTAGTACTAGTGAGGAAGTTATTTATCATTTGTCCTCTGCTTAACCTTTTAATTGTTTAGCATTCCTAAGTGCAGATAAATTATTTTAAAAAATAAAACCTAACCTAAAAAACAAAAATAAACCGTGGGGCATGTTAGCTGTGATTTTCTATTTGGATAATTTCACTGAAAATATAAGAAGCCAGTGAGTCCTATAAAATATTTTTAGAAATGATACAAGCACTTGTAGTAATGGAGTGTCTTGAATATTTCTAATCTAAATATATCCAAGGATAATATGAGTAAGAATGATGCTTGCAGTCAACTTTGCCAAAACAATACTTTGCCAGAAATAATTGGCCTGACCTATGCCAGAGGAGGTGCTATTCCCTGAGCAGACCTTATAAAAGAGTTCCTGGGACCTATCTTGTCTTTGATCTGCCTGCTCTCTGCATACAGCTTCAAGGTAAGTCATGTGCAGAAACAAGGGTTGCAGGGAAGGAGTAGAGGCCTGAAATTCTTCACATCCCAAGTCACTTGGTCACCTCTGGAACTAATTTATGTGTGGATATTCAAACCTGCCCTGGAATTCAAACCTGTTCTTTCATCTATTTCTTCTCTCTCACCTATTCTTGGAGCTTTTTTGGCAGCAATTAAAAGAGGTTCATCTTTATTTATTTATCTTTTTTCAGTGGTAGCCAGCCTCAAGCCTGCATATAACACCTTGCACAAGGTAAGCATGCTAATCCTCATGGCATATTGAGAGTATAATATAAAGTATAAATGCTCTTGAAAAATTATATTTATAATGCAATTTATGCCAATACTAGTTACATGTCGAAAATATAATTTGGAAACTGGAATTTTTGTACAGTGGTACCTCGGGTTAAGAACTTAATTCATTCTGGAGGTCTGTTCTTAACCTGAAACTGTTCTTAACCTGAAGCACCACTTTAGCTAATGGGCCCTCCTGCTGCCACTGCGCCGCCAGAGCACGATTTCTGTTCTCATCCTGAAGCAAAGTTCTTAACCTGAGGTAATATTTCTGGGTTAGCGGAGTCTGTAACCTGAAGTGTATGTAACCTGTAGCGTATGTAACCCAAGGTACCACTGTATAGATGAATTAATGTAGAAAAAGAAATGCAAATGTGCAATTTCAAATTAGTGATGATAAACAGGAGAGTGAGAGTGGTGTAATGGTTAGAGTGTTAGACTAGGTGTTGGGCCTGGAGACTAGGGCATGTTGAATTTTTCAACTTTCAAATCCCCCAAACGAGGGGTGCTAAAAAGTTGCAACATGACTTGTGAATTCAAAAGATATTTTGGTCACATGAGAATCGACCAAGAGAGTGGCCAACACCTGGCCACTCCCTTAAATAGGCTGGGAGTGGGCTGCTCACAGCCCCCAAGCCCCAACCTCCGATTGGCTGAGGGGGCACTGCCCACCCTTATCTGAGGGCCCCACGTGGCAGTGCCAGCCATCCCCTCCCTCAGCTGCCCCGAAGATGGCAGCTCCCTGAACCCACCACAGCCGCCCACCTGGAGTCCTAGGTGAGCAGATATTTTGGCTAAATTAATATAACTTAGCGTAGCTTGCTAAATAAAATGTGTGTAAAATTATAAAGAAATCATTAAAAATGGTTGCCAAGTACTTGCAGTCATATTTATTTATATATTATACATATTTTACACTACCTGACACTTTCAGAAGGTAAAATTAAAATTCTTTGGTTTCCCCGAGAACAGCTTATTTGCTTCTTAATCAAACGTAGACTAGCCAAGCTAAATGTTGTCCAATCACAAATATAGCTGATTTGAATTCCTCACACCCAAAAACATATTTTTAAGCCCCATCACTGAAGAAATTTGCAAAAACTAAGTTTCACCCCCTAAAATGACACACCTTACTGGGAGTCCAGGGTTCGAATCCCACTTAACCATGAAGCTCACTGGGGGACATTGGGCCAGTCACTGCCTGTCAAGTCTAACCTACCTCACAGGGTTGTTATGAGGATTAAATGGGGAGAAGGAGAAACAGATACATCACTTTGAGATCCCTGGAAGAAAAGGTCGTACAGAAATGGAATAAATAAATAGGTAGGTAGGTAGGTAGGTAGCCCGAAAATGCGTAACTCAGAAACCTGTAGCACAAGTTTTTATTGGAACAAAAGTCTGATACTTCCATCACTTTGAGATGCTCAATAGAAGATAGTGTTTCAATCTCTCACACTGGATCTAGATCTAATAAGGAAGATGTATCAGTTGCTTACCCAACCTACATTCTAAATGATTCTTCACTTGTAGACTTGGAGCAAGATGATTTACTTTTCAAATTCCTGATAGGACGCACCGGGATTGTTTAAACACTGAAAGCTAAAGAAGGTTGAATTTTAATTAATGGCTGCAAATACTGGGAATTGTATTTCCCCCCACCCAAAAAATGGTAGAGCTCAAAAAAAATGAAATACAAAACTCTTTCCAGAGAAAAGCACAGGGGAGAGTTGCTTGCCTTTCCTACATAAATTTCAGAGTTCCTTCACTGCTTTCTTCCTGTCTTATCAGAATAATTTGCATACAGTGGTACCTCGGGTTAAGTACTTAATTCGTTCCAGAGGTCTGTTCTTAACCTGAAACTATTCTTAACCTGAAGCACCACTTTAGCTAATGGGGCCTCCTGCTGCTGCCGCCACGCGACTTCTGTTCTCATCCTGAAGCAAAGTTCTTAACCCAAGGCACTATTTCTAGGTTAGCGGAGTCAGTAACCTGAAGCGTCTGTAACCTGAAGTGTATGTAACCTGAGGTACCACTGTATAGCCAAGGTAGATTCACGCATGAGGCAAGGCAAGCATGCAGGAATACATAGGGGCAGCACCTGCTGCTGCTGTGGTGGCAGCGATGACTGTGGCACACCCCTTGGCGGCTGGCTCTGCAGCCTCCTGAGCAGCTCCTGCTGGTCTCCTCCTACCCCTAGGGAGTGGGGCTGCCTTCTGACGTTTTCTGAGCTCTGCACCTGCCTGGTGTGATTCAGAGCAGGCCCCTTCCCCACCCCCATGGCAGCTTTTGATTCCCACTTCAACTATTGGGTAAGGGTGATTTGATCCCCAACCCATTCCAGTTGTAGATCTTAACCCTGCCCCCCCCCCGCCATTCCCAATGTAGATCTTCACTCACACCTTCTTTCTTGGAAGGAGGCTGTACACCATTTTGTGGTTCACCTCAGGTGCCAAAATGTCTCGTGCCAGCCCTGCAAATATGCAAAAGGAACATTTGCTTCTGAATGCCAGTTGCTGGAAATTGCAAGTGGGGAGAGTGCTGTTGCAGTCAGGTCCTGATTGTGTGTCTCATAGGCTGGTGAGAGCAAGATGCTAGAATAGATGATCCTTTGGTCTGATCCAGCAGGGCTTGAATTAGATGCACCCAAAACACATGTTGTATGTCACTGAATTCTTGTCTTCCAGAGTAATGCCCAATCTTCATTCTCTATTCTGCTGTTTTCTTTATTAGAAACAGAATTGGCTTTTTGCCTCCTAAATTCTCAGTATACAAGGTCTTGCTATATTATTTACATTCAACCAATAATACTCTCCTTGGAATACAGATATAGAAAGCATCTAGCCCAGGAGTCTAGTCTATTATGTCTTGAAGTAGCTCTCCAAGGTCTTCCCCATATTTTCTCTTAACTGGAGACGCCAGAGATCAAACCTGGGGCCTTCCTTATATAGGCAAAGCTTGTGTTCTGCCACTGTGGCTAGGGTAATTTTCCAGACATACAACCTCTGTCCAATGGAATGCTTGGTACTTGACACAGTAGGATCTTGAGCTCTACAGATCAGCATATGGGATATAAAAGTCTCATAAAAGCAAATTTTCATGTGTCATTGAGTAGTGGCCACAGAAAGTTATATACCCTGAGAGAAGGAAACCGACAATTCATCTTACTAAAGAGGAATATGCGTTCACGTGTGCACTTCAGGGTTTTGCATTCATGCTGTTTTCCAACCATTCCAACAGAGGAATACAGCCTAGATGCCAATTTGTTTGTGCATGCAAATCAGATTCTCCTCACTGAATTAAACTGGGAAGCTCTTGAGTGTAGGGTGCTCTGTATACACAGATGTTGTATCCATATTTTTTCTTCCTTTAAATGAAGCTACTTCCATAGGAAGAAAGGAAGCATTGGATGCATCCTGAAAGACCTATGCATGCATAAGCAGTTACTAAATAAAGGTGATGGAAGGTTAAAAACAAAAACAAGTTAATACCATTGAAAGGATTATATTGATCCAATAACACGATGGAACATTTTCTCCCGTTTAGTGTTGTTGAGCTGCCTTCTATAAACTGCAGCCATGTCATCAGACGCAGAGATGGCCATCTTTGGGCCAGCTGCCCCTTTTCTCCGGAAACCAGAAAAGGAGAGAATTGAGGCCCAGAACAAGCCCTTTGATGCAAAGAATTCAGTCTTTGTGTCAGATCCTAAGGAGTCTTATGTAAAGGCCACTGTCACAGCCAGGGAAGGAGGGAAGGTCACAGCCAAGACTGAAAAAGGAGAAGTGAGTAGAAGACAACAAATGCATTGTTATAATTGCCTTGCCTCTACTTTTTAAGATGCCATAAACTTGCCTTTTGTTTCCTTGGCAGTCTGTGACTGTGAAAGAAGACCAAGTCTTTTCTATGAATCCTCCCAAATATGACAAAATTGAGGACATGGCCATGATGACCCACCTCCATGAACCTGCTGTCCTGTATAACCTCAAAGAGCGTTATGCAGCCTGGATGATTTATGTGAGTACAGTCCTTGTCTTTTTTTTTTTTTTGCTTTCTGCTAATGCGGTGTTGTGGTCTCAGATTAGGTAGATCTGTGTGCTAACCTCTAAAGCTCTACTGAGACCTCTGTGGATCACCTCCCTTGTTCTTCAGTCCAGCAAGTGATAGGAAAAGGCTGGCTTTACCTTTGCTCTTTGAAGTGATTGTAGTCTCAGCACCATTTCTCATAAGAATCAGGAAAAGACGTGCAATAATTTTATTAAAACTTAAAAAGTTTTACTATTATCCTGTTATAATCTTGTTTCCTTCTTTGTGATTAAACATTTGTTCAATATTTGGGATTTTTGAAGAGGACATACACTTGATTTTTAGAAATCCAAAATCTGTCAAATAACAATACTGATATAAGAACGTTGCAGTTTTTATCTTTCTCCTTACTATTTATGGATAAATTATATGTTTGCCAACTTTTAGTTTGGCTGGAAGTTTTCAGAATTTAAGTCTATTTCTTACTTTATTTCCATTCATGCTTTTCACCCTCTAAAAGAAGGAACTCCTTACATATTTTCCACAAGAGCAAAAGAATATAACAGTATTAATAGAAATATTACTACAAGCAGATTAATTGAACTAGTTCTGTTCTTCTTCCAGACTTATTCAGGTCTCTTCTGTGTCACTGTCAATCCATACAAATGGCTGCCAGTGTACAACCCAGAAGTGGTAAATGCCTACAGAGGCAAAAAGCGTCAAGAGGCCCCTCCTCACATCTTCTCCATCTCTGACAATGCCTATCAGTTCATGTTAACTGGTAAGTAAGTGAAAAGCTTTGGGAACAAATAATGTTTTCCTCAGAGGACCTCAGTGTCCTTTCACAATGTTGGATTAGTGCTGGTGACTGCATTCTTTATTCTGCTAATAAAATCATGAAGCTCACTCTCGCCACCATCTCCTAGCTTAATATGCCTGGCATTATGTGAGGATAAAAAAGCCGAGAACTGGAAAACACTTGCACATAGTGAATATGCTGTGCAAAGAGTACTGTATTATGTTAGAGGCTTAAACTGAAGATTTTGTGATATCATTTTCTCTTTCTTTGTTCATAAGCCTTTCCTACCTGCCAACACAGTTTTGGCTTCCCTAACATCCAGGATCCAAAACATATAGCCAATGAGGTGTTTGGATTAGGGATGGAGCAGAAATGTATTTGGCCTGCTGGTTAAAGTAAACCAATGTAATCCATAGGTCCTTGATTTATATGCATGTTAGAATGCAGCTATCAATCAGATCACACAAAATGAACACAAAAGTATGTATTTTACATTAAAATGCATGAAATAATTTGGATTTTGGCATAAAAATAATCAAAAAGGCTTACAAAAATGCACATTTTATGGAAAGAATGTGTTTAACATGTATAAAAGGTATTCAACTTAATGCATTTTTGCTCATTTTAATAAAGAACTGCAAAAATCAAAAGTGGAACAGAACAGAAAGGCTGATCTACCCATCCTTAGCTTAATGAAGACCACATAGAAACCATTTTCTTAGGATTTAAAATATGTGAGACTGGGAGTTCAGATGATACTTAAAATTATGGGGTTCTACTCCTCATGTATTCTTGGACAGATGTAGGTGCTTCTACACACACACACACACACACACACACACACACACACACACTGCTTCATATTATTTTAAAATTAAAAGTAACTTTTTAAACAATTTAATATTTTCAGATCGTGAGAATCAGTCTATTCTGATCACGTAAGTATCCTTTCTAGCTTTTTTCTGTGCAGACTTTTGAAATGGAAGCAGGGTGCTGTATTGTATTAAGGAAAAATCATCCCAATGCTTAACATGGGACAAAACTATATTCATAACTTAAATGGCATAATAGTCATAGTTCTAAGAAACTTTGGAAACTGCAGTTCTGCAATAGGAGCTACTCAGCAGTTTCCAAGATTTCTCATGAAACTGAAATTCCGAAGTCTGTTTGGGAAAAGCCATAGCAGTTAAACTGGTATAAAACCAATGTAAGTTTAAAAGTCCATAGCATATAATTATAACCATTAGAGCAGACGTGGCTAACTCTTGGTCTGGGGACCTGATTTGTGCTGTAAACAAATTTTGGCAGGGGTGACTTAAAAAGGGGGAAATTAAAATAGACCCAGCACAGGGATGGATGGAGAAATTTAAATTTCTCCACTCAGCCCAGCACCTGAATGAGATGTAAATCACTCCCTCCCCAGTCATCAGATCAATCCTTTGATGAGCAGGGAGGGGACAATAGGCCCCTCCTCAGCTGATCTACAAGGAACACCTGACGAGAGGGAGGCTGTGTGTATGCAACAATGTGTGTGCAAGAGTGTAGTAGGATGGCCACAGCTACTTTTAGCCACATATTTGGCTAGCATGCAGTCCCTGCAAGGTTGACCAAGAGTAAATGTGGCTTCAGGCAAAAAATGTTAGCCACTTCTGACCCATTGTTGAGAGACTTTCCCCTTGACTATTGGTTTCTTATCCCACCTTTCATCAACAGTGGAGAATCTGGTGCTGGAAAGACTGTGAACACGAAACGTGTCATCCAGTACTTTGCAACAATTGCAGCCACAGGTGAGAAGAAAAAGGAGGAGGCCACAGCAGGCAAAATGAAGGTAAGCTTTGTGTCACAAAAGGATGAAATGTGGTTTTGATGCAGTCTCTATATAATTAATCTTACAATAATACATACATTGCAGGGTACCCTTGAAGATCAAATCATCAGTGCCAACCCCTTGCTGGAGGCTTTTGGAAACGCAAAGACTGTGAGGAATGACAACTCCTCACGTTTCGTAAGTCATCTGCAGAACCTGAACATAATAGTTGGCCTTTAAGTGTAGTGCCTTATCATCATACACAGCAAATCTGTAGTAACCTATATGCAGAATCTGCCTCCTAGAATTTGTAATTGCCTATCTTTTCCTTTTTAAAGGGTAAATTCATCAGAATCCATTTTGGTGCCACAGGCAAACTGGCTTCTGCTGACATTGAAACATGTAAGGGCTCCTTCTTTAGATGAACTCTTTGTTTGTTTGTTTGTTTGTTTGTTTGTTTGTTCATTCTATTTCATTACCTTGCCAGATTTGCTAGAGAAGTCCAGAGTTACTTTCCAGCTGAAAGCTGAAAGAAGCTACCACATCTTTTATCAGATCATGTCCAACAAGAAGCCAGAACTAATTGGTAAGAGGCATTTGTTATAGTGGCTGCTGCTGCTGTTGCTAAAATCTTGTGCTGATGTTGGATTATGCAATGGATGAAAATCTGTGCTTCTCCTTATTCAGAGATGTTGCTGATTACTACCAACCCATATGACTTTCACTTTGTGAGTCAGGGTGAGATCACTGTTGCCAGCATCAATGATCAAGAAGAGTTGATGGCAACTGATGTAAGTAACTTATAGAATGGAATATATGGAATTTAATTAGACCAGTTTTGGGCTGAATTTATTCAACAGAAATTAGATGTCTTGGGGTGAGGCATTCTAGAAATGCTGGGGTTGATGATGTGTGTCTGCGTAGGGGGGGGGGGGAATCACAGTGCGCTAATAGCCGAAATGCTCTTCCTCCAAATGAAATGGTAATTTGAAGGGCCAGTTATTGCTCAGCATTTTAACTTTTGATTGATAGGAAGCCATTGACATCCTGGGTTTCACTGCTGAGGAAAAGACAGCCATTTACAAGCTAACTGGAGCTGTAATGCACTATGGGAACATGAAGTTCAAGCAGAAGCAACGTGAGGAGCAGGCTGAGCCAGATGGCACTGAAGGTATTCACAAAGTATCTCTGTTATGGCATTATACTTGGGGCCCTAAATACAATATGGATTGTGTGTGGATATGAAGCAGCAATTTACATAGTCTATTAATAAGGTATTGTTCTTTATTATGACTATTTACCTCACTGATTAACAAACATGTTATTAGGTGGCCAAATCTTAGAATCATAGTATTGTAGAGTTGGAAGGGATCCCAAGGGTCATCTAGTCCAACCCCCTTGCAATGCAGGAATCTCAACTAAAGCATCCATGACTGATTGACATCCAGCCTCTGCTACAAAGCTCCAAGAAAGGAGAGTCCATCACCTCTCAGAATCTACTCCACTGTAGAACAGCTCTTACTGTCAGAAAGTTCTTCCTGATGTTTCTCAGAGTCTCCTTTCTTGTAATTTGAATCCATTGTTTTGGGTCCTAGCATCTGGAGCAGGAGAAAACAAGCTTGCTCCATCTTCCGTGCAACAGCCCTTTAAATGTGAAGATGGCTATCATATCTCCTCTCACTCTCCTCTTTACCAGGCTAAACATACTTAGTTCCCTCAACCACATAAGGCTTGGTTCCCAGACCCTTGATATCATCTTGGTCGCCATCCTCTGCACATGTTGCAGCTTGTTAATATCTTTCTTAAAAGGTGTTGCTCAGAACTGGATACAGTACTCCAGGTGTGGTCTGATCAAGGCAGAATAGAGTGATACTATTACTTCCCTTGGGGTGTATGGAGTCTTTGGGGATGGGTAGTACTTCTGGTTGGGGACACATGTTGCTCCTTCTGGGGTAGTTTGTCCTCCTTTGGTCCCCAGCCTACACTCAGCTCTCACCTGTGGCTCCTAGAAGCTGTCAGCATGCAACAGCGGCCACACCCCGAGAACAGCTTTGACTGGCCAGCTAAACCAGGTGAGGATAGCTGATAGGTCTCAAACCCTTTGAAAGTTAGGGTCTTTCCCTGCATGTGAAGACAGACTCCAGAAGATTGAACGTTCAATACCAATAGTGGGCCCAATGGTCAAGAAGGTGGTTACTGCATGTGCTGTAGAGGGAAGTAAGGGACAAATGGGGCTCATCAACCTGGGAAAGTAGCTCATCTAGGAGAACCACTTGATTGATAATAGTGTAAGTGAAACTGAACAATTTAGAAAAGATTCTGAAACCTATATAATTTTGAGGTTAATGATTGTCATAAGTAGAATCTATGTCAGACAAGCAAAATATATTTTGATAAATTATGGTCTATTTGTGCTGATAATCCTTTCTTCTTATGTTTGTGTTCAGTGGCTGACAAGGCTGCCTACCTCATGAACCTCAATTCAGCAGATCTGCTGAAAGCTTTGTGCTACCCCCGAGTCAAGGTCGGCAATGAATATGTCACCAAAGGCCAAACTGTTCAGCAGGTGAAAATCTATGAAATGCTGGATGCACCACTTGATTAACTACTATTCCTCGGAGGTTTGGTCCTCTGCTTTGTATATTAACTCCAGTTTGTATCATGTTATTCTAGGTGTATAATAATGTTGGAGCTTTGGCTAAAGCTGTCTTTGAGAAGATGTTCTTGTGGATGGTTGTTCGTATTAACCAGCAACTGGATACTAAACAGCCAAGGCAATACTTCATTGGTGTGCTGGACATTGCTGGCTTTGAGATCTTTGATGTAAGTGAATGGAACCTTGTCACAACGAAGGTGGATCCCCACTCCCCAGGTCTTTTTAAATCTCCTGGAATATTCCTTCTGAAATAACCTGGTCAGTTTGTAGCACAGGATGCCAATTCCCACAACTGTACTGCAATGGACTGACTGGACAAGCTTTGCAGGTGGTAATAACTCATCTAAGTAGCACAGATTCATAATTTCAAAAGATAGCTAGTATACAGGGAAGTCTTGAGAAAGTGTTACTAGAGAATGATGAGGTCCAGGATAGCTCCAACATTGCAGAAGGACCTCAGTGAAGCTGACAGCACACTTAAAATGGGTAGGGATGAATACACAGAAGTTCCTCTGACCCCATTAATATTACTTCTATTTATAGCATTTTTCTTCATCTGTTAGGTCCACCTATGTAGTATATTTAATCCAAGTTAATGTGTAATGGGTGGAATTTTTTCAATCAGGTTAAGGGTAGCTTAGGTAGACATGCAGGTGGAAAATAAGCATATGGGTGGAAAATATCATGAAGTACTGTACCTAGAATTGAAAGTGGGTCGCACTGAGTTGTACTCTTTAGAATAAATGTACTCTTTCCCCCACTAGTACAACAGCCTGGAGCAGCTGTGCATCAACTTCACTAATGAGAAACTGCAACAGTTTTTCAACCATCACATGTTTGTGCTGGAGCAAGAGGAGTACAAGAAAGAAGGAATTGAATGGGAGTTCATTGACTTTGGAATGGATTTGGCTGCCTGCATTGAACTCATTGAGAAGGTCTTTTTAAAAAGTTTTTGTTAATCTTGCATACAATGTAATTAAGCAGTCTTTAAAGTTTGAAAGATGTGTCCTTACTTTAAACAACAAAACAGCCATTTTATTTAATTTAAATTCATTCTTATAAAATAGTATTTGCTTGCGACATAAAAATAACGGGAAGAGAGAGGGTCAAATCTGCTTCTTAGTGTCTCATGTAAAAATGCCTTGATATGGCATTTTAGAAACTCTTGCCATACTCAAAATACAATCATTCAACAGGAAGCCTTACAGAACAATTCTTGACTGTCATTGTGCAATGAAATCCCGACCTTAAGTTACATATTTGCAGAAAGAAACTCTTGCTTTATTTCCCCTCATTAAAATCACAACACAAGGTGGCTGGCCAAAAAAACCTATCCCTATGACACTTGCTTGCAATAATATATGCTAATATTACAAGCCAACAGCACACAAGTTATAAAATCTTGCTTTCTCTCTGCTTCTTATAGCCAATGGGTATTTTCTCCATCCTAGAAGAAGAGTGCATGTTCCCCAAGGCAACGGACACTTCTTTTAAGAACAAGCTCTACGACCAGCATCTTGGCAAATGCAAGAACTTTGAAAAGCCCAAACCTGGCAAAGGCAAGGCTGAGGCTCACTTCGCCCTGGTCCATTATGCCGGCACTGTGGACTACAACATCAGTGGATGGCTGGACAAGAACAAGGACCCCCTGAATGAAACAGTTGTAGGACTGTACCAGAAATCTTCAATGAAGACATTGGCCTTATTGTTTGCAGACCGCCCTGCAGAAGGTAATTCCTGCTGCAATTTGCAATTGGCTCATGAACATAACCGTGAATAGGAAGGAACCTAAGTTCAGTAACAGCAACCATTTACTGGGAGTGCAGCAACACCATCTGCATATGGCAAAACCCAGTCAGTCTGGTTGAAGATTCAAGAAGGGCTAAATCGCACAATGATTTTAAACCATCAAATGTTAAACCATCAAATACTTTGCATACACATCATACATTTAAAGCACACATGCAAGAATCCTGGGAACTGTAGTTTAAAGATGCTAGGAATTATAGCTCTGTGAAGGGAAAATTACAGCTCTCAGGAATCTTTTTTTTTGGGGGGGGGAAGCAATGTACTTGGAATGTATGGTGTGTGTGCACAATGGCAGCTCCTCTGGCTTTTTCTGAGGACCACTCAACTAACACTTCAGCATATCTCTGTTCCAAATATTATTTCACATTCACCCATCACATGTCTTTAAATAATCCTACAAGAATCATAACCTTCCAACCCTCAGAGTAAATATGGTGACAATATATTATTATGCTTAGGTCTGGAAGTCCCCCCACCCCCGTACTGGGAGCAGCATTTGCAGCCTCGTTGCAGCAGCAGGGTAACACACAGTCACATTCTGGTGTGGTTGTTTTCCTGCACCTCTCATGTAGCGAACAACGAGGCATTGCAAAAGTCAAGAAGCCAACCAGCATTAGTCTGGGCTCCCTGTGAACTGGATTTCCAGGGAAGACCTGGGTGAAGACTTTGCCCATCTCTGTCTGCTCTGGGAGTATTTAAGAAGCTGTGGCAGGGTGAGGGTTGACCATTTAGGGGGCTACTTTGAATTTGCTGTGGGTTTTTTTTTTTTTTTTAAAGTTGCTGTTTTCAGAGCCAGGAAGGCATTTGTGCTGCAGTCAGTTGACTGGCCAGGTCTATGGGTTTTGCCGGCCTCATAGCAAACTTTATGGTGGAAGAGGGAGACCCCCTAAACTTTAGTCAGCTGGAACAGTTCATCAACCAGCAGGCAAGCTGATTGATCTTCCTGATAAATGCCAAATGCTTACACCAAACCTGTTGCATCTGTAATCAATAAAGTTGTCACCTAATTTGAATCCAACACACTCTCCCATCCTTGTCCTTGGTCTGTGCACTCCACTGCTGCCTCACTGAACCTACAGCCACAAATGTAGTTTATACAGAAGAATAACACATAAAATCCCTGATGTATATGTTTTAATTATCATATTTTTTATTATTATTCAGAGGGAAAGAAGGCTGCAAAGAAGAAGGGTTCCTCATTCCAGACTGTCTCTGCTCTTTTCAGGGTATAGTAAAATCTTGGCTTAAGATATTTGTAAGGGGAGAAAATTCTGATTTCTTAGGGCTGCCATACGTCCAAGTTTTCCCGGACATGTCCGTGATTTTGGCAGCAGAAGTGGCGTCAGGGCGGATTTTCGCTGAGTCAACAAAATGTCTGGGGAAACCCAGACGTACGGCAAGCAAGGCAATTATTTGAAAGAAATGCTTTAAAAATCCTAGAAAAGCCTGTCCTTTTTAAAGAATATTTTGGGAATATAGCAACCCTAAATTTCACAATCACAGAACACCAGCATGCCTCTAAGCACAAGAGAAATGTATTATAGGTGAAGGCTGAAATTCTGTGGTAGAGTACATTGCCTGTGTACAAATGACCCCAGTTTTTATCTTTGCTCAGGAAAGACTCTAGTCTAAAATCCTGAGGAACTGCTACCAGTCAGTGTAAACATTACTGTGCTAGACAGACCAATATTCTGACTCAGTAGAAGGCACCTTTGTATGCTCTGATAGATCCATCAAGAGTTTAAGAGTCCAAGACTGCTTAGTCCTAGAACAGAAAGCATGCAACTGAGCTTCTTGGAGAATGGGCAAGATAAATGTGATAAATAAATTATACAAAACGCTAGGTCACTGCATTCTAGTCTAGCTGAAGTCTCACAATGGTCTATGATCTGGAGATTACCAAGGCAAACGTGAACGTGCCCAAGTCTTTATCACTAGAATAGTGCAGTTTGTGAATCGGACAAGGATGATTTTTTGAAAAATCCACCTAGGTATCTAGGAGCAACCCCAAATTGTGCTCTCAATTTGTCAGAGGAAGTATGAGTCCAATCAGGTTAACCACACACCAATTTCATAGAGGTTTTTCAGAGGTTTTCTCTAATTTTTCTTACTACCTATGGAAAATTTAAAGGAAGTTTTGCATGTATATGTGTGTGGAATTTGTTAACCAGGCTCTGGCTTCTAATTCCACAGGAGAACTTAAACAAACTGATGAGCAACCTGAGGAGTACTCATCCACACTTTGTGCGTTGCCTAATCCCCAATGAAACTAAAACCCCTGGTAAGACACAGAACTCTACTTTGATTTTTAAAAAGAAAGATGTGATGCACCAGTTGTATACATTTTGGTATTCATATCTTCTCTTATTTTCTAAGGTGCCATGGAACATGAACTTGTATTGCACCAACTGAGATGTAATGGTGTGCTGGAGGGCATCAGAATTTGCAGGAAGGGATTCCCCAGCAGGATTATTTATGGTGACTTCAAACAGAGGTCAGACTGCCCCCCAATTATTAACCTATTGGTTGTTTGTAGTTGTTTTGCCCCCCCCCATCAATAGTTTTGAGTTGCTTTTTGACTGTTTCTAATATTGCATTATAGCAGTTAGACCACGTTTGGACAAAAGGGTTAAGGGGGGGAAATGCCATCAGTGACAATTAATAGTCCTTGCATGAAGAGATTACAAGAAGGCCCCAGTTAAATTTAGCCTCAGTTAAATTTTACTAGTCTCCCTGATTTAGGTAAATGGCCATTAGGAATAATATTTGTTTAAACATTTACAATCAGATGCTAAACCGGATGGACCATTGGTCTGACCGAGTTCCATGAACATGGCATCAAATCATAAGCATCTTTATCTTCCACTTCTTCCAACAGATATAGAGTTTTAAATGCAAGTGCCATCCCCGAGGGACAGTTCATGGATAGCAAGAAGGCTTCTGAGAAACTTCTTGGATCTATTGATGTTGACCACACCCAATATAAATTTGGCCACACAAAGGTAAATTTAGTTTTTATTACAAGACTGTAAAATTAGAGTTTGTTGAGACAGTGACCAATACTTTGTAATATTTTCTTTTCCCAGGTCTTCTTCAAAGCTGGCCTTTTGGGTCTTCTGGAGGAGATGAGAGATGACAAATTGGCACAGCTGATTACACGTACACAGGCTATGTGCCGTGGCTACTTAGCAAGGGTGGAGTTCCAAAAAATGATGGAAAGGAGGTAGAGTTTTGCCATCTGTAATAGAACTCATGACCACACTGGCCTATCATGTTAATATGCCCTACACAAGGATTACAAATAATAACATATATAAAATACTCTTTGGGCTACTCTCCAAATTCTGTGGCAGATTCTATGTAAAACTTGTAAGAAGTACAGTCGTACCTTGGTTCTCAAACTGAATCTGTTCTAGGAGTCTGTTTGACTTCTGAAACCATTTGAGAACCAAGACACGGCTTCTGATTGCCTGCAGGAGCTTCCTGCAGTCAAGTGGAAGCCATGCTGGACGTTCGGCTTCCGAAAAACATTCAAAAACTAGAATACTCACTTCCAGTTTTCAATTGTTCAGGACCTGAAAAGTTTGAGTTGCAAGGCGTTTGGCTTCTGAGCTTCCACTGTATACCTTTAAAAAGGACTGTGTGTGAAGTGGCACTAAGTGGCAGTTCTCTTAACATTTATTAGGTTTGTATTAAATTTGAGTGTAAGAAGTATAAAAATAAAGTGACAGCTATGCCAAAGAAGCATAATGAAATTTGAACTACTTTATAAAATAGTCCTATTTTTGGAAGCTTTATTTGATAAATTTCTTCATATACCCCATGTGCTCCTGAAAATATCAACCCCTTCTTTATAAAGAAAAAAAAATATTCATTTTTCTTACTCTTTCCTTGAGATATAAACCTACACTTACTCCCAGATAAGTGTAGTTAGTAGTGCAGTCTAAGACCTGTTTTGCAACTGGACAAGAATCGGACAGTTCATATTTCTTATTGGGAGAGTCACAAAAGAATTTCATTAAACACTTTGATCACACTGTTGTCGTTTTCATCATCAAGGTTTTATTTTTTTGTCTGGTTGTTACAGAGAATCCATCTTTACTATTCAATACAATGTCCGTTCATTTATGAATGTGAAGACTTGGTCTTGGATGAAGTTGTACTTCAAGATCAAGCCTTTGCTGAAGAGTGCTGAATCAGAGAAGGAGATGGCCAACATGAAGGAAGAGTTTGAGAAAACTAAAGAAAGCCTTGCCAAAGCAGATGCCAAAGTGAAGGAACTGGAAGAAAAAATGGTTTCTCTGATGCAAGAGAAGAATGACTTGCAACTCCAAGTCCAATCTGTAAGCATTGTTGGTAACATACATTTTTCTTCACTCTAGACTAGTTTAGGTAGAGGAATTCAGAAATTGCAGGAGAAATGTGGCTATGTTTAATAAATCTGTATATCTTATATACATACTACATATCCTCTACGTAATAGTTCACCACAGTCAAAGTTAAATTGGACATAAGTATTTTTTTACACATATATAGTATACTGGTGAATATAGTTTATTTTGGTATTTGATATACCAACATAACCAGTGTCTATTAAAGAGTGATTTACTTGAACACTGAAAGAATATGGCCTTGAATAGCTTAACAATTAGTTTTAAAGGTGAGGCCATGTGCACATTCCTTTGTGTAAGTAGATTCTGTGCAAGAGATCTGCGTGTGCATGAACTTCTTAAGTAGGATAATAATATTATTGCTATATGACATACATTTTCCCTGTATAGGAAGCTGATGGCTTGGCAGATGCTGAGGAGAGATGTGACCAGCTGATCAAAACCAAAATTCAGCTGGAAGCTAAAATTAAGGAGCTGACTGAACGGGCAGAGGATGAAGAGGAAATGAATGCTGAGCTGACAGCCAAAAAGAGGAAACTGGAAGATGAATGCTCAGAGCTGAAGAAAGACATTGATGATCTGGAGTTAACACTGGCCAAGGTGGAAAAGGAGAAGCATGCCACAGAAAACAAGGTAATGATCATAATGTGCTCAGATCTGCAACCAATAGTCAGAATGTTGTATTATCATTCCAGGGTGGAATGATACATTGAATCTGTTTGTTCATTTCTAAAAGGTGAAAAATCTCACTGAAGAGATGGCAGTCTTGGATGAGACCATTGCCAAACTGACCAAGGAAAAGAAAGCCCTCCAAGAGGCCCATCAACAGACCTTGGATGACCTGCAGGCAGAGGAGGACAAAGTCAATACTCTGACCAAAGCAAAGACCAAGCTGGAGCAGCAAGTGGACGATGTAAGCACCAACACATGCAGAAGAATAACTGTGGGGGTGAAAGTAGTATTAGAGTGACAAAGTCTTTGTCCCTTCTTTGTCTTTAGCTTGAAGGGTCCCTGGAGCAAGAAAAGAAACTTCGCATGGACCTGGAAAGATCCAAGAGGAAACTTGAAGGTGATCTGAAGCTGGCCCAGGAATCCACAATGGATTTGGAGAATGACAAGCAGCAGCTGGATGAAAAGCTTAAGAAGTAAGTATGGTTTACTGTCTAGAAGACCTTTTGGGAGCTCTTTATGGCACCCAGCCCTCTTTCAATTTGACTGAGAAAACCTTGTGTTTTGTTATGAAAAGGAAAGACTTTGAAATCAGCCAGCTACAAAGCAAAATTGAAGATGAACAGGCCTTGGGCTCCCAGCTTCAAAAGAAGATAAAGGAGTTACAGGCAAGTCAAGCACATATTGACTCCATCATATGAAAATCAGTTCATCAGGGAAGACTCTGTTAATGGCTGCTTCTCTTTTTCTAGGCCCGTATTGAGGAACTGGAGGAAGAGATTGAGGCTGAGCGTGCATCTCGGGCCAAAGCAGAGAAGCAGCGGGCTGATCTCTCCAGAGAACTTGAAGAGATCAGTGAGCGTCTGGAGGAAGCTGGTGGGGCAACCGCAGCTCAGATTGAGATGAACAAGAAACGTGAGGCAGAATTCCAGAAAATGCGCAGGGACCTTGAAGAAGCCACTCTGCAACATGAAGCCACTGCATCTGCTCTCCGCAAAAAGCATGCAGACAGTGCAGCTGAACTTGGGGAACAAATTGATAACCTGCAACGTGTGAAACAGAAGCTGGAGAAGGAGAAGAGTGAGCTGAAGATGGAGATTGATGACCTTGCCAGTAATATGGAGTCAGTTTCCAAAGCAAAGGTATACTGCAGCAGTATATACTTTCCTTTAGCTTTACCAGGTGGAGGCACAACATACAGAATTCACAATCTTACATGGAAAGCCAGTATGCTGTAAGGTTGTAAGGTTGGAGAGTTGGACTATGACCTGGGAGACCAAGGTTTGGATTCCCCGCTCCGCCATGAAGCTCAGTGGGTGACCTTGGGCCAGACCTCTCTGGGTAGCTTCTTAGCCTAATCTACCTCACAGGGTTGTTGTGAGGACAAAATGAGGAGATGAAAACCATGTATACCACATTGAGCTCCTGGGAAGAAAAGGTGGTATATAAATGTAATAATAAACACATGGTTTGGGGATATAAAGAGATTGATACGTGGGTTACAGTAGCACCCATTCAAGTACCTAAAAGCAAAAGCAAAATACTCATATTAAGCAGATGGAACAGTGGATAGTATATTGGATTTTTATGTAAGAGAGCAGCTTCTAAGTTTTTTTGTATAGGTCTACACAAAACTTTATTTATACCTTAAATCTACAAAATGTGCTTAGAGCAAATGATCCACCTGGCTCATGCAGGGACAACCAGAAGAGTGTCTGGAGTAGCTGTCATTTGGTGCCATGTCTATAATAATACTGAATTTTTTATTTATAAAAATATTTGCATAAAGTAATTTCTTTAAAAAGAAATTCAAAGTAGTTTACAACAATTCAAAATTACAATTTACCAACTATTACAGAAATTATTCCATAATAGCAAACATAAAGCATGATCACCTAAATAAGCACTATCTCAGTGCTGTTGTGATAAATATTATTTATCCCTGCCCCCACTTTCCTGATACTTCTTCCCAATGTGTATCATACTGTAATGTGACACTGCTATAGTCAGATTATTTTGATAAATTATGTGGGGAAATGGAAGAGGAATTCACTGTAGCACTAAGTGAATTGCTTCTTCAGTGCAAGCATATCTGCTTGCTATCCCTACCACCACCCAGAACCAGTTTGAGGGAGCATGCACAGGTGGAGAGGGGAAAGGCCTGTTGTGCTAGTGGAGGTCAGTGTGCAGGTTTCTGCTGGCAGGGCCAGTTAGCTAAATCTGGCCTCAGCTGTTTTATATAGCTATACACTTTATTATTTCACATTTAGGCAAATCTTGAAAAGATAAGCCGCACTTTAGAAGACCAGCTTAGTGAACTTAAAGCAAAGGAGGAACAGAACCAACGCACTATTAATGACCTGACTGCTCAAAGAGCTCGTCTGCAGACAGAAGCTGGTAAGAAACTGAAAGTAAATTATTTAATGCTGCAATTCTTAGATCCAAAGATTGCAAAGTACCAATCTACCATGTCTATACTATCCAATTGAATCCTAACTGCACATAAGTTTAGGGCAATGCTTTTTCCTTTTCTTGCAACACGATTTCATTATGAAATCTGATTCTATGATTGTTTTTTTGAAAGTAAGTTTCTCCAGCTGCAATAGTACTTGTTAGCAAACGAGTGAGGTTTATCTAAGTGTGGCTAGTCATAATTTATAACTACTAAGAAAAATATTTTATGAATAGTGAACATGATTAATTTGTTGTTACAAATAAATTAATGCATTTGTTGTTATAACCATCAAGGTCATTTCAACCACCGCTTAAAAAGAAATATGTACATACTATACAAAATATACATAGATCTATACATACAGTAGATACATAGATAATATGTACCGGTATATATTCCATTTAATCCATTCTCTTTTCAGGTGAATTCTCACGCCAAGTTGAAGAAAAAGATTCACTGATTTCTCAGCTCACAAGAGGCAAGCAAGCCTTTACCCAACAGATTGAGGAACTAAAGAGGCAGCTTGAGGAAGAGATAAAGGTGTGTATTCTGTTCAACATTGCAGACCCTCTATCACAGTTCTAAACAACACAGGGCCTCTTTCTCCTATTCAGTTATTGACACCCATGTGCATTCTGCAGAAATCCTAATTATTCTCATTTCAGAAGCTCTAAGGTTGCTCAGGAAACTTCTCTAGATATCTGCCTATGGTGGTCTCTCTATTCTTTCTCTCTATAGGTAAGCATGTGCTTACCTATCTTAGGCTGCTTGCAAACTAGGCATTTATTCTGGTATAGCTATGATTCGTTCACTCACATTTGAAGGAACAACCACATAATGACATCAACATTAAATCGCTCTCTTGTGTTTTCTCCACAATTCTTCCATCTCTTTGGAGAGTCAGAATAGCTGACTTTGGGAGCAAGAGCAGAATACTAGCATAATAAGTGGGATGTGGACAGGAAGATGTAAAATGAGGCAGGGATGACATGTTGGAGATTTCTCAAATTTTTGTGTATTTCCTCAGGGCAGCTAAAAATAAACATTAAAAATACAAATGCAATAGACACTATGCAACATAACAACAGACATGGGTAACACCCTGACATTCATAACTACTAAATTCTTTCTGTATTTCAGGCCAAGAATGCACTTGCCCATGGTTTGCAATCTGCCCGTCATGACTGTGACTTGCTCCGGGAGCAGTTTGAAGAGGAGCAGGAAGCCAAGGCTGAGCTGCAACGTGCCATGTCTAAGGCCAATAGTGAAGTTGCTCAGTGGAGAACCAAGTATGAAACAGATGCCATTCAACGCACAGAAGAGTTAGAGGAAGCCAAGTAAGTACAAGAACCAAGAGCAAGGGAGAGAAAGGGAACTCAAAAGTAGAAGAAAGTATGCCATTGTGTAGATGGAATTGGGGGAAATAGTTATTTGTATCACTCAGTGAACAGGTCACTGAGTAATTTGTGCTAGGCTCAGAGCAACAGATATATTGTAATAATGCAATCATATCAGTTTTGACATGGAAGGAGCTGATGACATGGCAAGACAAAGTTTGAATGGAAAATCAAATTTGTTTTTGAGACCATTCTCAGTATGCATGGACCATTCTCAGTAAGCCATTTATTATATTGGATGATTAAGAATCACTAAGTGTTGTGATCACATTTCTCTAGGAAAAAGCTGGCTCAGCGTCTGCAGGATGCTGAAGAACACGTAGAGGCTGTGAATTCCAAATGTGCTTCCCTTGAGAAGACAAAGCAAAGGTTACAGAATGAAGTGGAGGACCTGATGATTGATGTGGAAAGGTCCAATGCAGCCTGTGCAGCTCTAGATAAGAAGCAGAAGAACTTTGATAAGGTACTTTTGGCCATAATTTGAAGGAAAACCCAGCACATTGCAACAAACCCTCAGGTACACATGAACACATTTCTTATTTCTTGTGTTTCTTCTTTCTGGTGTTTTGCAGATTCTGGCAGACTGGAAACAGAAATATGAGGAAACACAGTCTGAACTGGAAGCTTCCCAGAAAGAGTCTCGCTCTCTCAGCACAGAGCTCTTTAAGATGAAGAATGCTTATGAGGAATCTTTGGATCACTTGGAAACTCTGAAGCGTGAAAACAAGAATCTCCAACGTAAAACCACTTTTTCATAATAACTGCAAAAAAACTGTGAAGTTCGTTTTGCAGAGCTGAAGCAGTAGATCATAAGGATGGGATATCTCATACAGTCCTTCTCCCCAAAGCTAGAATAGACACCCATGTGCATAAGAGTTCACAATGAGTGTCTTCACAACATGCAGTTTTATTATGCAGTCTTCACAAGGCTTATGAGGAGCCTTACATCTTAGGTCATTAGGTGTTGTATAAAATTAAAAATAAAATAGGTCTGACCCACAGGGCTGCAATCTAAAATTATGCCAGTATGGCATAACAATTAGAGTGCTGGACTATGACCTGGAAGACCAGGGTTTGAATCCCCACTAAACCATGAAGCTCACTGCGTGATCTTGGGCCAGTCACCATTTCTTAGCCTAATCTACCTCAAATGGTTGTTGTGAGAATGAAATGGGGAGGAAAAGAACCATGTACACAACATTGAGCTCCTTGGAAGATACAGGTGGTATATAAAATGTAATAAATAAATATAAATGAATGAATAAATGAATAAATAAAATAATGCTAGTACTATAATAGTTCACTCCAAATAGTGGAGCTGGGATGAATAACTGAAATCCTCCTTCCCAAACCTTCCTACATCTGTTTATTATTAGCTGCATAAACACTATTAATCTCCTTTCTCCTTTCTTTGTGTGAAACTAACAGAGGAGATATCTGACCTCACGGAACAGATCGCTGAGGGTGGAAAGGCCATCCATGAATTAGAGAAAGTGAAGAAGCAGATTGAGCAAGAGAAATCTGAACTGCAGGCTTCTCTAGAGGAAGCTGAGGTAAACAATACAATTATGCATAATGAAAAGACACAAATTATTGATCTGTAATACTGTGAAATAATTGAAGAGGCAACCAGAAGGATGATGATAAGATAAGAACATTGCTGGATCAGACTGAAGGTCCATTTAATCCTACAATCTGCTTTTTACTTGGAGGTCCACAAGCAGGGCATGAAGGCAATAGTCCAATCCTGTTGTTGTTCAGTGTCACAAATGGGACCTGCAACAAAATGCTGCAATGTGGAGTTCTCTTGTTTAGTATTTCAATCCATCGGTCAGCAATGCCTTCTTCCATTCCATTCCATTCCCTGCCCTTCAGCCATCAACATTCTGTGGTCGTTGAGCAAGCTCTGCTCTCTTGTAGGCTGCTTCTGAGTCCCACCCTTTTTTGTACTTCTGCAAACATTGCTGTTCCCTCAGATCTTCTGATACTTCCCTCTTATGTGCAGATGGTACTGTTTTGGCTGAGTAACTGTTAGCACTCATGCATGGCCATTGGAAATAGAAGCATTATTGTATGCTTACAGCTATTTTTTACCCCATCCTCTTTTGATGAAGTGGAACATTTACACCTTCATCCCTTACAGATGCTCCCCAGTTCTTGTCAGCTTTTCCCCAAAGGTCAGTTTAAAAGCCACTCTGTGACCTTTAGAATTTTAAGTACCAGCTGTCTAGTTCTATTTTGGTACAAGTGAAGACCATCCTTTAATTCAGGTTCAACTTATGTCAAGATGTCCCCAGGTCAAGTTCTGAATACCTAGCTGAACATGCAACAGGTAGCATTTCTGAGATGGCTTCCTTTGAGTATGGAAATGTGGTGAATACACTGCTAAATAGTATATTCAATATAATGTTGAGCGTACTTCAATAAGGAAACAGCTGTCAAATTAAGTCCATTATTAACAGCTGTCATAAATGGTTTTCTTAAGGCCTCACTGGAACACGAAGAAGGCAAAATCCTCCGCATCCAGCTTGAGCTCAACCAGGTGAAGGCTGACATTGACAGGAGAATTGCAGAGAAGGATGAGGAAATTGATCAGCTGAAGAGGAATCACCTGAGAGTTGTGGAGTCCATGCAGAGCACACTGGACGCTGAGATCAGGAGCAGGAATGATGCCCTGAGAATAAAGAAGAAGATGGAGGGAGATCTGAATGAAATGGAAATCCAGCTGAGCCATGCCAACCGCCAAGCTGCTGAAGCACAGAAGAACCTCAGGAACACCCAAGGAATACTTAAGGTACATATATATTTCTGTAATCAGGATACAGTTGTGATATTGTGCAAAGAATGGTCTCACAATAATATCTCAATATCATTTTTTAGGACACCCAGATACATTTGGATGAAGCTATGAGAAGCCAGGAAGATCTGAAGGAGCAAGTGGCCATGGTTGAGCGCAGAGCTAACCTTATGCAGGCTGAGATTGAGGAGCTCCGTGCAGCTCTGGAACAGACAGAGAGGGGCAGGAAAATAGCAGAACAGGAACTTCTGGATGCCAGTGAGCGCGTGCAACTTCTTCACACCCAGGTGAGCTTCTAATATGTAATGGGCACACACAAGGACATGGGGATAAGCCAGTGGGGATAAGCCAGATGTAGGCTCTGCTCCAGAAATAAAGAGATTGTTGCTAATGAGTAAATAGGCAATTAACCTACTCATCACCACACAGTCTCTTTTTCTCATCATATTAAGAATCACTACTGTCAAGGGACATGAAGTGGATGTTGGTACTCAATTAAGACCTTGAAGGGAACTCATTTATTTATTAAGCACGTTTTTAGCAAACCCTTTAGCCAATAAATGTCCCAGAAAAGTTTACGTAAAATCAATAACAAACAAAATAGTCATAGGAAGGTGATTTACAAGGCATGACTCGAGAAGAAAAAGGCATAAGGAGGGAAGAGGAAAACAGGCACCAGTTATTAAAGTAGCATAGTTGTTATAATGACCAGATAGAATGGAAACAGTTTAGTAAGAGGAGCCAAATGAAGCTGGTCTCCTCATGGAGTTGATGTAGCGGTCCTCATTTCTATGTTTCCTTCTGATGCTGCCTGATAGAATGATAGTTGCTTGGCAGCAACCTGATGAAATAACCAAGTAACAGTTGAGGGTAGGGATGAATGAATCTTTCTGTTTTGATTTCTCTCCGTTTCTCATTTTTCCAATCTTCAGTTCACTAAGTTTCCTCATCAGTTTGTATTTTTAAAAAAGTAACACAAAATTTGTATTATTATTATTATTAGAAACAATAGCAGCAGCATTTTAGTGTGCCTTTCTCTTAATATGCACATTTCTGTATGCAAGCAATTTTCCCTAATATAATACATTTGGTATGTCATTCTCACTGATAAATGCATCTTTATTCACACATCCTCAATATGTTTTTCTGCACACATTTTTTGCATCACAAACTTCAGAGAAGGGCACATTTTGAAATATAGATGTATTTAAGTTTTACACATGGTTTCAGGATGTGTGAATTAAAATGTAAACCAAACCAAATTCCTTTCCCATTCCCTAGTTGAGGGAGGGAGGAGCCCAACAGAGCTGGTTTCTGCACCATAGGTATGCTGGGGAAATGTTTGTGGCTCATTTCTGAGTACCTGCAATTGTACTCAGCATCGTTCTTTTGTACAAAATGCAAGCAATGTGCATGACATATTTAGGCTTGGTCCTTTACGAAAACTATGATCTCCCATTCTGTATAGAATACCAGCTTGATCAACACCAAGAAGAAGCTGGAAACAGACATCTCACAAATCCAGAGTGAAGTGGAAGAGACTATTCAGGAAGCCCGCAATGCAGAAGAGAAAGCCAAGAAAGCCATCACTGATGTGAGTTGGGCAGATTTTCTTTTGAAACTATAATCCTGCTTGCAGTTGGAATGGCTGGTTTCCTAAACTGGGGAAAATTTCTCTATTAATAGGCAGCCATGATGGCTGAGGAACTCAAGAAGGAACAAGACACCAGTGCCCACTTGGAGAGGATGAAGAAGAACCTGGACCAGACAGTGAAGGACTTGCAGCATCGTCTTGACGAGGCAGAACAGCTGGCAATGAAGGGTGGCAAGAAGCAGCTACAGAAACTGGAGCACAGAGTATGTATTTCTTGTAAACAAGTTCACTCAGTTCTACTTCTTGAACAAATTGACCAGCTGGACAGCTAATGGCTAATTCCATTTTCCCCAGGTACGTGAGCTGGAAGCTGAAGTTGAGAATGAGCAGAAGCGCAGTGCCGATGCTATCAAGGGTGTGCGCAAATATGAGAGACGTGTAAAGGAACTAACCTACCAGGTGAGGGCAGATATATTTTTTCTGCATCTTTTGGAGGAACTGGTAAAAGCATTTTATAATCAGATGTACTCATGTTGTTTTCTTTTCTTTTGTGAAAAAAATATCCTGCTCTGTCCAGTCTGAGGAAGACCGAAAGAATGTTCTTAGACTCCAGGACCTGGTTGACAAGTTGCAGATGAAAGTGAAAGCATACAAGAGACAATCTGAAGAAGCTGTAAGTATTATTCTGAACTTGCTGTAGCTTGAGCTAGAATTATGAAGGTAAATTTGATATAGCAAAGGTTTCATTTCTATCAATAAGTACAAAATGAATTAGTCTCCATGTGGCAGAATTAGTTGCATGAAACAGGGGAGTTTCACATAAGTGAGACTTATGTGAGAACAATTAGCAGTGGATTGTGCCCTCAGTAACATGAACCCAAATTTTCATAATGGGAAGATTGCAGAAACCTTGCTCATATTGTTTTTAAGAGGAGAAGATCCTTTAGCAGTCTGAGTAATTAAAGCAATACGAAATAGCAATACAGTGGTACCTCGGGCTAAATACTTAATTCGTTCATGAGGTCCGTTCTTAACCTGAAGCACCACCTTAACTAATGGAGCCTCCTGCTGCCGCCGCGCCGCCGGAGTACAATTTCTGTTCTTATCCTGAAGCAAAGTTCTTAACCTGAAGCACTATTTCTGGGTTAGCGGAGTCTGTAACCTGAAGCATATGTAACCCGAGGTACCACTGTAGTCACTTTTGCATACCACTTTACTGTACACATTGCAGTTCACAATAAAAACTGTGCATTTCTATTAAAGACATTATCACCTCCTATAATAGTAATAAAGTGGTAATATACTGACCAATAATATCATGGGCAGGTCTGAATGTACAAAGAACAGTCAAGCTAAACTAACCAAGGTTTGGCATTATGTCCAAATGCTGCTACTGAGATTTATGCTTTCTCCTACCCTCAAAATCATTTATACTATTTAAGTGTTAAAAATCCAGTACCTAGATTCATATATTTTTATCCATTTTCAGGAGGAACAATCCAATGTGAACCTGTCTAAATTCCGCAAGATTCAGCATGAGCTGGAAGAGGCTGAAGAGCGGGCTGATATTGCTGAGTCCCAGGTTAACAAGCTCCGGGTGAAGACCCGAGAGGTGCACAAGAAAGTTGTTGTAAGCGAAGAATAAGCTCAACCAAAAGCTGTAGTGACTAAAGAGAAGCGCAAAATGTGAAGCTCTTTGTCACTTTTGTAATTATCATTGTTCAGTTTCTAGAAAATAAAGATTGTAGATTCCTTTGCAAGATGACAAAAAAGATTTTATGTGTTGCTTTTCTATACAGTACTATTCTTTTCATAGCATTTCATGTACATCATAATTTCTGGCTAACCAAAGCTTTCTTAATTTCAGTAGTATAATTATTGAACTGGAGGAGAAGTCAGTATAGATCTTATTGTTACCATTCTTTTGAGTCAGACAGTTTTGAATGGCGAAGTCCCTTTTTTACTCCAGTTGGATTATTCTGGGCTAGGTGGTTTAAGTCTGTAATCCTAAATTCATTTCCTTGGGAGTCACTGGGACTTATTTCTAGCTAGACATGGTTAGGATGGTGGTCCAAAATCCAAGCAGGGAAGCTTAAGTGGTTTGTGGATCAAGCACTTGGTTTCCCTTTGCTTCAGTCACATTTGAGACAAATTAAATGGATTAGTACTCACAAATTTAAACATTTGAACAGGTATCCCTAAAGGAAAACAACTTCAAATGCCTGACTGAGCTGTGTACAGTCAGCTCTACTCTACAGATGATGATGATGATGATGATGATGATTCACCCACCTTTCACCCTAAGGCCCCAAGGCATGTTACAACAATTTAAAATACAATATTAAAAACAGTGACCACAAACAGTGACACAAACTGTTACATCCAGTGAAGTTATTCAACAGTGATTAGTAAGTCTTTCCTCATCAGATAATGACAAGCATGCATGTTTTGAAATTTCACAAGAGAACAAAAAAAGGTACAGCGTTCTTAGATTAAGCTGCAAAATAAATATTTTCTGGTGGAGAGGGGGGAACTCCCATTAAAACTTGTAATATATTGGTTCTTCACCAAAGAAAGTCAGTCAGGATGAGAAAAGAACTTCAACTTTATTTATTTTTTTAAAAAACCTTTCAAAACACCAGCAAAGTGAATACAGAAGATAAATATCAAAGCATCTTGGAAGTAAGCAGGGATAATAAAATATGACATTTATCCTTTAGTATGATGCTTTCATCTATCATGGGTTGAGCCCATACCTTCCAGTGTTTCTCAGATGAAAACAGGGATGTTCTAGTCTGCATCTCCTGCATTTTGATCTCACTGCACATAAAGATGTCATATACACATACACACCTGTCACCTTGAGCAAACTGCAACCTCTCCGCCAAACCTACCTCACTAAATTGTTGTAAAGAAAAAACGTGCGAGGGAAGTGATCGTGTATACGACCTTCAACAGATAAATGGAATGAAATAATTTTTTTGTGGTAAGCTGCATTGAGTCCCTGTTAGGGAAAAAGGTAGGATGTGTGCTCTGCTTACAAAATGAATTTGATCTGCGTGCTGCAGCAGCAGCAGCAGCAGCAGCAGAGTCTTAGGCTATGTACACATTAGTGGCTGAAAGCAGTCCTTTTTTTCTTAAAAAATGTTTAGGGGTACTCTCATTTTGAATCAAGAAAATCACCATTTTATAGTTCAAATTGGGAAAAATAATTACAGTAAATGGACAAAAGTACAAAGCTTCACAAAATGTTTAGGGGTATGCGTACCCCTGCATCCCCCCAGAAAAAAGCACTGGCTGAAAGTGTAGCAAAGTAATCACCCACCCACCCCACCTTTAAGTTACATTTCCACTTGCCATACACATCAGAGACAAGGCAGGGATGTCTTTACCAGATGCATTGTCCCTATTTGGTTTCCCCATGCCTGCAATGCGCTTCATCTGCACACGCACAATGGATGTCCCAAATGTACATACCTCAACTTTACTGTGGCTTATGTTTTCAAATCAGACAGGAGCTGGTTTGAGGGGAAATGCATCAGACAGCATTATTTCTCAAGGGACTATATGATCCATAGCTGTCAACGTTTCCCCCTTTTTAAGGGAAATTCCTTTATTCCGAATAGGATTCCTTGCAAGAAAAGGGAAAAGTTGACAGCTATGATATGATCATGTGTACATTGCTTCAAACACCAATGAGGGAAGTGCATTGAAGCATCAAACCCCAAAGCAGGGAGTGCACGTTTCAGCAAAGTACCATCTCTGTCTCAGTATCCCCTGCCTGCTGCCTATTATACTATACTATAATACCGGTCTATTATACAAGGTGGTTGCGTATATCTAAGATTGGGGTCCTCCATTTTTCTGGGCTCAGAGGCACAAATGGGAATCTAAGACACTGTTGTGGGCTCAGAATCCTCACCTACAATAAAATAAAATAAATCCCAAGCAAAACACCTATCCAGCAAAAAAAGAAAAACAAACGAAACATAAAAGAAAGCAAGGCAATCCTATCTCAACAAAAAAAAATAATAAAAAAAATCAAAACCACAAATAATTCTTCCTTCCTTTATTGAATTTATACACCACTCTTCCTTCCAAAGGAGCCCATTTTTAAAGGAAGGGCAGCACTTAGGGGGCACCAAGGGGAGTGTTTGAGAGAGCTGTGATGCCTACAAGTGCCATATTGGAGATGCCATGTCTGAGATAATCTATATGAATTTCTCTGTGCTCTTCAGAAAGCAGTAAATCCTTGTGAGTGGGAAACAAGACAATAGCACAACAAAAATTTCCATTTGCTTCTGGGTGCTAATTTAAAGTAACAAGAAGGATAGATCATTTTTCTGAAGGTGAAATCTAAAGCTTATGGGAAGGATGAATAATAGAATTGTAGAGTTGGAAGGGATCCCAAGGGTCATCTGGTCTAACCCCCAAATACATTTTGGATGAAATACATTTAAAAGTGCCACCTGGCTCCTGCCGTTTTTCTACAATTCGCTGTGCCTCATTGTGGGGCAATGAATCTTCTGTTTAACAGAGTATATACAGATGAGCTATGATTATATATTTTACTTATTTATTTTATTTTTAGAACATTTCTATCCCACTTTATTACCCTCACAGGCTCTCAAACTAGTTTACAAAAGATTATCACAATAAAAATGACATTGAAGTCTGGTACAGGAACAGAAATGATATGGTGTCCTCATGATGCCAGGGTGAATCAGCTGGCACTCATCCTTGGTCTTCTTTGGTGTTGCTCTTCCTTGGTATTGCCCTACTAGGCAGTAAAGCCCCCTGATGCTCTCTGAGACAAGAGAGTGGGGCTGCGCAGCTAGAACTCAGTCAGCCCATGATGGACGCAAGTTCTCCTTTGCATTGATTCTACTCCTACTTGGACGACTTGGAATTGATGCTAGAAGATTTCTTCTTGACCACTTGGAAATTATGTTTTAGTGTTTCATCTGTTCCTCCACGTTGCTTAACATCTGAATGAAAATGGGTCAAAATCATCTGGAGATTTGGACAAAGGTGCCATTAATATGCAAATGACACTCTGCTCCATCTCTCTTTTTCATCAAATCCTGGAGAGGCAGGATGTGTTCTGAGTGCTCAGATGCAGTAATGGACTAGATCAAAGACTATAAACTAAGACTCAATCTAGACATGATGAAGCCAGTGTGGTGTAGTGGTTAAGAGCGGTAGTCTCGTAATCTGGGGAACCGGGTTCGAGTCTCCGCTCCTCCACATGCAACTGCTGGGTGACCTTGGGCCAGTCACACTTCTCTGAAGTCTCTCAGCCTCACTCACCTCACAGAGTGTTTGTTGTGGGGGAGGAAGGGAAAGGAGAATGTTAGCCGCTTTGAGACTCCTTAAAGGGAGTGAAAGGCGGGATATCAAATCCAAATTTTTTTTTTTTTTTTTATTGCTAGTGGATGATTCATGTTCCTATTTGAGTGGTATTCAGCATGTTCTGGAGGCATTTCCCTGCACTGATCCAACATTGTCACTGAAGGCCCGAGTGGTCTCAGTGACTCAGAGTGCCTTTTATCCGTTGCATCTGACAAATGAGCTGTGACCCAACTTGGGGATAACCTAGTTACAGTTATCCATGCTCTAGCAACTTCCTGATTAGATTACTGTAATGCATCATATTGGGCTTCCTTCGAAAGTGGCCTGGAAACTTCTAAAATCAGAATGCAAGGTTGTTAACTGAACATTTTGAGCATATTACACCAGTTCTTTATCAACACTACTGGCTTTCCACAAACAATCCCTCCCTTCCTTCAGACATATTTTGCAATTATAATTATTTTTGTTTAGACAGGACTTTACAACATGAATTTTCTTTTTGAATCCTATCAGTATTTGATGATGTTTCTAGGAATATCTTTGTGGATTTTATATGTTATATTCCACCTTGCCACGTGCAGATGCCCTTTTAAATGTGTTGTGGAAGGCGCGATTATTGGTTTGTTTCTGTTCTTATTTTTATAATGTATTTTGTGTTTTTTTATATTGCAATTTTATGTTGTGAACCATCCTGAGATCTATGGGTATAGGGCAGCATACAAATTTAATTAATTAATTATTAATTATAATAAATAAATAAATAAATAAATAAATAAATAAATAAATGTTGGGCCTATTTGACCTTTTAATCTCTAAAGAGCTTGCGGTCAAGCTATGTGAAGGATAATTTACTCCTAACCAATGATTTTTTCCTAGAAAAAAAGGTGCCGGTACTCGCCATAAAGTTGTTACAAGTAAGTGCCACACTTTTCAACAACAACAAAGATGCCGGTACTGTGTACCCTTGAGTACCCCTGGAAAAATCACTGCTCCTAACTGAACTTTGAGGTCGTTCATTCTTTGGAGTGCCACTGCCAAGTGAGATCTGGCATGTGGCTATAAGGAAAAAAGGGTTCTCTGTGTTAGCACCCAGAGAGGCAACACCTGGTGCCAGGCAGAGACTTTTTATTCTCTCTGACTTTTAAATGGATTTTGAAATTTTGGCTTTATAAGTTTTTAAGGCCTGTTTGTATTTAACTGTATTGCTTAATCTATGCTACACTGTGCCTTAATACTGTAATTGTTTGTTATGTTTTAACAATGTTTAGGTGTGCCACTCAGATAACTTTGGTTGTAAAGGTAGCATAAAAATACTGTTCATACATAAAAGAATAACATTGAGCACTATAGATTGTATGCTCAAACAATCAGAATATCCCTTTGGGTGTATTCAATTAAATAATTGTACAAAATGATTTCACCCTTCTCCTCCCTTGTGTGCCCCCCAGCCCCATCTTTGCTTCAGAGGGTTTGGGAACTCCCAGAACAGACTTAGCAGTGTGCGGGGAGAAGAGGTGGGGATGTTCTATTATGCAAGGAAAAATCTTTGTGCTGATGGAATGTTCCCCTTAGTGCTACTTTGAATATAACACTTTTGTTATGATGAATAAACATAAATAAGTCTTGAGAATGCCACTGGAGTAATACTGTCTTGCACCAGCTGAGTTTCTGAGTCTCGTCTTTTAAATTCTTAGAATGCCAAACACGTCTGTCAGATCACTTTGTGCCAACCATGAAATCTGACCTCCCTAAGTTTCCCTAAGGCCCTGTCACTCAAATTCAGAGCTGCAGAATACATAGAGAAAGCTGATTAACGAAAGCCAGAGTCTGCAGTAAATTAAGAGTAACTCTTTTCTTCCTATACATACAAATGGAAGGCTGTCGTCGCATTGCCCCCATTGAAAGATTTGTAGTGCTGCATGACAATCCTGGATTTTCATGGCCACAGTGGGATAGTGGAGCAAAAGAGAAAGCAGGTTGCACAGCAGTATTGGCTATCACTTGGGAGGGAGGAGGAAGGGACACTCACAGGGGGAAAGTAGTGGTTTACAACAACAGCAGAGGTGTGAGTAAAGAATGGAAGGAGAAAACAGAGGGGGAAAGTGGCGATTCGAAACAATGGCAGATATTTGAATAGACGTGGTGGGGTGGGGGAGTGGCAATTTCAAATAAGGTCTGAGTACAGTGAGAAGGAATTTGGGGAAAGCTATGTTGCATTAGCCTATTGGTGTTAGCATCCGTGTTGTACCCATCTTTGTTTCCCCCCGTTAAAGTTGTTTGCTTTGGGGTTTTTCCTTTAAAAAACCCTCAGTATCCTTCTATACCTGCTTTACTCAAATCTCTACCATTGTTTAATGGTAGACAATTTCCCTCTCAGTGTTTCACACTGACAGGAAAACAATGGCTGTTTTAAATTTCTCTTTCCATTATTCAGCTGCCTCATGTAAGAGGTATAATGGAAGCAAAGCCTGCAAATATTCTATTGTAACTTCCAGAAATCATGTATTTCACTCCTGGTACCATGTGTTGTGTTTAACATGAAGTTCCAGATTCAACATAGCAATTTAGAAGAGATACTTTATTAACAAGCAAGCACACATATATGTACAGCACCTATAAACCGAACTTAACATTCTCTAGCTGAATAATCTGACAGGCTTGCACAGTTCATCTTAACTGTACAGTAACATATATCAGCATGGAGTATATGTGCAAAGGGGGCTGCAGAATAGGAGATGAAGGCATGAAAATGGGAACAGTAAGAACATAGCAAAGAGAAACTAGAAATCTGTGTAAGACAAAATAATAGGCTGAATCTCAGGTTTCTCATATACAGATTTTGATGTTGAATATTTTCCAGTTATTTCCTGTATGTTAGGAATTCTCCAGATAGTTGATATATGTAATATTCCACGATCAGCAGTTCACAAAGAAGGTTGCAGTTACGACTCAAAATTAAATTCCTTCTTGTCCTTCTGCTGGCAGGTGAAGATTTTCTTGTAACCAACAGGCTTTTGGGAATGGACTGCTTTTAACGAAAGTGCTGGTGCTATGCTGTTTTACTGTCATTATTGGTAGGGTTTTAATAGATTTTATATAGATTTAATTTTATCAGTGTTCAATTGTTTTTTAATTATTGTTTTACTATGTTTTTAGCAGTTCTCATTTTTTTCTGTAAGCCATCTCAAGTCCCCATGTGAAAATGTAGAGTATTTATTTATTTACTTTATTAATTAGCAGCAGCAGCAAGATGTAAGCCATATATTTTTGTTTTAAAGCATGAGAATGGTATAAAATGTAATTCTTGCATTTAGATTTGTTTGGGGATTAAGTGGTTAATTTGTTATGCCTGACCTGTCTGAGGATCAAAGGGGAGGTAAAATTCAATTAATATGTGGTGGTTGTCATACAGGCATTGTTTGTAGCTGAGAATTGGGACACTAATTTAGGGATTGCAAGTCACAATGGTGAAAGTCAGAAACTAGCTTTGGTTGACAGTTTCAAGGCAGAATCTGGGAGACAAAGGATGAGCAAATCAAGGTGTGATATCAGGTTACAAAGGGAACATAGCTAAAATTTAACCTGTGGCTTTTCATGGGTGTGTAGTACCATCTTTGAATATTTTCTCTCATTTTAGTTGACACTGACCAAAAAGGTCTTTCCATGGCTTTTTTTCTGGCCAGAACTTGCCAGAACTCAGTTCTGGCAGCTCTCAGGTATGTGCTATTGCCATTATAAGAGAACAAGGCACCTTTTTTCTAGAAAAATAGCACTGGTCTTTTTCATCCCATTGGGTGACTGTGCAGAAGAAGACTGTGAGTAGTTTCAAACCACCTTTTTTGCTTTCCTCAATTCTTTTACCATTATTGTGCTTCATTTCTGCACCTCCATTTCTACAAGGTCCATCAACTTATTATGAATGGCTTCTCTCTCACACATCCAGTGCCACTTTGCAGACCAAGAAAACAGAAACTAGAAGTTTCAGTAAAAGGATTAAGGAACACAAAAGTAAGATAGTGGATTGTGAAGAACTGAGAAGCAGGGAAGGAAGAAAAATGTGGAGTGGAGAGAGGGAAAGACTGTAGGTCAAATTTGGTCAACTATGTAATATGCAGCCATGTATCTTGTTTTTCCTTAAATAATTACAGGAATGGGAAAACATAATTCTTACTGGGAAAGCACCGTGGTTATCTGTCACTCCCACACCATGATCAGACCTGGGATAGCTCAGTCGGTACAGCGTGAGACTCTTAATCTCAAAGTCATGGGATCAAGCACTGCGTTGGGCAAAAGATTCCCGCGAGGCAGAGGGTTGGACTAGATGAGCCTCAGGGTCCCTTCCAACCATATAATTCTATGAAAACTGAGATTAGCCCTCCAAGTTTGGCTAGGACTCTTAGGAAAAGAGTCTTTCACAAGGCTCCTAGCTGTGCAGGGTTGCGTGTGTGATAGAGAGTGTGTGTCTTTATTCTGATCATGGTGGAAATGAAAAAGTATCCCTACGTGTGCTCTGCCTTCCCAGTAAGCACTAGGCTCCCCCATGGCTGTAATTATTTAAGAAGAAACAAGATAGTTAGCAACATGCTATGTTATTTAGCAAATGTCTAGCCTGTGTATGTCTCCTAGCCTTATAAACTGTGTTTTTGCAACCAGATGCTTGCTGGAGCAGCCAAAATGAGAGTATCCCTAAACATTTTTTAAGGGGGAAAAAGCACTCATTTAATCTATAACAGTACAGTATTTCACAGTTAACATTCAATGGTGCTTAACATATGTATTTGGTGTCTGGCAAGCAACTGTATTCAGTATCTGACAGCACATGACAGATTACACATAGTGGTGTTTATTTGATGGTGTTTGATAGCTCACAGCTTGCAAAATTTCATATTTGATGCTTGCCAAAAAAGAGCATATTTGACTAAAGTACTGACATTTCAATACTTCAGATGAATTTGAATTTTCCTAATCAAAATTTGAAAAAAGTAAAATTGGAAAAATTAGCAAATTTCAAATTACTACAAATATTTATTTCAGCTTCACTATGCACTCACCAGCCTTCTCCTCTTCTCTCCTTACCAGTTAAAACATATTTACTGCCATTCATTCTATCATAAGCATATGGGTTTCCTTTGAGCAATATGTTGCACTCCCACTGAACCCTAACAGCATCAGATGCATATATTTCTCTCCTCTACCAGAACACAAAATTGGTATCAGGATCAGACCACAATATATAGGCTGCCACCCACTCTTCCCTCCTCTTGTCAATTTATTTTTAGATTGATTCATGGAGCTGAAAGATCTAATTATATCTGTTCGCGTCAAATATGAATGGAAATCTTGCTGGGAGTTAAGGCTGCCAAAAAGGTTTTGACCGAAGAAAGAAGAGGAGGCTGCTGTGTATGCAAATCACTTCCTATATAAGTAGTCTTGGGACCAGCCTCTTATGTCCTTGCACCAACAGCTTAAAGGTAAGAGTGTGAGAAGCTCGAGTTTAAAAGGAATAGAATCTCACCCTGAATTCTTCACATCCCAGTACATTCCTGCTGCATTTGACATTTCTGAGCACAGATAGCCTGTGTCAATAGGGATTTAAAATCTGCCCATCAGTTGCTACTCTATAATTTATTACTGGACCTTTGATAAAGGATCTATCATTTTTATTTTACAGTATTGGGCAGCTCAACCCTGCTTTACAGTCCACCTGATACCACACAAGGTAAGACACTGATTTATTAATTCCCTGGGCAAAGTCAGATACATGGTAGGAAAGGATCTGCATGTTTTTCAGTGGGTTAATTGCTTCCTCCCAACCTTTATGGAACATGTATAGCTATATCAAATTTTGTTATAAAGCAGCATTCCACTTAGCAGGAGGAAGTCAATTTTGGGAACTGGCCTTGAATATACTGATTCTTTTACTATCCCCTCTAATAGAACATCTGCCATAGCACAAACCCATGGGTCAAATTCTGAAAGGATGCACTATGGTAGGGAATCACAGTCTGCATCATGCCATGTATGTATAAAGGCCATAGTCTATATGAATAATTTTGACATGGGGTTCTACTGTGCAGGGAGTACACAATTCCTGCTGAAAGTTGTATGGTTTCTAATTTAATTGTAAACATAACAGGTAGCAGTGTAGAAGGGCTGTAGCTCAGTTGTAGAGCATCTGTTTTGCATACAGAAGGTCCCAAGTTTGATATCTGACAACTCCGGGTAGGACTGGGAATGTCCCATCTAAAACCCTGGACAATACTATGGACAATACTGACCTAGATGGACCAATGGTTTGACTTGGTATAAGGCAGCTTCCTAAGTTAATCCTGCTTGACAGAACTTCTTGCTTGTTGGCACACGAAAGGACACAATAATACAGTTCAAGCTACAAACTCCTGCAATTCCAGCATTCAAGTTCCTAACAGAGCGGGCTGAAGTAGCTCAATCTGGATGAGTCTGTAGGGGATGAAATCTAGTATCTGATTTTATAGAGGGATAGTTAGTTGTCTTGTAATAAACAGCAGTCTTGAGGCACCTTAGTCTATTGTGCACTGATAAAACAGTAAAGTGTAAACCACTTGAACTAAAATGATAGTCTTTGGCTAGTTATAAATATAAGATACAAAAAGAGAACAATTATTATTTGTATATTTATGAATCACCTTTTGCATCTTAAGACATAAAAACTAAAATAGTTTTAAAAACAGTACAAAACCAACTGGAGATAGGCATTGAATTTTGTTTTTAATCAAAATAATATTATATTCTAACTCATATCATAAGAAAGAAAACAGTAGCCTTGCTCTGATAAGCACAGTCTAGTCACTTTAATCTTCTTCCTTATTGGCTACAAAAAAAAAAAAAGAATTTATGTGATAATTTATACTCTATCCTTCAACTGCAGTATCAATTCCTAGGGTGGCTTACAAAATATTAAAAATGACCAAAGCAAACAATAAATCAACCAACCAACCAACCAACCAACCAACCAACCTACCTACCAATAAGGTAATTTGACCCTGGCAGTTCCTTCAGCTTCTGCAGTTTATATAATCCGGTGTAATGGATGACTGAACAAATTCCACAGACCTGAAAATATCTAGATTTCAGGATTCAGAATCTATAGGTGCCAAGTATATGGTATTCCATATGAAAAGTAGGACCTTGGTTCTAAGTGCTAATGGAGCTGGATGTTGCCAACTCTCTGAAATACAGGATGTAACGCCAAAGGAAAAGTTGTATATTGGACGTATGTCCACATTTTCTTTACATGATTCATATTTTTCTTTCCTTCAGCTTTTTGTTTGCTGAGCTGCGTGCTATAAACCGCAGTCATGTCTTCAGACGCGGAGATGGCCATCTTCGGGCCAGCTGCCCCCTATCTACGAAAGCCAGAAAAAGAGAGAATTGAGGCCCAGAACAAGCCCTTTGATGCAAAGAATTCAGTCTTTGTGACAGATCCTAAGATATCTTATGTGAAGGCCAGTGTCACAGCCAGGGAAGGAGGGAAGGTCACAGTCAAGACGGAAAACGGAGAAGTGAGTAGAAGGAATGCATTGTTAAAATTGCCTCATCTCTACTTTTTAAGATGATATAAATTGGCCTTTTGTTTGGTTGGCTGTCTGTCCTATATTTGTTCATCTTCCATTTAATCCTTTTCCTCCCAGTCTGTAACAGTCAAGGAAGATCAAGTCTTTTCTATGAATCCTCCCAAATATGACAAAATTGAGGACATGGCCATGATGACCCACCTCCATGAACCTGCTGTCCTGTATAACCTCAAAGAGCGTTATGCAGCCTGGATGATCTATGTAAGTATATTCTGAAGTAACATGCCTCTCTCTTTTTATGGTGGAACTAGATTTTAATATAGGGGTGAGGAAGTCTGTGGCTCTCCAGATGAGACTCTAACTCCCAGAAACTCCACCTAGCATGATCAGTGGACAGTGTGTTGTAATACAGTTATATTTGGAGGGCCATAGGCAGTTCTGACTTTGGGGCAGAAGTCCAGGGTCCCTTGCAGCAAAATGCCCTCCAAGTGCAGCAGGGCTAGCTTACCACATTTTGAAGTACATGAAGTAATGCACGTTACCATCTAAAGAAGTAGCCTCATAAGACCAATGCCTAAAATTAGCTAACTGCACTTCTGGTCACAGGTTTCCTACCTCTGCTTTAAGACCTCCCAAATATCACTTTCTTCTCTCACACCACACAACCATGTTAGGTTTCTATCTTGTATCAGTTAGCCAGTTTGTATTGCTCTTTTGTGGGCAAAGTAACTATTAGCTGCCAGATCCTATATTATGTTCCTAGTGTCTTGTATCAATCAAGGACAGGAATGTAGCAAAAGTCTACTCACATACAGTGGTACCTCGGGTTACAGACACTTCAGGTTACAAACACTTCAGGTTACAGACTCTGCTAACCCAGAAATAGTACCTCGGGTTAAGAACTTTGCTTCAGGATGAGAACAGAAATTGAGCGGCAGCCGCGTAAGGCCCCATTACCTAAAGTGGTACCTCAGGTTAAGAACAGTTTCAGATTAAGAACAGACCCCGGAACGGATTAAGTTCTTAACCAGAGATACCACTGTATTTGATTTCTCTTCTTCTTTTCTTTTCTTTTCTTTTCTTTTCTTTTCTTTTCTTTTCTTTTCTTTTCTCTTCTCTCTTCCCTCATTCCCAATGATAAACATCCTGTCCTAAGTATATATCCCTGAATATCCTGCTCAGCTCAAAGTTCCTTAGTTCGGGAATTATATACAATTGACTCACAATTTTTGCAGGGGTTACATTCTGGGGGGTTGTGCATAAAACCAAAATTGTGTATAGCCAAAACAACTCTGAAACTGCCCCCACTTTACTATCCCTACCTTTCTGAAGCCAGTGTGCCAAGCATGCCTTGCCTCCCATGCAAGGCAAAGAGCATCTAAGCTCTCCATCTTGCTTACTACGCTCTAAGAGGTCTTGGGTGGCCCCTGCAATATCCTGTCAGCGCCTTTCAGAGCCTGTGTGAGACCTTCCCAGAGCCTAGTAAGCAAATTTGAGAACTCTTTTCATGCCAGGAAAACCTGCTCCAGGAAGAGCTTTAAAGCAATCTGCATTATGGGCATTTAATCTGTGTGATTTCAGCTCTCCGGTCACCAAGTATGTAAATCTGCAATTGTGCAAGTTGTACAAGTTGTGTAAATTTGTACAAGTTGTGAGCTAACTGCATTTTAAACTCTATTGGGAATATTAAAAAAATCAACAATAGGCTCCTCTGTTGGCTAGCAAGGCCGCTCTTACACCTTAATAACTGTTGATATATACTATTGTTGTACTGTGTATTTTGGGTCTATGGACCACAATAAAGCTCTCTCTCTCTCTGTGTGTGTGTGTGTGTGTGTGTGTGTGTGTGTGCGTGCATTACAATAGACAGGATAAAACAAGCTAGATATGTTTTTCTTCTTCCAGACCTATTCAGGTCTCTTCTGCGTCACTGTCAATCCATACAAGTGGCTGCCAGTGTACAACCCAGAAGTGGTATCTGCCTACAGAGGCAAAAAGCGTCAAGAGGCCCCTCCCCACATCTTCTCCATCTCTGACAATGCCTATCAGTTCATGTTAACTGGTGAGTATATGGATCTCTTTGAAAGAGTGAACATTTTCTCAAGAGAAACCTTAATAACTTTCCTAGGAAATGTGGAGGTCTGTTAAGATAGCATATAGAGAAGCATTAGAAAGCTGGCTCAAAACAAATTAAGAAGTTCCCTAATCATGCTAATACATGTAGTCCAATTCCTGCTCAAAAAGTAACGTTGGCTCATTTTTTCACCAAAAAAGAATACAAAACTTAAAAATCAACAATTATTGACAAGAAGAAAAAATACCAATATTGCTGAAATGTGATTCCATTTTTCAGTGTAAATAGAGAATATTCAGTTTGACTCTTAGAAATGAATGGTTTCATATTTTATTCTTACTGGGGAATTCATTCCTTAAACAAAATTCATGCAGAGCTATTTATAATTAATACACACATGCATAAATGGCACACACAGTTTTGAGAGTCATTGGGAAAAGCAATGAATGTGCATTCAAATTATGGAAAACTAATTCAGTTTCCCATTGCTACAGATATTTCATCAAATGGTTTCCACACATTTCTAAGCATACTTTGTAGCCATAGAAGCTATATACTTCCTTAAAAAAAATAAATCTCACAAGCTGTAAAAGATACAAAAGCTGTAAAAAATACAGATGAATGTATTTTGTGTGCATGGCTGAGCTCCTCTAGCATCATAGCATATACACAATCTGGGCTTTGCCCTGCATATTTCTTACCTATTATGACCTGCTTGTATGCAAGCCACTGCAAGTTCTTTAATAATTACATGCAGTGTCATCCTAAGCATGTTTGTTCAGAACCAGGTCCCACTGAGTTTAATGGGACTTTTCCTCAAGTTAGCTCACACTGAACCATAGCTGCACTAAATTAATAACAAGTTCTTTTTTGTTATATATCTTTCCAGATCGTGAGAATCAGTCAATCCTGATTACGTAAGTTTATTTCCTTAATGAAATAAATGCTGACTTTGTGATACAGTACAACAGACAATAAAGGAATTTTGTCAAAACTACCTTATCCTACCAGGGAGGAAAGATTCAATTACATGTATAGTCCTCTTAAATGCTGGTACAGTAAATCTCCAGTGATCTAGTTTTCTGAAAGTTCTACAGTTGCATTATACAAAATTTCAATTTTATTTCTATAGAAGAGGGGCATTTATCTGACCCCCTAGTTTCTTAGTAGGCTTTGAAGAACATGTGCTGCTTGCTGGCTATTCCTCTCTAATATTCCTTTCTAATAATATGGGGAAATGGCAGGGTAATAATAATAATAATAATAATAATAATTTATACCCGACCCATTTGGCAGGGTTTCCCCAGCCACTCTGGGTGGCTCCCAACAGAATAATAATAAGAATAAGCAACAAAACATTAAATATTAAAAACTTCCCTAAACAAGGGGGCCTTCAGATGTCTTCTAAAAGTCAGATAGTTGTTTATTTCCTTGATATCTGATGGGAGGGCATTCTACAGGGCGGGCACCACTACCAAGAAGGCCCTCTGCCTGCTTCCCTGTAGCTTCACTTCTCGCAGTGCGGGAACTGCCAGAAGGCCCTCGGAGCAGGACCTCAGTGTCCGGGCTGAATGTTGAGGGTGGAGACGCTCCTTCAGGTATACTGGGCCGAGGCCGTTTAGGGCTTTAAAGGTCAGCACCAACACTTTGAATTGTGCTCTGAAACGTACTGGGAGCCAATGTAGATATTTCAGGACCAGTGTTATATGGTCTTGGCAGCCACTTCCAGTCACCAGTTCAGCTGCCACATTCTGGATTAGTTGTAGTTTCTGGGTCACCTTCAAAGGTAGCCCCACGTGGAGCGCATTGCAGTAGTCCATGTAACGCTCTGATATGTGTTTGATCAACAGTGGAGAATCTGGTGCTGGAAAGACTGTGAACACGAAACGTGTCATCCAATACTTTGCAACAATTGCAGCCACAGGTGACAAGAAAAAGGATGAGCCGGTCGCACAAGGCAAAATGCAGGTAAGCTATTTGTTAGAAAGGATGAAATGTGGTTTTGATGCAGTCTCTATATAATTAATCTTACAATAATACATACATTGCAGGGTACCCTTGAAGATCAAATCATCAGTGCCAACCCCTTGCTGGAGGCTTTTGGAAACGCAAAGACTGTGAGGAATGACAACTCCTCGCGTTTTGTAAGTCTTCTGCAGAATCTGAACATAGTAGTTGACCTTCACTTTTTTAAGGGTGGTCATCATACAGCAAATCTGTAGTAATGTATTTGCAGAATCTGCCTCATAGGATTTGTAATTACATGCCTTTTCTTGTTTAAAGGGTAAATTCATCAGAATCCATTTTGGTGCCACAGGCAAACTGGCTTCTGCTGACATTGAGACATGTAAGGGATGGGATCTTTCTTTCTCTCTCGCTCTCTCACTTGCTTTCTCTTTCACTCGCTAGTTTCTTAATTGGTTGCTTCTGTTTCTTGCCAGATCTGCTAGAGAAGTCCAGAGTTACTTTCCAGCTGAAAGCTGAAAGAAGCTACCACATCTTTTATCAGATCATGTCCAACAAGAAGCCAGAACTGATTGGTAAGAGGCATTTGCTATAGTGGCTGTTGCTAAAATCTTGCGCTGATGCTGGATTATGCAATGGATGAAAATCTGTGCTTCTCCTTATTCAGAGATGTTGCTGATTACTACCAACCCATACGACTTTCACTTTGTGAGTCAGGGTGAGATCACTGTTCCCAGCATAGATGATCAAGAAGAGTTGATGGCAACTGATGTAAGTAGCATGAACAAGTGAGTTTTTTGGCGTATCAACTAGAGGTAATATAAAAAATATTCACTTGCACATCTTGATTCAATTGTCAGAGTGCCATTGACATCTTGGGCTTCAATTCTGAAGAAAAGACAGCCATTTACAAGCTAACTGGAGCTGTAATGCACTATGGGAACATGAAGTTCAAGCAGAAGCAACGTGAGGAGCAGGCTGAGCCAGATGGCACTGAAGGTATTTACAGAATTTGCAATGGGACTATGAGCAAAAGCCTTCAACCAAAAAATGCCCTTAATCCTCAGCTGCTCCTAACTTTCACTTGAACAGCTGAAGTCCAATGCATAAGAATGAGAGCCTAAAGTTACAGTCCGATTAACGTTTACCTGCAAGTTTCATTGCGTTCAATGAGGATTAATTTTGAGTAGACGTGTCTAGCCTTATACTATTTTATATTCATTTTCTTGTCTAAGTCAAGCCAGAAAATGTTTGAAAGTTGATACAATCTAGAAATTTGAATAACAGTGATGGAATTTTGGTTGCCATAGTCCCGCCAAATCTATCCCAACTAATCTCTTAGCCACATTATGGTGACAAACATAGGAGTCAACTCTTAGGTGCTGAGGTCCCTTTGCCGCCCTCCCATAAAGTATTTGAAGGGGCTGTACACAACAAAAAAAGTTAATGGGCATTGCCATTCAAATGGTGTGCACGTGATGCATTTTGGGATCAATTATGCAGGGCAGTGCTTACCCAGCCCCAGCCCAATATCTGATTCAAGTTGACACCTCTAGCGACAAACATGTAGTTTTAGCTGATTAATTTGCTATTATTTTATTTATTAAATTGGTATACTGTCCTTCATCCAAGGATCGCAGGGTGGTTCCCAGCATAGAAATACAAAGTGAGAACACAAAACTCATAATAAAACAAAAACAAACCAATAACTCTTTTCTCCCAAACACATTTAAAAGGTCATAGAATGTTAATCAGCCAAAGGCCTGCTTACAGAGAAACACTTTTGCCAGGCGCCTAAAGATATAAACAAGGCAAGCCTCCCTAGACAGAGTATTCAACAAATGGGGAGCCATTGCAGAAAAGGCCTGTTCTGGACCTCTCATGAAGAAAGCACACAAAGAAGGGCCTCAGATGATGACTGCAGAATCCAGATAGGTTCATTATGGGGAAAAGCAGTCCTTGAGGTATTGTGGTCCTGAGTCATTTAAGGCTTTATAGGTCAAAACCAGCACTTTGAATTGGACCCAACCACTGCAGTCAGGCCAGGATTGGTATTATTATTATTACCATTATTATTATTATTATTATTTTATCGTTTATACCCTGCCCATCTGGCTGGGTTTCCCCAGCCACTCTGGGAAGCTTCCAGCAAAATATTAAAAAATAATAAAATGTCAGACATTAAAAACTTCCCTGAACATGGCTGCCTTCAGCTGTTTCCTAAAAGCCGTTTAATTCTTTATCTCCCAGACATTTAATGGGAGGGCTTTCCCCTTTCGCCACTGCCGAGAAGACCCTATGCCACCTTGCTCAAACCACCTTGCTCCAGAGAACAGCCTAACAGCCAAATTCTGTACCAGCTGAAGTTTCTAAACCATCTTCAAAGGCAGCTCTACATTAGTAGTTTCCATGTCATACACCAGGAAGTTAATTTGTGTTCAGAGAGGCAGACCTATTCTTGCTTCTAATCACTGAAAAATCAGTCACATCTTTAAAAAATTAGGGAAAGTATTTTACTACTCTGCTTCTTCTATTTGTATTCCTAGTAAGATCTGTAGTATTTCTAGCAGTATTTCTATACAAGCAGTGTTGTTTATTCATACATTCATCCAATGTAGAAAATATTATATACTGGGCTCATAAACCTTTCCTCTTATCTCTGTGCTCAGTTGCTGACAAGGCTGCATACCTCATGAATCTCAATTCAGCAGATCTGCTGAAAGCTCTGTGCTACCCCCGAGTCAAAGTTGGCAATGAGTTTGTCACCAAAGGCCAAACAGTCCAGCAGGTAATGATCTGCAGTACAAAACTCATGGTGGATGGACTCCACTTCGTTGCTCCACTTATATGCTGACTGCTGTCATTCTATTCTTATAGGTGTACAACAATGTTGGTGCTCTGGCTAAGGCTGTCTTTGAGAAGATGTTCTTGTGGATGGTCATTCGTATCAACCAGCAGCTGGATACTAAGCAGCCTAGGCAGCACTTCATAGGAGTGTTGGACATTGCTGGCTTTGAGATCTTTGATGTAAGGAAACAGGGCCTTGATGGAACAGTGTGAGAACAGAGATGTGGTGATTCTGATAGTCACAGTAAAACCTTTAAGCAATTAAAGAGTGTAGTTCAATAATGTTCTCAATGCAAAAGCAATGAAGGAGTGAAATTGTTTCCAAGCCGTTAACTGGAGAGGATGCCAGACACAGAAATATCTGGCAGTGATAAGGAATTGTAGATATGATTTGGTATGAAGAGCATGGTTCATAAATCCAAAGCATCTCTGGAGCGAGACAGAGTGTAAGCAATGTATCTGAAAGCACTGGAAGCAGTAAGTTCAGTGAATATGCATGAATTTGGGCTCAGCAAAGGAGAAAATAACAAGTAGACCTACATGTATGTCCAAAGTTCGTTTCGGGGGCCAAAACCAGCCTGCCCGATCCCAATTTTACTTTGGGGTAAAACTGTAAAAAACAACTTTGGTCGGCCCTCACGCATGTTCACTTCATCAAATCTGGCCCTCTTTGAAAAAAGTTTGGGCACCCTGTGATATGACTTTAAATTACTGTCAAGAACTGTAAAAAAAAACATTAATAATTGCAGAAACCTGAAGAGATGTAAGGTTTTTAATATTAACCATTAGAAAACTAGAATGAAGAATACTGTTAAACATGGTGGTCTCTTATACGATATATTTGCACTGTCTAGTTCAACAGCCTGGAGCAGCTCTGCATCAACTTCACCAATGAGAAACTGCAACAGTTTTTCAACCATCACATGTTTGTGCTGGAGCAAGAAGAGTACAAGAAAGAAGGAATCGATTGGGAGTTCATTGACTTTGGAATGGACCTGGCTGCCTGCATTGAACTCATTGAGAAGGTCTCTTAAAAATTACTTGTTTAGCACATGTGTAACTGCAAACAATCCCTGTTTTAACAAGGTGCTTAAGCTTATGCTTCATTATAAAAATGAATAGCTCCATAATAATAACAGAAATTGTGATGATGCTTTTGTCTAAATTTCATGCAGGACTATGCCATTTTACTAAATGTGCACTATGAATAGTTCACTTTTACTGTCAAATACTAATTACATTAGTTGGTTAGAGTGTGGCACTGATAACACCGGTGTTACAGGTTCAATCCCCATATGGGACAGCTGCATGTTCCTGCATTGCAGGGGGTTGGACTAGATGATCCTCAGGGTCCCTTCCAACTCTACAATTCTATTAATTTAATTTAGTAATTTTACTTTTACTCTCCTTGTTCCCTCCAGCCAATGGGCATTTTCTCCATCCTAGAAGAAGAGTGCATGTTCCCCAAGGCAACAGACACATCTTTCAAGAACAAGCTCTATGAACAGCATCTTGGCAAATGCAAGAACTTTGAAAAGCCCAAACCTGGCAAAGGCAAGGCTGAGGCTCACTTCGCCCTGGTCCATTATGCCGGCACTGTGGACTACAACATCAGTGGATGGCTGGACAAGAACAAGGACCCCCTGAATGAAAGTGTAATTCAGCTCTACCAGAAATCATCTATGAAGACACTGGCTTTGCTATTTGCTGACCGTCCTGCAGAAGGTAATTCCTGCTGCACTTTGCAATTGGCTCATGAGCATAACCCATAATTAGCAACTTAAAGAGATGGTTGCTTTAAATTCTAGTGGTATATGTTTATGTAATTCATTGAAGGATTTTAATTTCATTCATGTATTTTATAATTTTTATGTTTTAGAGGGTGGCGGCGCCAAGAAAGGTGGCAAGAAGAAGGGTTCCTCTTTCCAGACTGTATCTGCTCTCTTTAGGGTAAGCACAACTTCTGTTTGTGAAATGGGGAATAAACTTGCTTTAAATCAATGTCTTTTTCCTAGCTTATATTATGATTTGTCAAATCATAACAAAATCTGAGAGGGAAAAAACATAAACATAAATGAGATCAGTATGTTCAAAATAGATTGTCTACAAAGAGTATATTTATATATCAAAATCTATTTATCTATAGTTATATCTTCAGCAGCTTCCAATGTCAAAGAGGTGGGCTGTGTCTCAGTTGAAAATTTGGCTTCTTTTTGTGTATTAAACATCAACATGCAGGTAAAACAAATATTTCTGACCTCATAGGAGAATTTAAACAAGCTGATGAGCAATTTGAAGAGTACCCACCCTCATTTTGTGCGCTGTCTCATCCCCAATGAAACGAAAACACCTGGTAAGACATTTTAGTAAACATTCTTCGAAAGAGAAGGAAATTCTACCCTGTAGTGTTAATCCATACTTTAATGTTCTCTAAGGTGCCATGGAGCATGAACTTGTATTGCATCAACTGAGATGTAATGGAGTGTTGGAAGGTATCAGAATTTGCAGAAAGGGATTCCCTAGCAGGATCATTTACGGTGATTTTAAACAGAGGTCTGTATATTCCATACTATTTTACTATTATGCTTCTCAGTTCTTTAAAAATATGTTTTCAATACAATGCAGTATAATCCAAAGCACTAAGAAATAAGTCCCACTAAAGTAAAAGTAAGTGTAGTTAGGATTTCAGCCTTTGTACATGTTAAACTTTTAAGAATGCTGAAAATCAACTAAGAACTCACTGATGGATGATTAGTGTATGTTTATATTGAATGTGGTTGAGAGAACTGGGATGAAATAAAAAAAGGTATATCAGGGATAGGCTGTGTACTTCCTTAATAGCTGTGTACCTCTCTGTACAGCAATGGAACTTCTTATATTGCATCAGCTTGCAGCAGCATAATTAGATAAGCTGAAAGGCCACCTGCAGTAAGATCATGTTACTAAGAAACATCTTTTCAAATGTTCATCATGTTTAAGAAAGTTTCCCTAGACATAAGTTTTACTTCACAGCCAAATTCAGTTTTTAATCTCTTTCAGACATTATTCTGTAACAAAAACAATTGTGGAAGTTAGTGCCAGCTATCATAATACTTTGGCAAAATAAAAACTGTAAGCTTTTCTCAACAGATACAGGATATTGAATGCAAGTGCCGTCCCAGAGGGACAGTTCATGGATAGCAAGAAAGCTTCTGAGAAGCTTCTCGGTTCTATCGATGTTGACCATACCCAATATAAATTTGGCCACACAAAGGTAAAATTACTTTTTATTACAAGACTGTAATATTTGAGTTTGTTGAGACAGTGACCAATACTTTGTAATATTTTCTTTTCCCAGGTCTTCTTCAAAGCTGGCCTTTTGGGTACTCTAGAGGAAATGAGAGATGATAAGTTGGCACAGCTGATTACACGCACCCAAGCTGTTTGCCGTGGTTACCTGATGAGAGTGGAGTTCAAGAAAATGATGGAAAGGAGGTAGAGTTTCATAGTCTGTAACAGGACTCATTGCGTGCCCAGGAGGAGACTCCCCGGCCCCAAGAGACCACCAGAAGGAATAATGACTTGTGACAATGTGTTATGGAATAAAAATTGGCCCCAACTTTATTAAACCTTTCAGATGTAGGAAGACCTTGACTTAGGCATTGGGCATGTATCCCTCCCAGCCCCCAGCCGGGGGAACTGGAACTCCTCATGGTGAATGGGATATGGGACATGCACAGCAAGATGCTTGTGTATGTTGGCAGCCCATATCCCCGCAATGCAGGGGAGTTCACTGACAACCTTTCAGTGTATGGCCAGTGACTCCCTTATATAAACCCCTTTAAGAGGGGACCCTGGAATCACCGCTGCGGGGGGGGGTGTGAGTCACCACTTCACCCCCCCACCCCATTTAGGGAAGATAGACTAAAGGATTCCGCCCAAGGCCTAAAACCGACAATGCAGGGAAATTCCTTCCCGGCTCTTCAACAGCAACCATCCAAAGATGTAGCAGCATAGGCAAAACATTGTCTAATGCTTTTTGCAGGTTAACGAAAGGGAGGGTTGGGTGGGTGAAGCTCCAGAGCCACCTCCTATTTAAGCAACTGGCCCCACCACCCTGTGGTGCTGATTGGCTGAGGTTTGGCGGAAACCTCCAATGACTAGCACAGGGAGGCAGGCCAGCCCAAACAGCTGGTGGGTCCCACGTGACTGGGGTGCTGTGCGCGGCCCTGCAAAGGGCACCCACAAAGGAAGGTGTCAGCGCTCATTATCAAACTGGCAATGAGTCTAGTTTGATAATGAGTCCATCAACACATGCAGGTTTAATACAGATTAAAGAAACTTGAAAACAAATTTTATTTTGGAATCGTCCTTAAGATCTAGTATGCTTTCTTTACAGAGAGTCTATCTTCACTATTCAGTACAATGTCCGCTCATTCATGAATGTGAAGACTTGGGCTTGGATGAAGTTGTACTTCAAGATCAAACCTCTGCTGAAGAGTGCTGAGTCAGAGAAGGAGATGGCCAACATGAAGGAAGAGTTTGAGAAAACTAAAGAAGATCTTGCCAAATCAGAGGCCAAACGGAAGGAGCTGGAAGAAAAAATGGTGTCTCTGATGCAAGAGAAGAATGACTTGCAACTCCAAGTCCAATCTGTAAGCATCACTGGTAACATTAAATGTTTTTGTCCTAGTGACTCAATGCCTGACAGATATAGATTGGATACAAGAATTCAAAAAGTGCCGAGAAATTTTGGAGCTAATAAAACTTATTTAAAAAGATAATTATAGATATCAAATACATAATAAAGTGCAGGAACAAGGAAAGATAGAAAGGGAAGAAGAAAAATCCTCAGTTCCACCTCTTCATTTTTATTCATTACTTTTATCCCACATTCCCTTACTTTGCCTGATAACTCTTGCTTCCACACATGTCTCTGCCCACTTCCTCCCTCAACCCACTGCTTAGTTTCTCCCCTGCCTCCAACCCTTGCTCATGTCTCCACTAGCTGCCTTCTCTCTATCTTCCCTATGCTAAACTTCACTGCACACTTTATTACCTTCTTCCCTTGTTCAGTGCCCCCCTTTTCTGCTCTGTTAGCAAAGGCCAAACTTCCCAAAGTAAGACAGATCAAGTTTCCTCCCTGGCCCCTCCCACTCAAACAGTTGCATATCAATGTGCAGATTGTCCTCGAATCCCTGGTAAAGGAATTTTATCAAACTTTTGCTTATGTGGTGTATGTCTCAACTAAAAAACTACTTCTTAACTCAACAAGACGAGAGAGATGCATTAAAAATATGTTTTCAACCTACAGGAATCTGATGGCTTGGCAGATGCTGAGGAGAGATGTGACCAGCTGATCAAAACCAAGATTCAGCTGGAAGCTAAAATTAAGGAGCTGACTGAACGGGCAGAGGATGAGGAGGAAATGAATGCTGAGCTGACAGCCAAAAAGAGGAAACTGGAAGATGAATGCTCAGAGCTGAAGAAAGACATTGATGATCTTGAGTTAACACTGGCCAAGGTGGAAAAGGAGAAGCATGCCACAGAAAACAAGGTAATGATCACAATGTGCTCAGATCTGCAACGAATAGTCAGAATGTGGTACAGTATTGTCATTCCAGGGTAGAATGATATATTGAATCTGTTTGTTCATTTCTAAAAGGTGAAAAACCTCACTGAAGAGATGGCAGTCTTGGATGAGAACATTGCCAAACTGACCAAAGAAAAGAAAGCCCTCCAAGAGGCCCATCAACAGACCTTGGATGACCTGCAGGCAGAGGAGGACAAAGTCAATACTCTGACCAAAGCAAAGACCAAGCTGGAGCAGCAAGTGGACGATGTAAGCACCAACACATGCAGAAGAATAACTGTGGGGGTGAAAGTAGTATTAGAGTGACAAAGTCTTTGTCCCCTCTTTCTCTTTAGCTTGAAGGGTCCCTGGAGCAAGAAAAGAAACTTCGCATGGACCTGGAAAGATCCAAGAGGAAGCTTGAAGGTGATCTGAAGCTGGCCCAGGAATCCACAATGGATTTGGAGAATGATAAGCAGCAGCTGGATGAAAAGCTTAAGAAGTAAGTATGGTTTACTGTCTAGAAGACCTTTTGGGAGCTCTTTATGGCACCCAGCCCTCTTTCAATTTGACTGAGAAAACCTTGTGTTTTGTTATGAAAAGGAAAGACTTTGAAATCAGCCAGCTACAAAGCAAAATTGAAGATGAGCAGGCCTTGGGCTCCCAGCTTCAGAAGAAGATAAAGGAGTTACAGGCAAGTCAAGCATATATTGACTCCATCATATGAAAATCAGTTCATCAGGGAAGACTCTGTTAATGGCTGCTTCTCTTTCTCTAGGCCCGTATTGAGGAACTGGAGGAAGAGATTGAGGCTGAGCGTGCATCTCGGGCCAAAGCAGAGAAGCAGCGGGCTGATCTCTCCAGAGAACTTGAAGAGATCAGTGAGCGTCTGGAGGAAGCTGGTGGGGCAACCGCAGCTCAGATTGAGATGAACAAGAAACGTGAGGCAGAATTTCAGAAAATGCGCAGGGACCTTGAAGAAGCCACTCTGCAACATGAAGCCACATCGGCTGCTCTCCGCAAGAAGCATGCAGACAGTGCAGCTGAACTTGGGGAACAAATTGATAACCTGCAACGTGTGAAACAGAAGCTGGAGAAGGAGAAGAGTGAGCTGAAGATGGAGATTGATGACCTTGCCAGTAATATGGAATCTGTCTCTAAATCTAAGGTATTGTACTTCAGTGCATTAGGGAAGGGATGCAAGAACTACTGCATCATCTCATAAGCATTTGACACATGTTTTTCTAAGAGCTAAGCTGCCAGAACATCTCTAAACCTGACCTTAGGCTAAAGTTGAAGCAAAGTCAGATTGTATAGCATAAGCAAATGAAGCAGTACTAAAAACATATTCTGGATGCCAAGAATTACTTGTTAAAGTACACTATATATGAAAATGGGCAATATTTTTAATGATTAGACTGTAAAAGTTCTGCTCCTAAGTGTACAATACAGTATTTAATTACTGCTGGGTAGTCAATGTAATTGCTAGATGAATTAATTAGGTGTTTATATATTTTATCACCTATAAAGAATATACAGGTAAACACATTCCTCCATTATTTCATGAAATTATGTTGTATGTGTTAATATATTGAAGACTTTGTGTTCAAAGATTGCCTATAAGAATCTGACTTGAGGAAGGCAATCAAATTAATAGATTGCAGCACAGCTATTGGATTTTAGCTCTTTGCAAAGTTTGTAATTTCCATATCAAATTGTGCCAAACTTCAGAATTTGGTTTAAATGTATGCTGTCATTTACTTAGGCTGCAATGAAACTTATATTTGCATAAATACAAATTTATAAATTATCTGTATTTTTTCATAGTTTTGCTTTCTTTTTAAAGAATGTTCTTACTAATATATCAATTTGAAGACTATTTCAATGTTTTTCCAATTGCCCATTTCAGTCAGCTCTTGAGAAATTATCCCGCTCCTTGGAAGATCAGCTGAGTGAGGTTAAAGCAAAGGAGGAAGAGCACCAGCGCACAATTAATGACCTGACTGCTCAAAGAGCACGTCTGCAGACAGAAGCAGGTAAGGCACATGACTGGTTACATACTGCAAGTTACACACTGTAACACATTATATACACTGTGAAAGTTGTTTGTAAATTCTCGTAAGAAATGTAACTTGCAGCTGATTTTAAAATCAAAGGATCACAACATTGAAAATGTGAAGAATAGCATTATTCAACACTAAATTACGTAATTAATGTATCAAGGTTGTGATTCCAAAGTCAAAGAGTGGCACGTGGTCTCTAAGCAAGTGCTCTCAGCCAATGTACAGTCTTTTCTACATTCAGATCATTCCACTTTTTGTAAAGTTCTAAACTTTTCACTTCTACATCTGTGGTGCAAGCTCTCCTGATCTGAGTACTTGTGTATATCACAGCAGGAAAAAGTGAAAGTGTATGCTCTTCTCAATTAGTATTTGAGGAGTGTGTGGTTTATGTGGCATTATGTTTAAGCTCAGATATGACTGTATAGCTAATTTTATTATTTTTAAACTCCCAGTTGTTCCTGTTCTTCTTGAGTACAGTTTTTTCAGTCAACTTTATTCCAGTCCTATTAAATACTCTATTCTCTTTTGCTCTTCTCAGGTGAATTTGCTCGCCAAGTAGAAGAAAAAGATGCTTTGATTTCCCAACTTTCAAGAGGCAAGCAAGGTTTTACTCAACAGGTTGAAGAACTGAAGAGGCAACTTGAAGAAGAAACAAAGGTGGGTATTATGACTAGATCTAGTAAATGGATTTTCAGTGCTGTATTGCAAATCCTGCACGCTGCTGTACAGGGCTAAAGTGTTATGGAAATATCTTAGAAATTTTATTCTTTTTGTTTAAAAATTATACCACCTTTTATCCTCCATCTTTTATCCTTTGAGTTGCTCAAAGCAGTTTACAGTTCAAAAGCGACCATAAAAGCAACAATAATCCAACCATCAAAACACAAATTAACAAACTAAAAACAGCACATTGTACAGACAAAACCATATGTAATGAACTGATATTTGAGCTGTACAGCAATGTCATGGAAATAACCCCCCCCAAAAAAAATTACTTAGGCTAGGGATGGGGAATCTGTGTTCCTCCAGGTGTTGTTGGACTCCCATCATCCCTGACCATTGGTCATACTGGTTGAGGCGATGGGAGCTGGAAGTCCATGGGTTTTCCATCTCAGACTGCAGTCCTGAACATACTTGCTAGGCAGAAAGATCCACGGAACTCAGGAGACCTAGGCAAATCACTTAACAAATATTTTAATTTCTCCAGGCTAAGAATGCATTGGCCCATGCCTTGCAATCTGCTCGTCATGACTGTGACTTGCTCAGGGAACAATTTGAAGAGGAACAGGAAGCAAAGGCTGAGCTGCAACGTGCCATGTCCAAGGCAAACAGTGAGGTTGCCCAATGGAGAACCAAATACGAGACTGATGCAATCCAGCGCACTGAAGAACTAGAAGAGGCCAAGTATGTTGGGGAGATTGAGATAAAAAGTGTTATTCTGCTACAAAATGTTGCAATATTTTTGACTAGGAATTCAAAAATTGCAACTCTCCATTCTCGCTTGGAGTGGTTAAGAGACTGCTTGCTTGTCCACATGCACCCCAGGCTGCTCCTCTGCTGCTCTGGGCTGTTACAGCAGCCCTGTGGCCCGTTTCCCAATCAGCCAGTGGCACTATTAGAAGTGTGAGCAAAGTGCCCAGAGAAACTGGAGCACTCGAGGAGGGGGGAGAGAGAGAGGGAGGGTGAGAGTTGCAGGAGGAAAGAAAAGGGAGGGAGGGGCACAAATGATGGTGGGGCGCACCGATACAGCTCCTTGCCATGGGTACAAGATCATCTGGGTATGCCTCTGTTCTCATTCAGGAAGTCCCTTTCCTGCCAGCCAATCAGTGAGGGTTTGGAGGCTTCTAGGCCACCAACGTAGCACTCACTTCTTCACCAATCAGCCAGCCCATTTCATTCCTACACAACACCCAGGTTTTCCCACTGATTCAGGGTTCTGTGGGTACTTAGCATTCAAAGTCCTCACTGGGCTGTTTTGGGGGTTCTCCCACAAGTTCTCCCCAAATGTTTTTTATACTTTTGGACACCTTGGGGTTCCCTCCTTCTGTCCCTCTATGATGTCTGTAACAGAAGTTATGCAATGCTTATGGTAGGATAATAGACCTTCCTGCTTACCCAAGCAGATTCATGCAATTTACTACTGACTTTTTTATCTTCTTCAAGGAAAAAACTTGCCCAGCGCCTGCAGGATGCTGAAGAGCACGTAGAAGCTGTGAATTCCAAATGTGCTTCCCTTGAGAAGACAAAGCAAAGGCTACAGAATGAAGTGGAGGACCTGATGATTGATGTGGAAAGGTCCAATGCAGCCTGTGCAGCTCTAGATAAGAAGCAGAAGAACTTTGATAAGGTATTTTTTGACTTTTTTTTAATGAACATATTGCATGAAGTTCTCAGGTCTAATGAATTCATTGCTTATTTCTTGGTGGTGTTTTGCAGATTCTGGCAGACTGGAAACAGAAATTTGAAGAAGCCCAGTCTGAACTGGAAGCTTCCCAGAAGGAGTCTCGCTCTCTCAGCACAGAGCTCTTTAAGATGAAGAATGCTTATGAAGAATCCTTGGATCACTTGGAAACCTTGAAGCGTGAGAACAAGAATCTCCAACGTAAGTTAATAATTGTATATTCTAAGAAGCAGGTTTAGAATACTATAGGCACAAAACTGAGAAGCTATGTCTTACTTCCAAAGAACCAGCTGAATCATATAACTTCAAACAAGCCTTCTCCCTGATTCCAGGACAGACCCTGGTGTCCATAAGGTCATGCACTGTGCATGCCAAACAACTAATCTATTCCACAAGGATGAGCTGAAATTAAAAAATAAAGCACTTTACCCCTCACCCCCATCCCACCCTAATGCTGTGTATCATCATCCATATTACAACAACTAAACTATTCATCTATTTCTCTTTACTTTGTGTAAAACCAATAGAGGAGATTTCTGATCTCACGGAACAGATCGCTGAGGGTGGAAAGGCTATCCATGAATTGGAGAAAGTGAAGAAGCAGATTGAGCAAGAGAAGTCTGAACTGCAGGCTTCTCTAGAGGAAGCTGAGGTACACACACACACATATATATCATTCTTCTTAGAGAAAACAGGATAAAAGTATCTTGTTCTATGATATAAAACACTCAAAGAATTACTAACAGTGTTAACAGAATCATGATGGACACTTCTGTTTTGCTGTTGACTGGAGGAAAGAATGCACAAAATATTTCCTTTTAAAGATGATGTCTAATGCATTTTTAAAAAATGGAGAGGGGGCACTTATTTTAGTCTATTATTAATAGCTAATATAAATGGCTTTCTTAAGGCCTCACTGGAACATGAAGAAGGCAAAATCCTCCGCATCCAACTAGAGCTCAACCAGGTGAAGGCTGATATTGACAGGAGAATTGCAGAGAAAGATGAAGAAATTGATCAGCTGAAGAGGAATCATCTGAGAGTAGTAGAGTCCATGCAGAGCACACTAGATGCTGAAGTCAGGAGCCGGAATGATGCCCTGAGAGTAAAGAAGAAGATGGAGGGAGATCTGAATGAAATGGAAATCCAGCTGAGCCATGCCAACCGCCAAGCTGCTGAGGCATTAAAGAACCTCAGGAACACACAAGGGCAGCTTAAGGTATCTACAGTACAATGCCACACAGTTGAAAGTGAAATCTGGAATTGCCATGTAATTAAGGACTTTGTATCGCATAATAATTTGTTTGATAGGATACACAACTGCACTTGGATGATGCTGTTCGGAGCCAGGAAGATCTGAAGGAGCAAGTGGCCATGGTTGAGCGCAGAGCTAATCTGATGCAGGCTGAGATTGAGGAGCTCCGTGCAGCTCTGGAACAGACAGAGAGGGGCAGGAAAGTGGCTGAACAGGAGCTTCTGGATGCCAGTGAGCGTGTGCAACTTCTTCACACACAGGTAAGCTTCTAATATTGTAATGTGCCCCACCTTTCATTAACTGGTAGAGAAGAGCAGGCTGTTTATCTTTGGGGATGTTCTCTTCCATCCTGCTCCACCTTTAGCCATATTACTTGAAGGAAACAAAGCTATGCCTAAATAATCTTTGCTTGCTCTTATACAAAACGTCTGTGGACATGACTATTTAGCTTATTTCTCTATGATTAGATTCAATGGTATGCATACTATGATATTTCCATCTCATTTGAAACTCTGGGGATTTAGGAATAAGAAATTCCAGGCAACTATTTGAGGCAGAGCTTCATTGAGTTCATTTCTAAGTAGATGTCATTGTTTCCTGCCTTTTAAAAATTCTGTCTTAGCTGTTTTAAGGCAATTTTTCAAATACTGTATGTTTTCCCCCCAAACAGAATACCAGCTTGATCAACACCAAGAAGAAGCTGGAAACAGACATTGCACAAATCCAAGGTGAAGTGGAAGAGACTATTCAAGAAGCCCGCAATGCAGAAGACAAGGCCAAGAAGGCCATCACTGATGTGAGTTGCAGGGAGTTTCCTTTTGAGATCTGAACCTGTATACATTTAGTATGGCTGATTTCTTGAACTGGTTTGGCAACTTTATTAATAGGCGGCCATGATGGCTGAGGAACTCAAGAAGGAACAAGACACCAGTGCCCATCTGGAGAGGATGAAGAAGAACTTGGAGCAGACCGTAAAGGACCTGCAACATCGTCTTGATGAGGCAGAACAGCTGGCAATGAAGGGTGGCAAGAAGCAGCTCCAGAAACTGGAGCACAGAGTGCGTATTCCTCATATATCTGTAGTCTTTATACATTTTGAACGTAAAGAATGCAATGGAATGCAAATTCTCCCTTCTTCTGTGCCTTCCTCAGGTACGTGAGCTGGAAGCTGAAGTTGAGAACGAGCAGAAGCGTGGTGCTGATGCTATCAAGGGTGTGCGCAAATATGAGAGACGGGTCAAGGAGCTGACCTACCAGGTGAGGGTGATAAATGTTTTTTCAATAATACAGTGAAAGAAATGCTACTGAAGTTATTGAACACTCAAACTGGAAATGTTTAATAGTAGTGGAATAGAGTGAGAGAAATTCTTTTCAAAAATATTTTCTTCATCAAAGGTTTGTAATGGGGTAAATTACATGAACTCTTTATTTTCCCCTATTACAATATGAGCAGCTCCATCACTTATATCATCATATATCATCACTTATATCATCATAAACATGTCACTGCATTCCCATGCCCTGATATCCCCAACCAACCAAAAATACGGCCAATGCACAGCCCCCTGCCAAAAAAACATTAATAGCTATTCATTTCCTCTTATCAAGCCCTTAACCTCTCTAATCCATGGAATGCTCTCCCACAACACATAGTGCAAGTTTCACTCTAGAAAAATATATTATTTAAGAAAATCAAACTGAGGAATGAATTTTAAATTATATAAACTCACTTTTTTCTTCCATTTGTTCAGTCTGAGGAAGATCGGAAGAATGTTCTGAGGCTTCAGGATCTGGTGGACAAACTGCAAATGAAAGTGAAAGCTTATAAGAGACAATCTGAAGAAGCTGTAAGTATTGCACTGAAGATGGGACAATGGTTACATTTCAAATAAATCTGATTATATTTACTGTAATGAGTTTCATTAAAATGCCTGTGGGCCAAAGTCCTAAACAGTGGCACATTATCTGATACTACAAATAAGGAAAGCAAGAATCAAAAGGAAACTGTGAGATGGAAATACTAATTAAGTAATGAACGCAAGAATATTGCATAACACAAATATGGAGAATATCATTTTTAAAAATGAGTTATAATAAAGGAGTGGATAGTTACACTTTAACAATTTTGACTTATGTGTATCTGTCATATTTTTAATTGGGAGTCTAGACTAGATTTCTCATAATTTTTTCCTTGACAGGCAGAAAATTAAGAACTGAACATTTTCCCAGCATGGAGAAAACTATATGTTGAATCCAGACTTAATTAAACTTAGAGTGGACCCATTGAAATAAATGAAACTTAAATTAGTCATGACTAAGAAGACTCTACAAGATTTCAATGGCTCTACTACTTAGGCAGTCTTGCTAGCCTGGTTTATATTTTAACACTTGCTAGGATTATAGGGATGATGATGATGATTAGTATTAATTTATATCCCACCCATCTGGCTGGGTTTCCATAAACTGGTGCCCACAAACTTGTAACAATAGTTAAATCACATAATCACATAATGAAGAATCAAGACATTAGCATCCTGCTCCCAATCACCTGGTTATGGTTGAAATAAAAGAGAAGTTGGATTTTTAATAATATGGTTTTCATAATTTTATTCTCAGGAGGAACAATCCAACCTCAACCTCTCCAAATTCCGCAAGATTCAGCATGAGCTGGAAGAAGCTGAAGAGAGGGCTGACATTGCAGAGTCACAGGTCAACAAACTGCGGGTGAAATCCCGTGATGCTGGAAAGGCAGTCAAAAGTGAAGAATAAGCATGTATAGAAACTTCAAGGTGACTGAAGAAATACACAAAATGTGAAGCTCTTCATCACTTTGATGTGTAATTATTGTTTGTTCTGTCCTCGGTGTCTAGGAAATAAAGACTGTAGAAACCTTTGCATACATAAAAATGTGCCATCCTTTTTGTGAATCTCACCCTCCTGGTGTTATCTCAAGCTTTTCCTCATCTGGTGGGTCTCCAAAGTGGTGAATAAGATTAAGCGAGCACTTAGACTAAGATTAAGTAGTCAGTTGTGACTGTAGTAGTTATTCTATTCACATATAGCTGTTCTTTTTTTGTGCCTCAGTTTTCTGATTATCAAAACTAAAATGCAAGTACTGTACTTAAGAAGAGCCTAAAGGCCCATCTAGTCTAGCATCCTATTTCCTATGGTGGCCAACCAATTGATTCTGCAACATCAACAAGAAAGGCATCAAAATGCAGTAGTTCTCCTTTATTTGTTGCCTCTCAGCAGCTGTGTTTCAGAGGAATCACTGGATATTTTTTCATTTGTTTACAATGTTCATATGCTGCCTTTAAGGCCAAAGCTTTCCTAAGGAAGCTTATGAAACATTATTAAAAGCCACAGTTCAAATTTTAAAACACAAATGAAATAATTCAAATAATTCAAAGCAACATCAGATTAAAACAATTTAAAATCAAACTTACAGAATGCAGACTTAAACATTTTTCACTTCCATTTAAGAACAGAGCAAACCTATTTCTTTGGGATAGAGTTCCAAGGGTATGTGGCCACCATTGAAAAGGCCCTGTCTCTAGGGACCAACTAGTATGAGGGATTTATGGCAAGCCAATGAGCAGGGCCCCAGAGGTTATACCTGCCCCTTGCAGTTAACAGCAATTGACAAAACGTATATCCCTGGTGTACAGGTGTTACCTGAGCTTCTGGCTTAGGAAACAAACGAAACAACAACCACCACCCCAAATTAGCACCCCAGACAGGAGTTTCTGCTCTCATTCGGGACTTGTTTTACTGTATGTCCAAAATGTAATTTTTTGAACATTTAAAGTCCAACCAGTCCAGCAGTATATATAGTAAGAGAAAACCAAGTGGGAGGTGGGCAGGGCGTAGCTTTGCCAAAACCTATACAACTTACTCTCACTTTACATTAAAATAAATAAATAAATAAATAAATAAATAATTAATAATAATAATAATAATAATAAAAAATATGTAGTTGCAACCTTACATGGGTTGAGATTCCTGCATTGCAGAGGGTTGGACTAAGATGACCCTCAGGGTGCCTTCCAATTCTATGGTTCTATGATAACGGAGAGCTGGGAAAACCCACCATTCCCTGGTCTACATTTATTTATTTCCCAACCCTGAGCACAGTGGCTTTCCCTTGCTTCCCGGGCTTCCCACAGCCCAGTCAGCATCCTCTGATTTGCATTATTCTGCCTTTTTGTGCCTGGACCCCTGGAACCAAACACTTCTGTTGAGTGCTGGACAAACTGTACCTTCCTTTCACAACAAAACTAGGTGTAGGGGCTGGTGCAGAAAATTTCCATCTAATTTACTTAAATGATTTATTTTTTAGAGAAACATCCCATTTTACCCACACCACAATTACAAGAGAATAGGCTAGAGAGTGATTCAACACCCTATACTGCAGGACACACAACCACGCAGGGAGAACCGAATGAGATTATGGGATGTGCAGCATGGAACTGACTGTCTCCTCAAGCCACATAGATTTAAGGGTTCTTAAGGGGAACTCTGGTGAAGGGAAGCTATGGAGAGTGCTTTGCAGAAAAAAAAGTGGGACATTAGATAAAACAATGATCTGTTCCTGGGTACAGAAGAACCAACCTTTCCCCTAAAAGGAACAATACTTACAGATAGCTGTGGAAAACACTGTTCAGCGGCGGACCAAGGAAGGCACCGTGTTTCAGAGATTGAAATCACAGACCAAAGAATCTAGCGGAGCTTATATCAAATGGCGCCCTTTACTAAACAAGCTCGCTTCAAATTCCTCTTTCTGTGTGTCTCTCTGCAGTTTGTTGGGGTACTTCCTGATGGCCGTTCCCTGCTCTTGTCCTCTGTGTCAGTGGTTTATTCTGTCTACTGCTCCAGCTTTCCTACTTAGTTCCACGCTCATTTATGCAATGGGTTGTATGCACATAAGTTTTACTTAGTGTAGTAGGCCCATTGAAATTAATGGAACCAAATAAAACAGTTGGACATTATAAATCCTCTGTGAATCTTCTACAGTACAGAGAAATTTGGAGGAACTGATCCCTCAAAAGAGATTTCTCCTCAGACTGACCACCCACCCAGTGACAGCTGGTTCTAATAAGTTCTGACAGGAATTTGCTTTTACTCCATGCAGCTCTTGTTTAGACAGGCCTTCTGGCTCTTCCTCTCTACAGAGGCCTCCAGATATGATTTTCAAGGCCTGACACTTCCAGATAATTTCCTAGGAAAATGTATCAAAGGCAAACAGTTGAAACACATAAAATTTACTGCTTAGGCTTATGTTGAAGAGAAAATCAATGTTAAATGAGGAAACTATTGCGAAAAAGCGGTGTAGGATCTGATGCCCCGGCCATAAGAACAGTACACTGCAGTTTTACTACTCATTCTGTTCCCACAGGAAATCTGGTAAACCAGTTCAGAGGGGGTGGGAGTGATTGGATTGAAGGTACAGATCCCTGACAGAATTCTTGGCAGTCTCACTAAATTACAGCTGCCAGGATAATTTGGGGAAGCCATGGCAGTTAAATGGGGGTGGAACTAAATATAATTTGTTATTCAGGGTATATTCAAACGGATAAAAGGTAGAAGCCATCTTTCTTCCACATGGAGAGCATACCGTCCAACATTTCTCCACTGAAAATAGGAACGTCCCATTCCATAATGATAATTTTACTACAGTATTTATACTCCACACATCCACTCTGGGCAGCTTCCAACATATATAAAAACATAATAAAACATTAAACAAAACTTCCCAATACAGGATTGCCCTCAGACAGCTTGGGGGTCAGATAACTTCATACCCTCCAATATTTCTCCAATGAAAGTAGAGACATCCTAAGGAAAAGTGGGACATTCCAGGATCAAATCAGAAACTGGGACGGCTTCTCTAAATCAGAGACATCCCTGGAAAATAGGGGCACTTGGGGGGTCTGGGAGAGCCTACATATTTAATAGGTTGTATGAAAGTTATAAACTCAGGTATAGTATTTCCCATAATGGATTCAACAACCTAGCCTGGGCCACTAACACCTTCCGAGAGTGACAGAACTCTCTGCTGATCTCAGCATCCGATAGGGTCTTTGGGAAACAGGGTAGTGGTGTTTCAAATATTTGGGCCTACATCATTTAAATGGAGCAACTTGAATTGGGCCCTGAAATGCAGTGGCAACCGATGCAGCTGTTTAAAAACAGGGGTTATAGGAGATCTAAAGGGAACCCCAGTCAGTAAACTGGCAGCTGCATTTTGGACCAGTTGACGTTTCCAAAGTCATCTTCAAGGGCAGCCCCATGTAAAGCACATTGCAATAATTCAGTTTGAAATTTATCAGAGCATGGAGTACAGTTGCCAAGTCATTTCAAGTTCACAATGAGATGCAGCTGGAACTGGAAATAGGCACTCCTTGCCACTGAGACCACTTGAGCCTCTAGTGACAGTGTTGGATCTAGGAGTGTTGGAAAAGAGAACACATCTATCTTTTCAGAATTCAGCTTCAATTTGTTGGCCCACATCCAACCCATCACTGCTTCCAAACACTTGTTTAGCACCTCAGCCATCTCTCCTGATTCAGATGGAACTGAGAGATAGAGCTTCACTCCAAAAGTCACAGTGGTTTCATACTGGTGTTACATAGCATGAGGGCCAAGATGGAACCCTTCAGAATACCACAGGAAAGTTCCCATGATATCATACAGTGATCCTCTGGCCCATAATTACCGTACTTTTCCATGTATAAGATTAGGGATTTTTTTACTAAAAAATAATGTTAAGGGGGGGGTAGTCTTATACACAGGAGCAATCTCTCCCCCCCCCCATTTTCTTCATTTTGAGGCCTCCAAAATAGGGGGCATCTTATACATGGGAGCGTCTTATAGACAGAAAGCAGTCCTAAAGATTTTGACTAAACTGCGGGAGGCAGTGGAAGACAGAAGTGCCTGGCGTGCTCTGGTCCATGGGGTCACAAAGAGTCGGACACGACTAAACGACTAAACAACAACAACAAAAGTCCTAAAGATAGGAGCAAAACCATGGAAGAACAATGCCCTAAACCCCCATTTTCCTGAGCCAATCCCAAAAGATATCATGGTCAACAGCAGAATGAGCAGGGTTGCACTCCCCCATCTCTCTCCTGACAAATGTCATCAACCAGGATGACTAGGACAATTTTAGTGCCATGACTGGTCCTGAAGCTGAATTGAAATTGACCTGATATTCAGTTTCCTCCAAACATTCCTGAAACTGAACTGCTGCCACATTCTTGAGTAGGGCCACAGGACAATGGTTATTTAACAATTCCAGGTCCAGGGAGGTTCTCTTAAGGAGGTAATGCAGCACTGCTTTCTTCAAGGTCTAAGCACTGATTCTGAAACATACTGAAGAGTAGCAGAAAGGACCCAAATGCTTGAGATGCATGTGTGTGTGTGTGTGATGTGCCTTTTACTCTGACCAATAGACATCAGAGCAAATTTCACTGCCACCACAAAATTCCTTAGGGGATTTGTAATGCAGCAGGAATTTTAAGCTGTCTGGCACCTCTTGAATTAACTCAAGTTCTATAAGTTTTTGATCTGGCAAAGCAGCATTGTGCAGCAATAATGAATGAGAACGAAACATTATTGCATATAGCATTTTGCTGGCAGTGTGAACCCCTGAGAATCTCCCAGCATCACAGCAGTCTAGGTTACTTCACTATGACTAGATGGCACACAGTAGTTCCCTGTAGGCTCAGCCCACCAATGAGGCATGGGGAAGTGACCACCTCCAGCTGCAGACTCAGGACAAGCTCAGTTGGGAGGTGCAGCAGATCTGTTCCTATCACCACCCGCTGTGTGCCACCACTGTCCGCTTCCCTCCGGGAAGAGGAAGCCACAGCCTTAAGAGAGAAGGCTAACTGAAAAGGCACTCAAACCTCTCCTTCTCTAAAACATTCCAGACTACAGTATTACCTGCCAAGCCTTTTGTTCAAAATTCCACAGGGGGCTTATTGTGTATTGAGCTTCTTTATAAGTGGCATGCTTTTTCTTGCAGATGCTTGACCTTTGTTTTGTTAACAGAGGACTAGATTTAAGACTTTTGTTGTGCCAATCAAGGTATTGCCACTATTGTTGCTCCTCACACACTGTTTTTGGTTTAAAACAAACAAAGAAACATAGGCACAGACCTTGCAAAGGGCGTATTCACTCTCCAGCTTCTATTCAATTCTCAGCCCCTATCCTTCTTAGCCTCCCTAAGGATGTTGAGCTTCTTACAGGCCATTTTATTAGCCGCCACCCCCGATCCCCATGTGAAATTGTGACAGGTCAGATTGGTCCTGCTTAGGATCTTACATGACTCTATGAGAATTCAGCCAGTATGTGACACCCGCCTCTTCATCCACAACCACGCATATTTAGAAGGAAATAAGTTCTGTGCTCTTCTATTGGCTCCAGATATTATTATTAGCTTGGAATATGATCATGTCTTCTGGGGCTTATTGGTATCTAAGGAGGAGTAAAATAATGGTTTTAACAAGGTCCGGAAGGGTTCTTTTCATTAGACATGAAGTGACTTTCTCTTGTACAGTTCTGAGGGAATCAGTATGGGGAATCTTGAAGAACTGCTTTAACCTTGAGGAAATGAACTGACAGCTGACAGTAATGGAGAGGTAACACTTGTTTGTGAAAGAATGTGGCTGCTGATTCCTCTGATGTTACGCATTTTACTTTGAAGTTTCAGATTTGGAGTTCTCTAAAATCTCTATTTAAAAAATAATAATCAAAAATATTCTGAGAGGTAATATCTACCCAGCCCAATTTACTGTTGTATTAACCAAGCTTAATAATGTGCTTAAAATGCAAACCGGTTTCAAACGTTTGTAAGATCATATTCTAAAATTGTAAACTAGCTTCCTATCTGTGTGGGTGAAGGGATTTCAGAAGGTTAGAGAATTGATTTGCTCTCTTGCTTTTGAGTAGACACTGTTAATTTAATATGAATTAAGAAAATTAATTCCCCTTGGACCTCTTAACAAGCCATTTCTTGCTTGAGTGATGTTCCATTGGAATATACAGATTTTTCCCTATTTGAGACATCACCACAACCCTCTAGACTACAGTTTTCTGCATTAGGTATGGAAGCTGGCAGTGGGTGATATAATGTCAGAGGAGGAAAAGAAATTTCTGACCAGCTGACTCCTTGTAACCTTTAGCTAATCATGTCCCTCCCTTAATTAACAGAAAGAGCATGTGAGATCAGGTCTTCAACACATTTGCAACTAAAGAATAAATTATTAATTCACCAAAAATAGAGGCCTAGAATGCTGCGTTGGCAGATGGCTGTGTATAAAGGCTGTAAGGCCCAAGGCTCCTTGATTCTTCACTAGTTCACTATCTCAAGGTAAGTCACAGTCTTTGCTGTGTTCTAAGGAAGCCAGAACTTTTGCCCTTGTTCAAGGCTTTATGTGACTGCTTCTCTAGATATCCTAATATAATGCTGAGTGTCAATAGCATTAATACAGTTGTGGTTACAGTTGCAGGAATGTACATTTATTGGCCTTTCCATAAATGCCATTTTACAGATTTGTTATTGTTCCAAATTCCTCAGATGCAAACTTTAAAAAAATCCAACATGCCAAAAGAAATGCAGATAAAGTAAATATATAATATGTTTCATAATTAATAATTTATTTGTTTAAAAGTATGCTTATTACTGATAGTAGGGGATAAATGCAAGAACAAGTCTGTATTTGAATACAAGTGTTCTTGCTCCTAGGTGGCAATATTAGTAAGAAATAGTAAATAATTTGATTTGCTGTAAAATGCAGTTTTTTCAGTTATGCCCTTTATTGCAAATTCACTGTTTTGGATTAAAATATCAAGGAAATTCAGCTATATACCAAGTCCATGCTATTTTTCGGATTAATTTCTTTACTTCTTTCTGTTCACATTCAAAAGATTCAGATCTTAATCTGCCTTCTTAGTGACTGAAGGTAAGAACCATTTCATTTTAAATTCAGCATGCATGAATGGTTACAATACAAATAACCAGTATACTTAAATACGGTGCACAGTACTGCACAGAACAAACTAAAGGAGAATAAATCCACCACTATTTCACTATCGTTGTCAAGAAGATGTTACAGAATACATCCACAATACAACATCAGTCTGGGGAGGGCCAGAATCTCTTGCTCTTTTAACATTCACAAATGCATATTTTCTTAGTATGGGACCATAATAAGGAGAATGTAAATGTTGGAACATGACCAATAGTCAGAAATACTGGTGTTATCACTGTCAGTTTCATTGAGCACATAAATACTGTGGGTGCAATTATACCTTAAACTTCTTTAATTCCTTCAGCCAATCTATAATCATGACCTCAGACTCTGAAATGGCTGTATTTGGAGAGGCGGCTCCTTTTCTCCGGAAACCGGAGAAGGAGAGAATTGAGGCTCAGAATCGTCCATTTGATGCTAAAGCAGCCTGCTTTGTGACAGATGACAAAGAAATGTACATCAAAGGCACTATACTGAGTAGAGAGCCGGGGAAAATCACTGTCAAAATCGAGCAAGATGACCGTGTAAGTAGGAATTTAACCTACCTGTTTCACTGAATGGTTCTTGGTTACCTAGTTGAAGGTTGGCCAGTTTCTGCAGTCTAGGGTACCACTTTGTTTTTCCAGAAAGTGGTCTGGAGACTGGGAGTAGTCAACCATTAAAATATTGGCACTATCTAACCATAAACACTTGGGAATTATGAAGCAAATATGCTAAGTCCTAGTATTACATGCCAACATGTATAGTGCCACAACACACACAAAACTCAAAAGAGATGTTTAACATTAATTGTGTTGAGATGAAAGATAAGGAGTTTTGTGAATCTTATCAACTCTCCCTCCATGGCAGCCTTCTTTCTAGTGGTTTTCAAGTAGGCTTTTAAATTCAGGACAGTATCTGTTGTTGGGTCATGTCTCTGCTGCTTCAGGAACCATTTTAATATTATTATTTTTATGAAATCAACCTAAGTTGGAGTTCATTTAGCACTCCCTCAAAAATATCTTTCAGCCACCAAAATGTTCAGCACTAAACATTAAAATGTGGGGTCCCTACTGGAAATTTATAAATAGTAGGATCAAGGTAACACAATCCCAGAGACCTCTAGTTGAAAATAATGGCCTACTTTCAAAATACTTACCTCTCCCATATTTGTTCATCTTCTCTATAACCCTTTTCCTCCCAGACTGTGACAGTTAAGGAAGATCAGGTTTTTGCCATGAATCCTCCCAAATTTGATAAAATTGAGGACATGGTTATGATGACCCATCTCCACGAGCCTGCTGTCTTGTATAACCTCAAAGAGCGTTATGCTTCTTGGATGATCTATGTAAGTTGAAACTGAATCTGAAGCCTAGTTTGTTTCTTTTTCAATCCATCAACTACGTACCATGATATGCATTATCTCCTTTTTCTTCAGACCTACTCAGGTCTCTTCTGTGTCACTGTCAACCCTTACAAGTGGCTGCCGGTATATAACCCAGAAGTAGTGTCTGGTTACAGGGGCAAAAAACGGCAAGAGGCGCCTCCTCATATCTTCTCTATCTCTGACAATGCCTATCAGTTTATGTTAACTGGTGAGTACTCAGAAGTTAGTGTGCAACTAGAGTGCAAGGTTCAAACCTACACATTACAGAAATATTTGAGGCATAGAAATTTAACAAATTACATGCACCACAGCCCTCATTTTGGAGGGATATGCATCCATGTAGTCTTCTTAGCATGAGCAGTAGGACCCATTTGCCAGCATCTCTTCCAACTATCAGTGTCCATCTCCTCAGCCCAAATTCCATTTGTTTCACCTTCCTTTTAGAGGTGAGGCTAAACAGGTAAAATTCTGTCTGAGAAGATGGAGATTGATAGTTGAGAGTGAAGGAGAGATGCTGGTTGGATGAAGCTGTCCCACCATTACCGAAGAACAAGAGGACTGAGCTTCAAGCATTTCAAAAGGAGCAAGAGAAGTGATTCGCATTCCTTCACAATTCCTTCTATGCAAATTGCTTCTTTCGGCATAATATCAGAAGTCAGATAAGATGGTTTGCCCAACCATCACAGATACCGTATTTTTCATTCTATAAGATGCACCAGACCACAAGCTGCACCTAGTTTTTGGAGGAGGAAAACAAGAAAAAAAATATTCTGAATCCTAGAAGCCATAACAGCAAGAGGGATCGTTGCACAGTGAAAGCAGCAATCCCTCTTGCTGTTCTGGCTTCTGGGATAGCTGCGCAGCCTACATTCGCTCCATAAGACGCACACACATTTCCCCTTACTTTTTAGGAGGGAAAAAGTGAGTCTTATAGAGCAAAAATTACGGTACTTTTTGAGAGAGGTGCTTTAGACATTTATCTAGTTATTTGAAGTAGGATCTTTGGTGGAAAGCTAGTGCTATAAGCTCATTGACTGGGGAAGGTCTTGTTTTCTCCAGTTCCTGCCAACTTTCCAAAGGCAGTCAAGTTGAAGAAATTATTAGATATGGTACATGGGAGACGAGGTGGCAAGGTTCATGTTTCTATCCCATGTCCTCTAATGCCCGCTTTCTGACACTCCTCACCTTCCAGCATCCCCATACCTGAAACACTCTCTACTATAAGAAATTGGAAGAGGGTGACAAGATGCCATTCTGAAGTGATCCTCTTACATATACATAGCACAGTTTATCCATAGCATGTTTTCAGCTGACTAATCTGTAAGAAGGAGACGGACCATAGTTCAGTGGCAGGGTACAAGTTTTGCAAGCAAATGGTCAATGTTCAGTCCTTAGCATCTCCACTTGGGGCTGCAAAAGTTCCCTATCTGAAATGCTGAGAACCACTGCTAGTCAGTATAAGCAGTAATGAGCTTTATGAACCCTAGATCTGACTCTTCCTAAGCAGAATCCTCAGATCAGCCCTCACAGAGTTTGACTAGAAACAGAACTGACTGGTATCTCCTTTTTACCTTTCAGATCGCGAAAACCAGTCAGTCCTGATTACGTGAGTATTCCCCCCCCCCCCCGAATAGCTAAATGTTGTAGGAGCGGATAATACAGTCATTGGTTGTTTCCACACTTCAGGTTGTTTACAAAACAAAACAAAATTGAATATGGAAACAGAAGTACAGTGGTACCTCGGGTTAAGTACTTAATTCGTTCCGGAGGTCCGTTCTTAACCTGAAACTGTTCTTAACCTGAAGCACCACTTTAGTTAATGGGGCCTCCTGCTGCCGCCACGCCGCAGGAGCCCAATTTCTGTTCTTATCCTGAAGCAAAGTTCTTAACCTGAAGCACTATTTCTGGGTTAGCGGAGTGTGTAACTTGAAGCGTATGTAACCTGAAGCGTATGTAACCCGAGGTACCACTGTATTTAATTACTGGCAAACAAGCCAAGGGGAAAAAAGCAGGGGGGGTAATAATCACCACAATAAGAAAGAAAGACTAAGATAATTAGTTTGGACTTCTTTGTTCCAACAGTGGAGAATCCGGTGCAGGAAAAACTGTGAACACCAAGCGTGTCATCCAGTACTTTGCAACAATTGCAGTTGCTGGGGACAAGAAGAAGGAACCTCAACCGGGTAAAATGAAGGTTTGTGATACTGATAAAGTTTTCAATGGCTATTTCATACTGTTGTTATTCTGGAAATATCAGTAATGCACTCTAACTTTAGCAGATGTAAAAATCAAAATTAGCTGAACACAGAGAGAAATGTAAGCGACTTACATTAACCATTTCACAGAATCACAGAATCACAGAACTGTAGAGTTGGAAGGGACCCTAAGGATCATCTAGTCCAACCCCCTGCAATGCAGGAATATGCAGCTGGTCCATACAGGGATCGAACCTGCAACCTTGGTGTTATCAGCACCATGGTCTGCATCCCTTCTCTTGAAGGGAGATGTCATTTTAAAGTTTTGTGTAGTTCAACAGAATGCTTAAAGCTGCCATAATGATATGTGCTCTTCAATGCTTTCAAAGCACAATTTCACAGGAAATTTCTCATGTTATAATTAGGGAACCCTGGAGGATCAAATCATCCAGGCTAATCCTCTACTGGAAGCCTTTGGCAATGCCAAGACAGTGAGAAATGACAACTCTTCACGTTTTGTAAGTTCTGACCGTTTATGTATGTATGTATGTATGTATGAATTGCTCAGTTGTGCAGAAAATCTGTGTGTTATAAATTAAATATGTGTTCACTTCCTACCAAATTTGCAAGAGGAGACTTATACCAATCTTCAATTCACCAGGGAAAATTTATCAGAATTCATTTTGGGACCACAGGAAAGCTGGCATCTGCAGACATTGAAACCTGTGAGTGGCTGCCCCATTTCTACTTGATAAATAAATTAAGCACAGTATTACAAAGAACACCTTGGACTTTGCTTATTTGTTTTTATATTCAAATTCTCACAGATCTTCTGGAGAAATCTAGAGTGACATTTCAGCTTTCTGCTGAGAGGAGCTACCACATATTTTACCAGATAATGTCAAATAAGAAACCAGAGTTGATTGGTAAGAGGAAGCAACGTGGAAATCCATTTTACTGTCTTTATTCAAGCTATTCAAAAGGAAACCAACATAGTTGCTCTTTTTTATTTTTTTGCTTGCAGACCTTATGCTCATTTCCACCAATCCCTATGATTTCCCATTTGTGAGTCAGGGGGAACTCACTGTGGCCAGCATAGATGATGCGGAAGAGCTATTAGCAACTGATGTAAGTCTCCCTGAGGGTGTTTGAAAGTGATCATTTTATAGTGCCCTAAATGCACATTTGTTTCTCGGTTGATGAGGGGGATCCAGATATCTTTTCCCAAAGAAAGGATCCTAATGCAGAGTGATTGCATTTGCCCAGCAGTCCAACTTAGCACATGAATTGAAGCAGTGCTATGTGAAATCTGGTTCTGTGTGGTTATGAGCACTTATTGACAGTTTCCACTGGGACAAAACGAGTTACAAATTCATTGTTTGCCCAGTTTTCCAGAAACATGAAGTACCCAGAAAGATAAGTACCAGAGTAGTCTATGAAAGTGTTCTAAATTTGTTGTGGATAAGCTTAACATTTCACAGCAAGAATTTATTATGCAAATTAAGACATTTCTGAAGATACGCAGCAAAAATAATTATTGATTTGGCTTATCACAATATACAATTGGAAATATCTGGAATGTGGAATACTGCAAATTAAGCTTTGGTAAAATGCATGTTTGGGAATATTTGGAGGACATTGAGGATCAGTGAGTGTTAGAAGGAATGCATTGAGTATTTTAATGGAAATCATTGTTGGTGCTTCTTCTAATCTTACTTTCAACCTGAAGGCAGAAACATCAGGTGAAAATGTCTATTTATTTATTTTTAATTTTATTAAGGATTTTCTTGTTTTACAGAAGTAAGTGTAATGCCTCGTATTTCCCCCCCCCCCCATGTAACATTTTTACAAATCCGTTTCATTTGTTGAGGCATTAGGGGGAGAAGAAAAAAAGGAAAAAAGAAAGGGGTGGGTGGAGAGAGGGAAGATGGATGGGGGTGGGGTCGGGTGGCGGTGTTTCTATTATGTTTAATGTATGTACAGTTTGGTGTCAGCGTTGCTTGTGTTGTTCACTTGTGTTCCTTTGGTGGTGAGAGAGGTTGGGGTTGGCCTAGGGTGTGATTGTTTGCTTGTGATTGGCTGTGGTGATCTTTGTTTTCGTGTGTGAGTGAGGTGGGTGGGTGTTTTGGATCGGGTTAGCCATATTGATTTGTATGCTGTTGGTGGATTATTGTCATTGTCTTGTTGGGCTGTGTATGTGATAAAGGGGAGCCATACCGGGGTGAAGGCGTCTTCTTCTGTTTGTCCCCGTGTCAGTTTCAGTTTATTAGTTAATTTTTCTAGTAGGGCTGTTTCCCATACTATTTGGTACCATTGGTCCATGTTTACTCCTGACAGGTCTCTCCAGTGTCTGGTTATGGTGTTTCTGGCTGCTGAAAGTAGGTGGGTTATGAGTACTTTGTGGTGTAAATGGGCATTGTTGTCTTGGAAGATGTTTAGTAGGGCCAATTCTGGGGTGATGTCTATTACTTGCTTAGTTATTTTACATATTTCTTGTATGGCTGTTGTCCAGAATAGTTGGATTTTGGGACACTCCCACCACATGTGGAAGTATGTGCCTGTGGAGGTGCACCCTCTCCAGCATTTTGGTGAGGTTCCTGGGTGTATTAGCGCTAGTTTCCTTGGTGTTAGGTACCACCTGTAGGTGAGTTTCAGTGTGAGTTCTTTTCTTTTCGTTGATATGGATTTAAAGGGGGGTTTAGACCACATTCTGGTCCATTGAGTGGGGTTAATCTCATAGCCTATGTAATTTTCCCATTGTTTTTTGATTGCATCTAAGGGATTTGCGGGATTTTGGAGTAGTATTTTGTATATTGCGGATACCGTCCCTTTACCGTTTCCCTTTGTTGTTAGGAGGAGGTTTTCGAAGGTTGTCAGGGGCCTAGTTGCTGCTGATTTTACTGTTGGGTTGTTTAAGAGGGCATGTAGTTGGTGTTGTGTTAACCAGGGCATTTGGGTGTCTTCTAGTTTGTCTTGTGTTGACAAGGGTTTGTTATTTTTATAAAAGTCTATTAGGTGATATAAGCCTTTGGTTTGCCAGGTTTTTATCTGGAGGTTTTGTGCTGCATGGTGGAATAATGGGTGGTACGCCAGGGGGATTAGTGGGGATGGGGTTGGGGATAGTTTGCCTATTTGTGTTTTCCATGCTTTGAGCATGGTCTGTGTGTACCTGTTAAGTGTTGTGGGGATTTTCTTTAGTTTGTTTGGGAGGAGTGGGTATGTTGTGGTGCAGGTATTGAAAATGTCTATTTGACAGTACTGCACACACTGTGTGCCGACAAGTCAATTGACCAAACCAATTAAGAGTGATCCACAAATGGAAACAGGTTTCTGCTGTTTCCATTTGTGAAAAGAGCACAAATGACTACTAAGAACTTGAGGAGGAAGAGCCTTTATCTACTTGGTTACAGATGATCCTAGTGGACTGCCTGACATAATTTGGTGGTAGGAAGGGAGTAATTTTTATTTATTTATATTGGTTAGTTGCTCTTCTTACATAACTGAAAACAACTTACACTAAAACCAATTAAGAACAACAATAAGGATATACAGGACTTCATCCAGTTGCCTCTTCCTCCACTCCCACCTACTTAACAGGTGACCTGTTTTATCAGAGCTACTGACAGTGCTGCTGATCACATCTTATGCAGAGCAAACTGTGACTTCTGTGACACAACAGTGGGCAGTCTTACAGTGTCCTATACGTTTCCTTTGTCAGTTTGAGCAACTTTCATGACAAGGGCATTCCAAAACATTCTGTGAGAATACAGTCAAAATATCTCAATTGCTACCAATAACTGCAGTTGAGATCAGAATATTAAAGCTTTTTTATGAGTCCCTGGTTATTTTTCTATGCATAAGAGATTGTAATTGGATAGTTAGTTACCTGCATCCTAACACAAACTGCATCACTGTTTAATCAATTACAGAAGATAATGGTTGGGATATAGGAGTCTGTAAAATTACAGAGGGCTTTTGCATCCCCAAGTGGTACGAGATGGTCATTGCTGCTAGAGAACAGAATTCACAAGAGTTCACCTTCATTTCCTTTGGAGTGGTGAGGAGAGCTTTAGCTGATTTCACCCTGTTAAAAAAAAGAAAAAAAGATTGAGTTTAATCTGAACAGTACGTTTCCTGAAAATACATTAGAGGGGATGGAAGCACATAGACAAAAATAACCTTGTTGTTGTTATTAACACAGCTTGTAGATCATAGACACGCCTGTAAAGCTCAGAATGCTATTATGCAAGACAAAAAACTAGGAATGGCAGATCAAGGTTTCACACATTGCATAGGGCAAAAAGGATAATGGTGGGATCTCTATTCTATGGAAAACTGGAATAAAGGGTATCCAGGTCAGCTTTGACTATTTGGGTAAGTGATGGTATCTTATAGGAAATGACATGAAATATTTCTTCCCTGAGAAAAACAACACTTACTTAGATGTGTGGGTGGCCTTTAACTTTTCCACTTGCAGAATCCACTAATCCACTATAGCATTGTTAATCGTTATTAACAGGTAGGAGTGCTTCTGTCTCCTTTGTATGAATTAAGTGCTCTTCATTTTTTATTTTTGCTTTCAAACGCTATCTACCATTGGAGACTTCCACAAACTTAGCCTCTGTATATTTTTCTTGTTACTCTCTGCAGAGTGCCATTGACATCCTGGGCTTCACTGCTGAAGAGAGGGTTGGAATCTATAAGCTGACAGGGGCAGTGATGCATTATGGGAACCTGAAATTCAAGCAGAAGCAGCGGGAGGAGCAAGCAGAGCCAGATGGTACTGAAGGTAAATGTTACATGGTACATTGTCCTCAAGTCTGCATTATACGTGTTGACTGTGCTGTGGCCAGCTTTTTCTTTTTCTTTTCTTTTTTACAATTTCCAATTCAATCTTTATTATTTTTAAAAATATACATTTATACAACATTTATACAACACTCTGTTTTTGTTTGTAACAAAAAAGAAAATGATGGCAACTGAAGCAAAGATACTTTTTATACCTCACAATACACATGACACTACCATTTTTAGAAAGAAAGAAAAAAGAAATAAAGAAAGAGAAAAGAAAAAGAAGAAAAATAAAGAAGAAAAAGTAATTGAGATTTTAAAAAAGACTTCCAAACATTGTCATTGTACGTTATCTGTTAAATACACTTTTACTGCACAGTTACTTTTTTCTTATATTTTTTATCGTATTTCTATGTAAATTGTCAATTACCTTTATATACTACAAGGCTCAGTCTAGGTCTGGCAGGAGATTACCGTTTATACCATGGTGGCCAGCTTTTTCTGATGACCAGATTGTATGTAAATGCACGTTCCCAAAGTTCTGCTCCATACTTTTAACAAAAATGTACAATGACTGGATGAAAATATTAAAGCCAATTACATCCTATATGGGTATTATATAAAGTCACCATCTCTACAGACAACTGAATGGCTTTTTTGTGGGTGTAACAGGGAGTTTCTGAATGCTGTTGATGACTCCAGAGCTGATGGTGGACTGTATAAAGTTAATATTTGTTTTTGTTTTCATTTACTTATATCTAGTGGCTGACAAAGCAGGCTACTTAATGGGCCTAAACTCTGCAGATTTGCTTAAAGGTTTGTGCTACCCACGAGTGAAAGTTGGAAATGAATATGTGACTAAAGGACAAAATGTTCAGCAGGTACATTTTCATTGTGATATTTGCTTTTAAACTAGCAGTTTTGTCCTGAAGTATTTTATATATTTAAATGTATGCATTAAATTGATTGTAGGCACACCGCAGGCCTCAGTAGGACCCTCGGGGAATGTAACAATATATCAAACCTTAATAAACTTGAAACAATATATTTGGAAAAAACAGAACAATTATAAAGCACTATGATAAATAACAATGCATGTCCAAAACAGGAGCAGATTCCAGCAGACCCACAGTGAAATCTGGAAAGAAAAATGAAAATGTCTCAAGAACAAACTAGCCTCAAGCTTCTTAACACATGAAAGGCAAAATTGAGTGGTTCTTCCAAACATGTGTATAGGGGAGTTTTACAGTGAGAACATTACAATGGAGATGTGCCAGCCAACCTCATATCAAACAATGCTAGTGCTGGGAGCATGATCTTGCCTGATGAGCAGAGCACTCAGGGAGTACTCATATAGGAAAGATTTCCTGACATTCAAGCCATTTATGGCTTTTAAGGACAAGAGCAGCACATGAAAATTAATTGGAAGCAAGTACAGCTCTTTTTTTAATAGAAATTCTTCACTTGCTTCTCATTGGGATAGGTGTACAATTCTGTGGGTGCACTTGCAAAATCTGTCTACGAGAAGATGTTCCTGTGGATGGTGACACGCATTAACCAGCAGCTGGACACCAAACAGCAAAGGCAGCATTTCATAGGGGTGCTGGACATTGCTGGCTTTGAGATCTTCGATGTAAGTGAAAATTAATCCTACACAACAAAATAAAAAACCATTCAAAATGTCTGTGCTCATTTAAAAATACAAAAACTATTATTTTGCTTGTAAAGTACAACAGCCTGGAGCAGCTGTGCATCAACTTCACCAACGAGAAACTGCAACAGTTTTTCAACCACCACATGTTTGTGCTGGAGCAAGAGGAGTACAAGAAAGAAGGAATCGATTGGGAGTTCATTGACTTTGGAATGGACCTGGCTGCCTGCATTGAACTCATTGAGAAGGTAAGAGGTGCTTCCTGTTTTAACTCTCAGCATTTCTTGGCAAAAGGCCTCCAATTAAATGAATTTCTGTACCTGAGCAGTTCAACCTATAATTCTGACTTAATACTTAAACAGTTGTTCCTTTGTGGTATTTTTATCCTATACTAAACAAGGTGAGTGGGTGAACCATGCCATCAAAAATGATGAGATGGGAATGAGTCAATAGAAAGCAAGGCAAATGGGACAGGTGGGCATGAAGGGCTGAGGATCTGAGAAGAACATTGCAGGGCCTAGACAAGTACAGTGGTACCTCGGGTAAAGTACTTAATTCGTTCCGGAGGTCTGTACTTAACCTGAAACTGTTCTTAACCTGAAGCACCACTTTAGCTAATGGGGCCTCCCGCTGCCACTGCGCCGCCGGAGCACGATTTCTGTTCTCAACCTGAAGCAAAGTTCTTAACCTGAAGCACTATTTCTGGGTTAGCGGAGTCTGTAACCTGAAGCACATGTAACCTGAAGCGTATGTAACCCGAGGTAACACTGTAGTAGATCATGGAAGAGCATGAAGATGAGGCGCACCTGAATACTGCACACCTGCGTGGCCTGATGAATAGACAAGGAATTTTCAGAGAGAGGAAGCTGATACAGGGACACAAGCAAGTTGCAGTGGAACACAGTGAGAAGATTCAGTAAAGCTAACTGGGCCCAGGATATTAAATAAGTTGAGCAGGGGCTAGGCTTAGCTCCTTTCTTGGAAAGCTCTGATGATCATAATGATGATCATGAAAGTGGTATCGATTGGAGGGTGCCTTTGGTTTAATATATTCAGTTTAACCTATCTCTCCAACAGGTTTCTCGAGGCAGATTACAAACGTGTCACATTTTGCACTCCCAGTGGTCCTGCTGCGTAGGTTAGATTGAATTATAGTAGCAAGCATTTGAACCCAACAGTGTATCTGTTGCATCACACATGACTCCATCTGCCTCTCATATTTGGTGCTTTCATGACAGCAAAAACTGATTTCCAACAGAAACTGTTGGTTTTGAATCAGTAAAAAATAATAATGCCTTGTGTCATTTAATGTCAATGCATAGTTATTAACTTTACATTCAGAGGCAATAGCAATGCTCCAGAATAGTACTTGTGATGCAGAACAGTGATGCATTGTACAATCCACTGAACAATGTCTGTTTCTCTACATCTGCTCTCCTTGTTCCCTCCAGCCAATGGGCATTTTCTCCATCCTAGAAGAAGAGTGCATGTTCCCCAAGGCAACAGACACATCTTTCAAGAACAAGCTCTATGACCAGCATCTTGGCAAAAGCAACAACTTCCAGAAACCCAAGCCTGTCAAAGGCAAGGCTGAGGCCCACTTCTCCCTGGTCCATTATGCTGGCACTGTGGACTACAACATCAGTGGGTGGCTGGACAAGAACAAGGACCCCCTGAATGAAACAATTGTAGGACTGTATCAGAAATCATCACTGAAATTGTTGTCCTTCCTTTATTCCAACTATGCTGGTACAGATGCAGGTGAGCACTATTTCTGAAAAGCATAAATCTGTTTAACATCTTTTGCTTCTTGTTTATCTCTGTTTGAATCTCTTGATTCAGCCATTCTGATAGGGAATCAGAAGAATTGCTTCGCCTGGGTCCATGTGTCCACATAGCCACACAGAAGCCACATACTGTAGCTCCCATTCATAGCCCAGGCTGACATCCTGCTCACCTATTCTAGATGCACGTAGGGAATTGCAAGGTCAGATGAGACCTCTGGGTATAGGGTGATATATAAACTCAATAAATTATAATAATAAATTATATGTAGGGGAACAGAAACTCAGCAAGTTTTGGGGATACTGATTCTTGCAGTTCTGGTAAGACACTAAAGAACTAAAACAAAAGTTCTCTTGCAAACTTAGTTTTAAATTGAACTAAAAGGGAAAAGATTACTAAAAGGGAAAAAAGGCAGGGTATTATTATTATTAATAATAATAATAATAATAATAATAATAATAATAAATATCTACACCAGAGGTCAGGTTTCCTGCCGCTGTTTGTTGTGTCATTGAATTCAGTTCTCATAGATATTAGCTCCAATCCAGAGAAAGTTAGTTCTCCCATTACAATCAGTGGGGCTTAAATTAATTGTGACAAACTAGTTCTACTGATTTCGCTGATATTTATATGTTACTCTTACATACAACTACTTCTCCTGGATTGTGTCCAAAAACAGGAAACTCACAGACTTAGCAGTGATTTACTCTGAATACATGGATCATGGATCCTTTATCTTACCTTGATCTGGTGCTCTTTTCCAAGGTATATACTACCTCATCTCTTTCCCAGCCATCACAGAACTAGCTGAATGGATATGTATGCTATTTAATATCTCAAGAGACAGGGAGGATTCTGTTTAAGAGTATAGCATCTCACATGGCTGCTGTTTTGTTTGAAAGGTGACAGCGGCGGCAGCAAAAAAGGTGCCAAGAAGAAGGGTGGCTCTTTCCAGACAGTATCCGCTGTATTCAGAGTATGTGGCACTTCTTTCAGCTCTCCCCTTTATAGTATAGATTAACATGGGAAACAGACCTGTGTGCTACTGCATTTAGAACCCATTTCTTTTCTTCTGATACAGGAGAATTTAAACAAGCTGATGACCAATCTGAGAAGCACTCATCCTCACTTTGTGCGCTGTCTAATTCCTAATGAGACTAAGACGCCCGGTGAGTTACTGTGTCTCGTTGTGTTGAATCATTCCCCTATCTGAAGTTGGTAAAATTATTTTATTATGAATAATTTAATGATCAGGCAAGCTATATGCCTCTTAATGGCTACAAGATCTCCTTGCTCAGGAGTTCATTTTTCCTCAAACATCAGTCTCCCAAGCAAATGTGCCACTTTGATATAAGGCACTTAAGAGCTAAGTTTATTAAGTAGTATCAAAAAGCTTTCAAATTCCCAAGTTTAAACTGTAGATTCCTGCCAAGATTATAAATCTGGCCTTTATTTTATTAATTACATTTCTATACCACCTGTCAGCTGAGGATCACAGGGCAGTTTGCATTATAAAAACACAAAAATACATAACATAGCGGCAAACATAAACAATATTCCCCAATATTTTAGTTAAGTTCTTATGATTTGTCTAGCCATGTCAGGTGACCCATATTTCATGAAATTATGAGTCTACCTATAAATTTGACATTCTTTCTTAATTTCCCCTTTCTCCTTTGGTTTTAAAGGTGAAATGGACCATCACCTGGTGATGCACCAGCTGCGGTGTAACGGGGTATTGGAAGGTATTCGGATCTGTAGGAAAGGCTTCCCCAGCAGAATCATCTATGCTGACTTTAAGCAACGGTACACTTTCCTCTAACGATATAAAAAGGCTACTTTTTTGCAATTGCTGAAGTTGATATTTCATAAATATATTCTTTTGTATAGGCCGTTTCAGCACCTAGTCAGAAAGACTCAGAATTTAGTCAATAACTGCAGAGTCTTGAGAGGAGAGATTGTATAGTTTCATTTTTGTTCCTGAACTATTTGGCCCTCTAAATATTGCTGAAAAGAGAGTAGAAACAAACTGGTATTAATGTTTTACTCTATTTTCTTGGTTGTATAAATAACGATTAAACGTATGTAATGAAAGGTGTGGTGCTCTAATGGGGGGGTGCTTTTAGGAAGTATCTGATACTCACTTTATATATGATATAACCATATTGGTTGTAACATATTCAGTTAGATTCTGGGTGTCTTATGGCCACATGGTCTATTACAGTCTTCCTCAATTTAGGGAAGTTTTTTAATATTTGATGAATGATTGTATTTTAATATTTGCTGGAAGCCGCCCATAGTGGCTGGGGAAACCCAGCCAGATGGGCAGGGTATAAATAATAAATTATTATTATTATTATTATTATTATTATTATTATTACTACTACTACTAACTAAAAGGGTGGGAATGATCACACTCCTTGGGTCTCTGCCACCTGAGAAACATTCTAATGGGAGGTAGGGTTCCATTTGTGTAGAAAAGAACCCATTCATGTGTTTGGAATGCTCATTCACTGTCCAGCACTGTCCAGTAACAGTGTGGAAGTTACTCCCACATGTGTGCGTGTGCATGTGTTTTGTGTGAAGAGCTCCCATGTATATTATTCTACTGTTCTCCTTATTCGGATACTGTTTCCCCATTAAGACCCTAGTGTATTGTGTTACTGACTTCAGTTCTCCCACCTCTCTGTTCCTTTCTGCCTTTCCTACCACAGCTACAAAATTCTTAATGCCTCTGCAATTCCTGAAGGCCAGTTTATTGACAGCAAGAAGGCTTCTGAGAAGCTTCTCTCTTCCATTGATGTGGATCATAATCAGTACAGATTTGGCCATACTAAGGTAAGTACAAGCACGGAGTTTGACAGTTGTTTCCAGCAAATAAAAAATGGATGAAGTGCATGAGAGGAGAACGATAGAAAAGAACAGGTAGTATATTGGGGTTGCCTAATTTATTTATGCATGGCTAATTCCCCTTTGGGACGCGGGTGGTGCTGTGGGTTAAACCACAGAGCCTAGGACTTGCCGATCAGAAGGTCGCCGGTTCGAATCCCCGCAACAGGGTGAGCTCCCGTTGCTTGGTCAAGAATGAGTTAGACCAAGTTTTGGGACGTGGGTGGTGCTGTGGGTTTGGGACGTGGGTGGCGCTGTGGGTCAGAAGGTTTGGCAGTTCGATTCCCTGCGACGGAGTGAGCTCCCGTTGCTCGGTCCCAGCTCCTGCCAACCTAACAGTTCGAAAGCACGTCAAAGTGCAAGTAGATAAATAGGTACCACTCCGGCGGGAAGGTAAACGGTGTTTCCGTGCGCTGCTCTGGTTCACCAGAAGGCTGGTTCAAGGCCTGCTGATCTTTCTGAATCTGTGGCCTCATCCTCCTAAAACAATGAGCCACAACCTGGTGTCATGACACTGGCTTGGGATTTCCCCTGAAAAACCTGAAGAAATTTCCTGAGCTACCCAGAAGCCTTGGACAGAAGTCTCTTTCTGTTTCTCTCCCCTCCCACACACATACCAGCACCCTTTTCCTTTAACATGACAATAGTGCTGAGAGCAAGAATAAAAGATAGAGAAGGGGTAAGGATCATCCACTTTTCATACCACTTTTCTCTCCCCTTGTTAGTACTATGTGCTTGTTTAGTGATAACTTTTGTTTCAAACTTACCAAAACATCACAGGTATTCTTCAAGGCTGGCCTCCTTGGGTTGCTGGAAGAGATGAGAGATGAGAAACTGGTAGCCCTCATCACCCACACACAGGCTATGTGCAGAGGTTACCTCATGAGGCTTGAATTCCAAAAGATGAATGCAAGAAGGTAACTAGCCATTTCCTTGCTCAACCTCCAGAGAGCAGCTCACTAAAACTTGTTTGTACACATTAATGTCTGAATATGTCAGTATTAAATGTATGGTCTTCTGTACAGAATGAAGACCATACAGTGTCATACTTAGTTCCCTGTCTCATACCTAAACTTTTGGCAAAGCTAGGATATGTATTTTTGACGCAAAATCTGGCACTGTTACTTTCTCATCTTCAACATTTGAACGTTGCTTTGGCAAAGCTTGTTGCTCCTTTTTGCTACAAATGTAATGCAGGTATTTTGGAATTCCCCTGCACTCTTTTTATTTGGAAACGACCAGTTTGAGTTTATTGTGCTAGCCAAAGGCCCATGCCAAAATATAGAAAAACAAACTATTTCAGATACAACATATAAATCAAGGCATCGACTAAAACAGAGTCATCAATTTTTAGTGAAACTACAGATATAGACCCCTGAATCCCTGTTACAGTTCACAACTATGTTGTCCAATTCCTTTTTCCTAATCTTTCTTGCCACCAGCATGAGAAAGGCCACTTTATAAGTCACTAACACATTGGAGTAACCACTGAACCTGCTCCATTGAGGGATAATTGCTTGCTTGAGCAAGTAAGTTTTAGAAAGTGGCTCCTCAGGTCAGCATATAAGGGCCAATATAACAAATAATGAAAAATATATTCTACCTGTAATTGACCAGTCTGCTTTAGGTGATTACTACTGATAAAGATCAGTGCTTATTTAGTATTGAAACATGTGCCTCTGAAATCACTTTCCGCTTAAGTCCCTTACTTTCCATACATTCGCAGAGAATCAATTTACGTAATTCAGTACAATGTCCGTTCATTCATGAACGTCAAGCACTGGCCCTGGATGAAGCTATATTTCAAGATCAAGCCCTTGCTAAAGAGTGCTGAATCAGAGAAAGAGATGGCCAACATGAAAGAAGAATTTGAGAAAACTAAAGAAGATCTTGCAAAGTCAGAAGCAAAACGAAAGGAGCTTGAGGAAAAAATGGTGACTCTGGTGCAAGAGAAGAATGACCTTCAGCTTCAAGTTCAGTCTGTAAGTAACGTGTATTCTCCTAGTTGCACTTCTGATTACCACCGTCCATTGTAGAGAGAACACTCAGTGGGCAAGCTGAGAGCAATAACCTTCAACCTGGTTACTGACAATCTTGGAGATCTTGTAGATGAGCTTCTGGAAAGAGCATACTGCCATCTAGTCCTGCTTGACAGAGGATTCAGTGGCAGTAATCACAGCAGCACTCCTGATTTTTATATTAAAAAATAAATACACATGTCTGGCTTCTTCTTTTCGTTCTATAGGAAAGTGAAAGTTTAGCAGATGCTGAGGAAAGGTGCGATGGACTCATCAAAAGTAAGATTCAGCTAGAAGCTAAGATAAAAGAGTTGACTGAAAGGCTGGAGGATGAGGAGGAGATGAATGCTGAGTTGACGGCCAAGAAGAGGAAACTTGAAGATGAGTGCTCAGAGCTGAAGAAAGACATTGATGACTTGGAACTAACATTGGCCAAAGTGGAGAAGGAGAAGCATGCAACAGAAAACAAGGTGAAAAGAGACTACAGAGTCATAGTGCCATTATGACCCCTCTCGGTTCTGTCCCCCTGCCAACATGAAAGTAAAATTTTAAATCAGTACAGTGGTACCTCGGGTTAAGTACTTAATTCGTTCCGGAGGTCTGTTCTTAACCTGAAACTGTTCTTAACCTGAAGCACCACTTTAGCTAATGGGGCCTCCTGCTGCCGCTGCACCGCCAGAGCACGATTTCTGTTCTCATCCTAAAGGCAAAGTTCTTAACCCGAGATACTATTTCTGGGTTAGCAGAGTCTGTAACCTGAAGCGTATGTAACCTGAAGCGTATGTAACCCGAGGTACCACTGTAGTAAGGAAAGGAAGGAAAAGATAGCTTACTTAAACTTAAGAAGTTTTGGCTACTGGTTTGTTCCTTCAACTTTTGTATTGCAGCACTTGGAGTTTGGGGTTTAGATGTTCAGCATCCAGATTCATATTTTTCGGTGCTGCCATGAAGCTCAGTAGGTGGCCCTGAGCAAATCAAATGATATCTCAGGGTTGTTGTGTGTTTTTTACAGAGTTGTGAGTTCAAAAGGGAATGTTATACATCTTGCTTTGGATCTTTGAGACTGATTAGGGAAAAAAAATATAATAATGTATCAGGTTGTATCCAGTGCTGTCCCCATTCAGAGTAGACATGACTAAGGGCTCATCCACACTTACGTTTTGCCCCATGCTTTCTAGGCACAGGCCCACACTTTTCTGGTCCAAGTCTGAGCCCTTTTTAATTTTTTTGCCCCACTGCTTCCTCCAGGAAAATCTGCTCGTTAATGCTGAATCAGAACAAACAGCAATTTTGGTTTTCCGTGGCTTGCCATTTGCTCTGAATCAACACTAAAGAACAGGTTTTCGCAGGGAAAGTGCCTGCGATGGGGGGCAGGGATGTTCAGGCAGGGAACCTTAAAACGCGGACCTGTTCCTAGAAATGCAGAGCAAAGGTAAGTGTGGATGAGCCCTATCTTAGCTTCATTAATTCCACATTAATGTCCATAAATTGGAGAGTGCAGAATAATGAAACTGATTTTTTATTTGGTTGCAAAATATATTTAACTTGCCTGACAGAATTCTTCCTACTGGTCCTGTTGGAAGATTATGCTTGGCCCTTTGCATATTGTGAAGGGGATTTTTTTTTCTACTCGTCGCATTTGTATTTTTAGATTTCATGGGCAAAAAAGAGACAAAAATCAGCTTTTGCCCAATCTTTCTGTGTAACTCAGTGTTCTTTATTGCACTATTTCAGTTTTGTAATGAAGAGGTCAGGAGGCATTTCTGAGGAAAGTCTCATTGTGTTGCCACATCTGTAACTAGTGCTGCTCGTTACATATGTATAGGATTTTAGCAGACACCAGCCTTTGGGTGATATCATATTCAGAGTAGACCCACTGAAATCAATGAACAACTTCCTTACATCCATTTACTTCAGTGGTTCTACTCAGCACATGACTTAGTTGGGTATTACCCTATGTTATTTTCTCACTCATAAGACAAGGACTGCATATAATCACCCGTAATGAGGAAACACTCATAAATGGAGGTCTTTATTGTTTCTTAGGTTAAAAATCTTACTGAGGAGATGGCAGCTTTGGACGAAAACATCTCCAAGCTCACCAAAGAGAAGAAAAGCCTCCAAGAAGCTCACCAGCAGACTTTAGATGACCTCCAGGCAGAGGAAGACAAAGTGAACACTCTGTCCAAAACCAAATCGAAACTTGAACAGCAAGTTGATGATGTAAGAGAATTTTTAGTGTTGAGAGGACACAATAAAAGCACTGGGAGAACTGAAGTCTATTTGCAGTTATACACACTGGCTAGAACCAATGTTGAACCTGCTAAATCTTTTTTTTTTGTACTAGTCCTCAGTTCTATATCTGCCTGATATCATCAGTCCTCTCCTCCAGGCTTAGGAAGGCAGTGGGAGCACAGAACTAATGCAACCCGAGGCACCATTTAACTGACTAAACATGGGCATAAATATCTTCAAGTAAGGGCCTTTACTCTTGCCAGAAGTTCGGCTCTGCCCTTGCAGGTTCTGGAAGGATCTTTTGGAAAAGTCCTGTACGCTCAGAGACTTTGCACCTGCCCATTAGGGGAAAGAGGAACCCCTGAACACTTATTTTTTTAAGATGTCCTTTTTACAATGAGGCACGTAGAGATACCATCGACCCCCATCTGGTGAGGCTTGCTGACCTTCCAGACAAGCCTAAACTGAATTTTCTCCTCTTAGGCAAAAATCACAAGATGACCCGGATGGTCGCCAGATTCTGCGCGCAGATTTGTAGGTGTAGAACACCCCCTGGAACAAATAGATCACTAGGAAAACTGCCGTAGCCGGCCTCCTGGATATCCCAGGGGCAATCTTCACGTTAGTTTAACCTTAGGTCCTTTTGTGTTCATGCGACTATTTTAATTTTAATCTATAAGCTGTTACTGTGTATTGTTTTAAATGTCTATTTCATTCTTGTGAAAGCGGTCTCAGTTGTGCTTTTTGAACTGGTCTTTGGCCGTAATAATAAATTATTACTATCTTCAAGTAATTTTCAGTAATGAAATGTGTCAATCCACTGCCAGCCTAACAGTTCCCTTTTTGAAGAATATTCTCTTTTTGAAGACTGCAAGTGGTAGATCATTTTTAGGAGCAAGGGAACTCGCCTCAAAACATATTCACATATTTTGAACTAGGTAAACTTAGGAATATAGGAAGCTGTGTTACACCATATCAGATCATTGGTCCATCCAGCAGCTGCCTCTTCAAGGTTTCAGGCGGGCCTTTTTCTAACATGTTTGGCTGGTATTTATTAGACTTTGTTATTAATAGGATATCTAAGAACTGAATTTTATTTTAGCATTGCCATCTTTGCAGGGGCTTAGAAGACTCTGCTTTAAGGCCTAAAGCAGCATCTAGCCTTTCAAAACACCTAATTCTTTATATTTCCTTCCTCTTCTTTGAAACAATAGCATTAAATCAGTGTCTCTTGTTCTTATGTACTGTTTAGCTTGAAGGGTCTTTGGAGCAAGAGAAGAAGCTTCGTATGGATCTTGAGAGAGCTAAAAGGAAGCTGGAGGGGGATCTGAAGATGTCTCAGGAATCTATCATGGACCTGGAGAATGACAAGCAGCAAATGGATGAAAAACTGAAGAAGTATACTGCCGAGATTTAATATTGATCTCAAATTTGAACTTTCTCATTAAAATGCTTACTTTTCTTTTTTCCTCCTTCACCAGGAAAGAGTTCGAAATCAGCCAGGTACAAGGAAAAATAGAGGATGAACAGGCTCAAAGCTCTCAGTTACAGAAAAAAATTAAAGAGCTACAGGTAAATCATAGAAAACTTCGTGTATCTTTTGTGCCTCGGAAATCTCCGTTTTTAAGGTCACTCTCACCCCTCATATACATTCACTGCTTATATAGTGGTTCTAAAATGATATTCTTCCTCAAATTGAATACCTACATACACACTTAGTATGAAGACACTAGATAAAATCACTTTAGGAAGAATAGTGTATTACTCCAGGAAATTCAACCATTGGTCTTAAGGAACCACTGGCTGTAGATGTATATTGTCTCCTTAATGTGAGATGTTTAAGAATATATTTGTGTTCATATGCATTTCACAGAGAACCTGAAATGTTATAAGTTTCTAAAATAAGTATGCATGCACTGCTTATTTTACACGTGTTTTTATTGAAATAATACAATGATTTAGTACTTTTAGATTACTCCTGGCCCAGCTACTGTATGGAGGCACAGACTTGGCTTAAAGGCCACCCTGACTTTATAGAGACCGTTCAATCCAAGTACTTAAGGCAAATATTCTCAGCGCTATCTTGTGTTTCAAACGCTGCATTGCAGTTGGAGGCCAACTTTCTCTCAATTGAATTACAAATTTGGTACAGGACATTTACTTATTGCCTTTGTCTGAATTTAACCCTCACTGGTCTATTACCCTTAATATTGCAAGACTGTCACGAGAGTGCTTGGACCAAAACTGTTACTCAAAAGCTCTACTCTGATTTATCAGCCCAACAGTTATTAACCCTGGATTTCGATAAAGCAAAGAATTTAATTAGGCAGCGCCTACATGACATTGAACAACAGAATAATTTTGCCGCCATAAGAAAATTTTGTCCTTGGTATGATCCCCCCCCACACACCTAGTCTCCTCCGCACATCGGCATCCTATCTGCTAAACTTAACAGTTTTAAAATACAGACGTGCCTTCACCTATGCAAAATGATTATGTCCATTCGGAGATGGCAGTATCAAATCTGTAGTGCATGCACTCCTAGCTTCTGCATGCTCCTAACCTCTGTGTAATGAGGTTAATACACCTCTTCTATCATCCATACCAGGCTGTTCATCCTCTGCTACATTGTCCTTGCTTCTTGCAGACCAAGATTACCAGGTGACAGCAAACATGGCAAAAATTTTAGCTGGGGCAATCGGAATTAGATCTACCATCTGACCAACCTGTTTAATGCCTAGTAAAGATTTTTACTTTTAGTTTATAAAATCATGAGCACAGTCTACCTAAAGTTCCTTTTCAGTTCTACTCTTTTCAGTGGCATAGTTAAACTTCTGTATCTTATTTCCCAAAGGCCCGTATGGAAGAACTGGAGGAGGAGATTGAGGCTGAGCGTGCATCTCGGGCCAAAGCAGAGAAGCAGCGGGCTGATCTCTCCAGAGAACTTGAAGAGATCAGTGAGCGTCTGGAGGAAGCTGGTGGGGCAACCGCAGCTCAGATTGAGATGAACAAGAAGCGTGAGGCAGAATTCCAGAAAATGCGCAGGGACCTTGAAGAGGCCACTCTGCACCATGAAGCCACAACGGCTGCTCTCCGCAAGAAGCATGCAGACAGTGCAGCTGAACTTGGGGAACAAATTGATAACCTGCAACGTGTGAAACAGAAGCTGGAGAAGGAGAAGAGTGAGCTGAAGATGGAGATTGATGACCTTGCCAGTAATATGGAGTCTGTCTCCAAAGCCAAGGTAGAGAGTTGCATGTCTTTATTGTGACTAACTGTTCTGCTGTAGATTCTGGTTAATTAAAACATTGTATTTTATTTCTCCCCTCACAAAGAGTAATCTGGAAAAGATGTGTCGGGCCCTTGAAGACCAGTTCAGTGAAATTAAGACAAAAGATGAAGAGCATGTGCGGCTGATCAATGATCTGAACACACAGAAAGCACGTCTGCACACCGAGAATGGTGAATTTGGGCATTTTTAGAAGACATGGGCATTCCATCCCACCTTTCCATAAAAATCATTGTAGACATGTTATCTACATATGTATTATTGTAGGAAACTGCATTTCTGTTTCTTAAAGCGTATCTTAGAAATGTGGGTTGTCGGATAATTGGGTTTTTTTTCCTTTTCTGTGATGTGGAAAAGTAATGCTTATACAACTCATACAACAAATATTCAGATACAAAAAGTCAGCCACAAATACTCAAAGGCTTCTACTGCCTTCTCCTTTAGACCCCTATATTAGTTCCTGTTAACAGCTACAAATGCACTGTTAATGTTGAATAGAGAACTGCTCTGGTTTTTAAACATGATCTCTGTGTTTAAATCTATGCATAAGCATCAGTAGTGAAAAACTACTGTTGATACTCAAGTGGGAGTATTGGGGCTGCATGAACAGCATTAGCAAGTGGCATAAGTGAGAGATTCACAGCTCCATGAGAACATTCATAAACGTTATTCAGATTCTTGAGGCGCCATGCACAGCGTCTGGTCACCCAATAGACCTTGAGCCTCGGTGTTGCTCCCAAATTCCTAAAATTATAATTGCACATGACACTTCACAGAATATGCCTTCAATAGCCTCTACATGCAGCTCAGAGAAAATTAAATCCTACTGATAGCAATGAGAATAAAGCCCATGCAGCTCGTTCTGGTTTACAACTCATTTTCTCCAGAGTGAAGAAGTAAGGCCACCACTAAAAGTATATATGGATAGATCTAAAGAAAATGTATTAATCCGAACAAAAATTATCGAGAACTAATGTTAATTGCAGTATTTATCGTAATTATTGAAAACTGTAGTATTTATTGCATTTTATTTTAATAGAAGCCATACTATATTTGTTGCAATTATTGTGGACTGTAGTAACATCCATTTCAAAGAATGGGAGACAGAGATGGAAAAATTCTAGTCGAGCAAGTGCACAAATGATTTAAATAAGCACTTGCATTGCCATCAGTGAGACTACTTAGGAGCAGGTGGTGAGACTACTTAAGAGCAGGTGGGGTGTTTTTTCAACCATCTCAGCCTATGACTATGTGAATATATTTTTTTCCAATAGGCGAATTTTCTCGACAACTAGAAGAAAAAGAATCTTTTATTTCACAGTTGATCAGAGGGAAACAAGCCTTTACCCAGCAGACAGAGGAACTCAAGAGGCAGCTGGAGGAAGAAAACAAGGTGATTTTCCACTTGTATATCATGCCTCAGAGAAGTGAGGAATGAATAATCCTGATAAAAAGAGGCAGGAGAGGCAGGGAACATCAGAAAAAAGGCAATAAAACAATCAAAGCTGATTTCCAGCTGACATGGACTGATGGAAATTCAAGGACAAATTACAGCATGAATGCAGTAACACATGCAACATGGAGAGGTAAAACAGGTGCTTTTGCAAATTCTGCAGTTGCTATTGAAAAAGCTATGATAATATTGCACTGTTACAAAACACACCACTCCATAAGATTAATGTGTGGAATTTACTGCAGTGAAAGCATGACTGAGGCTAAAGAATGCAAATAAAAAATTAAAAAATCGGTTCACAGAAAGTAATAATGCTTGGTTAAGTATTATATAGTCAATATTTTTATGTTTGGGTATAAACCAAATGCTGAGGAAGAAAACATCCCAGATCTCATATCTGACATGACTAACAGACAGATGTAGAATGTCTGATTGAAACAACCTGCGTGCTATTGCTACCCATGTGGTCATCATTACCATTAACATTATGAACCCTTAGGCAAAAAACGCTCTGGCCCATGCCTTGCAATCTGCTCGCCATGACTGTGACTTGCTCCGGGAGCAGTTTGAAGAGGAACAAGAAACCAAAAGTGAGCTACAGAGGGCTCTCTCCAAGGCCAACACTGAAGTTGCCCAGTGGAGAACCAAATATGAAACGGATGCCATTCAACGTACTGAGGAATTAGAAGAAGCCAAGTGAGTACTGGGAAGGAAATCAGGGGAGAGCTTTGGAGATACCAGGGTATTAACCTGTGGTATTTATTTTTGACAGCAAATCCTCAATTTCTAGTTTTGCATCTTATGCAGATCTGTTTTTTGCCATTGATATTTGTTTTATAAGCGTATTTATATACCACTCTCCCATAAAATATCAGGGTACTTAGAGCAATATAAAACATGAAAAACCATTAAAAGCAGTGCAAAACAATCATTAAGATAGCTGGCTACTCAAGAAAATTGGAAACTACTGAATTACCATAAAATAGAGTCTTCAAAAGGCACCTGAAAGTCAAAAGTGGTGTTTCATAGCACAGGACAAGTGACACATAAGTGCCCAGTTTCTGGTTGAGGTCAACAGTAGGAGGACAACCAACTAACTGTGGTCTTCTGAACAATCTCATTTTACCCAATTCTCCTTTTTTTCTAGTTTTGCAGCTGATGCTATCTATTTTCTGTTGCTTTTCAATAGGTGGTCTTCTCAGTCCAGTTGGCTGCCCCTCCCACTGCTTTTGCTTCTCTTTGGTTCTGTCTCATGAAACATGTTGTCACTCCAGGCTGTCCTTTCTATGGGTCTCTCTTTTGTCACATAGAAGTCTCCCACCTAGCCAGGCTTTCTCTCACTTTCTGCTCTGCCTGTACACCAACGCGGTTTGGAAAAACACCTTTGGTTGCATCGTGGGATACTTTGCCTTTCAGGAAGAAGCTGGCTCAGCGTCTCCAAGAATCAGAGGAGCAGATAGAAGCTGTCAATTCTAAGTGTGCTTCCCTAGAGAAGACTAAGCAAAGGCTGCAGGGAGAAGTTGATGACCTCATGATTGACGTAGAGAGGTCCAATGCAGCTTGCGCAGCCCTGGACAAAAGGCAGAGGAACTTTGATAAGGTTTCCTTTTCTTATTGGGTAGCGGGCAGATATTTTGCAGGAAGGGCAAAAAAATTGTGCTTGTTTACAGTTGTAATCCTGAGAACTTCTAGGGCTGTCTTTTGGCTTTCTGTGAATTTAGCACAAGGCTTCTATGAGAGTAGATCAATTCCACCCTTACTCATACAGTGGTGCCTCGCAAGACGAAATTAATTCGTTCTGCGAGTTTTTTCGTCTTGCGAATTTTTCGTCTTTCGAAGCACGGTTTCCCATAGGAATGCATTGAAAATCCAAAAGGAAACAAACTTGCAAGACGTTTTTGTCTTGCGAAGCAAGCCCATAGGGAAATTCGTCTTGCGAAGCAACTCAAAAAACGAAAAACTCTTTCGTCTTGCAAGTTTTTCGTCTTGCGAGGCATTCGTCTTGCGAGGTACCACTGTATGTTTGTTTGGTAGCATTGTAGCCTGTATAAAGTTTATATACATGCAACATTAGACTTTTCAATAGTAGTAGTAGTAGTAATATTGAATAATATGCGCTTCAGTGGTATATTTTGAGCTGTGTGAAACAGGCAAGTTCTTCAGAAGTAGAAATCCTGTAGGGGGCAGGCTCATCTCTAGCTACAACAGACTAATACAGAAAAAAAACCACAATTCTACATTGTCATTATTAAATTGGTTGCTGCCTCTTTGGTCTAGAAATCAAAACTGCATCCTTATGTTTGTCCCTGAAGATTGATTGAACACAATACAGTTGGACGTTGCTTATTAAACATCCTTAGTGAAAGTAGTTTGTTTTAACTGAGTAGTTGCTGAGGAACCATTCAGACAGTGTGAATGAGGTGCAGTGATTTTGAGCCCATTTGGGGTGGGGGGGAATGAAAGTTCAGGAGTGTTCCTCCCCATGCCATTGGTGGGCCATGGCAGACTCACTTGGCAGCAGTGGCAGGCAGCACTAGTTCTCTGAGCAGACTGGTGACGCCCCCCCCTTTTATTTTCACACAATGCTTGAGATACTAAAATTGTCAAGATACTAAAATTGCAGTTGTCTCGGAAGCCAGATGCTGCTCAGAGAACCAGCCGGGGGGGGGGCGGATTAAAGAGGTCCCGGGGCATGGGAGCCCCAGCACCTGCATAAGGATGCCAGGTGCTGTTACCTGCCCTGTGAAAGGCTCATATGTGATACGCAACATTTCTCCTCGGTCATAGATCCAGGAGTGGCCAGTGTGGTGGGACAGAGCCACAGAGCCAAACTTTCGACACCGGTATTGCGGCAGGCTACCTGGATTGTGCTGGGGTGGGGAAGGTCGGCTGTGAAGATGGGGCTGTGTGGGTGCAGTGGTGGAGCCCATCTGATGTTTCCACCAGTATGTCCAGAATACCACAACACACACATAACTGGCTGCAAAGTAACATAACATTGTAACATAACATAAAAACATATAGAAGGTTAATAGTAATATGATATGTTATTGCCATCGGAAACAGTGCTTTGCAATTTTTTGATATGACAATTAGATTACAGTTTCATTATATATGCTATGTTACTTTACAGCCAGTTATGTGTGTGTTGTGGTATTCTGAACATGATTTACATAATGAGGCAATTGTGGTGTGTGTCCACCAGTATGTGGACCTCTCTACAGCGCAGTCCTGTCCCAGCCCTATCCAGCCACACTGCAGCAACACCAGTGTTGGGAGGGCAGCTCCACCAGACCGCTACTGCATACCCCTGAGTAAAGCACAATGTTGTGTTCCTGTGCTATATGAGCCTATTTGTTACCTAGGTGCTAGCAGAATGGAAGCAAAAATACCAGGAATGTCAGGCTGAACTGGAAGCTTCCCAGAAGGAGTCACGGTCCATGAGCACTGAAATTTTCAAAATGAAGAATGCTTATGAGGAAGTGTTGGACCAGCTTGAGGCTGTCAGGCGAGAGAACAAGAACTTGCAACGTAAGCTTCTTTTTCCTACAGACTTTAATCAAATGTAAGGTATCTGTATAGGGACGCGGGTGGCGCTGTGGGTAAAACCTCAGTGCCTAGGACTTGCCGATCGCATGGTCGGCGGTTCGAATCCCCGCAGCGGGGTGAGCTCCCGTCTTTCGGTCCCAGCTCCTGCCTACCTAGCAGTTCGAAAGCACCCCTAAGTGCAAGTAGATAAATAGGGACCGCTTACTAGCGGGATGGTAAACGGCGTTTCCGTGTGCTGCGCTGGTGCAGGCTTGCCAGAGCAGCTTCGTCACGCTGGCCACGTGACCCGGAAGTGTCTCCGGACAGCGCTGGCCCCCGACCTCTTGAGTGAGATGGGCGCACAACCCTAGAGTTGGACACGACTGGCCCGTACGGGCAGGGGTACCTTTACCTTTACCTTTACTAAGGTATCTGTAATGGTAGATTCACACAACCACTTTTCTCCTGCTTAGTAGTACTGGCCAAAGAACAGGCCTGCTGCTTTTACAGGTTCAGGGTAGGGAGATGTTATTCAGCAGTGCGGTAACTTCCAGCTGATTGCTGCAAAGGTTCATATCCTGCCTTTTTTCCAGACTCAAGGAGGCTTATGCAAATTAAAACACAGATAAAATACAGAAAGCTTAAAACATATAAAAATAATAGTTTAAAAGCAATTAAACTGTAGTAGCGTTAAAGCACTATAAAAACAAATCTTTTAAAATATAGTGAAAACTGCAGAGCATTGTTAAAAGCTCTTTCCTTAAAAACAACAAATATATAAATGCAGGCCGTGTGTGTGTGTGTGTGTGTGTGTGTGCGCGTGCGTGTGCGTATATATATATATATATATATATAGGACATAAGTCTTTTTATTATTAAAAAAATCTTTGCATCTACTGTCCTTTGTGGGAGGGGGGAAATCATACTTCAATTAAATTGAAACATTAGGTATCATATTACTAAAGATTGTAACCATTACGATAAATTACACAATTTCTACCTGCAGAGGAAATTTCTGACCTGACTGAACAGATAGCTGAAGCTGGCAAAAGCAACCATGAATTAGAGAAAGCAAAGAAGCAGATTGAACAAGAGAAGTCAGACCTCCAAGCTGCCTTGGAAGAAGCAGAGGTGAATATGAACACTTTAGAGACAGTATTAATTGGCACTCGCTATACATGGTGTGTCCCTGCCCCCCAGAGGTAGCACAAGGATAAGGACAGACTAAGGTGGCATATATTTGGGGGGGGGGGGCGGGAATCCCTAGCCCATTGCATGAAGTTAAAGTTTTGTGAGAGCAGTGTGTCAATTTTCATAGTGAAGAATTGGACTGCTACCAATCTGGAGCTTTGGGAAGGTTTTTAGTGCCACCTTCTGGTTAAAAATAGAACAAATGATTAAATTGAGAAGACCCATTAGCTACATTGCAAAGGGCAAGCCAAACTAGAAATGCTAATTGCATTTCCCCCGATGACTGGGAACGTGGACTGGGCAAACACCTAAGAATAACAGGAATTGTCAAAAGCCTTCCAGTCTTAATTGTATTATTGTTGGGTAATATTTTCATTTATAGAATCTGTTAATTTTAGAAAAAAATAGTTTCAAGATGGTTAATTTGAACAAAATAATTTTCATGGGAGGACCATTGACACTTCTTAATTACTAAGTGTTTTATTATAAATACAAAATGTTGTATTTATTATTCAGAATGTTTGGGATGTTTCCATTTTACAAGTTGCATCTATGTGTCCATGTTTTCCCCAAAACGATATATTTTTTAAAAAATTAACTGTGCTTGGGGTATATATTTCTCTCCTGAGGTGACAATGGAATACTATGAAGCCTGCTTTCATAGTTAAATACAAAACCATAATTGAAACAAATAATGTTGTTTCATTGATGAAAGGGATCTTTGGAACATGAAGAAGGGAAAATCCTGCGTGTCCAACTAGAACTGAATCAGGTGAAGTCTGAGATTGACAGGAAGGTTGCAGAGAAGGATGAGGAAATTGAACAACTGAAGAGGAATCACCAGAGAATGGGAGAGTCCATGCAGAGCACACTGGATGCTGAAGTCAGGAGCAGAAATGATGCTCTGCGGCTTAAGAAGAAAATGGAGGGGGATCTAAACGAAATGGAAATCCAGTTGAGCCATGCCAACCGCCAAAGTGCAGAGACACAAAAACATCTGAGGAGCATCCAAGGGCAACTGAAGGTCAGCCTAACTGCATACACATGTTGGGGGCTTTGTAACAATTTGCATGAATTCATTTTGTGGTGGTGTAGGGAACAGAATTGAAATTTGACTAACCTCTATACAGTGGTACCTCGGGTTACATATGCTTCAGTTTACAAGCCGCCCAGAGTGGCTGGGGAAACCCAGCCATATGGGCGGGGTATAAATAATAAATTATTATTATTATTATTATTATTATTATTATTACATACGCTTCAGGTTACAGACTCTGCTAACCCAGAAATATTACCTCAGGTTAAGAACTTTGCTGCAGGATGAGAACAGAAATAGTGCAGCAGTGGTGCGGCGGCGGGAGGCCCCATTAGCTAAAGTGGTGCTTCAGGTTAAGAACAGTTTCAGGTTAAGAATGAACCTCCGGAATGAATTAAGTACTTAACCCGAGGTACCACTGTAATGTGTCGTGTTAAAAATGTGTTTTTACTCTTTTTGTGCATCACAAAGAGAGAGCCAATGAAAGGGTTATTCAGTGCCAAAGGAGATTATGAAAGGTATGCTTAACAAAAAACAAATGTGAAGGTAATACAAGTTTATCAAATGCTATTGGCCATGATGGTAAAAGGATAAAAAGTCAAGTTCCCCGAATACTTAAATTTTGTCTTCTGGGACTGAATAACAGGGAATGGACAGCCTGCTAATTAACTGCCTTGTTTCATGTAGACTTGGTTTGACTGCATTTTGATCCTTGTCATAAAGATTCACCCAGCTATTGCTCAAAGAAAACTTCAAAACTATAACGTTTGTCTCTCTACCCTTCACCCAAGGGACTCAAGTTGCATGCTAGCCTTATGGCTTGTTATAATATCCTGGTGTGTTCTGATCCTTATTGTATGCTGCCCTGATAGCTTTACTGCTTGGGTGCCCCTAAAACCTTTTGAGTAAAGTAAAGTAAAGTAAAGTAAAATAAATAAATAAATAAATAAATAAATAAATAGCAGTTCTGTGAGTGAGGAAAACTGACTGAGACTTGACCAAAGTTGCCCAGTGAGCCTTTTGCTGCAATCCTAACCCTGACTCTGCAGTGGTGGAGGAGGCTCAGATCCAGCAGATGTCCTCAACCACTGGCTTCTGCCATGACAGAGGCCCCCAGTGTAGCTGCAGAAAGCATGGCAGAGGCAGGGCTACCGGTGGCAGAGGGTCCTGCAACAGGGCGCTTGGGTTGGGTGGAACAGAGATGGGCTGCCAATGATCTGCTGTATCGTAGGCTGCTCCAGTTCCCAGAGAGGGGGTCCAATTTGGGCCAAAAAAAAAAAAAAAAAAGCATGCAAGCCAGTGTGGCCAACAGGACTTCAGATGCAGTGGGGCCTCAGCTATTCTGTCCCACCCCTGTGTTCCTGGCCAGTTAGGATTCCTTTGCCCATTGTCTGGGAATTTGCATCTTGGCTTCCTGTTTTCCAAAAACAGCTGTCAAATAAATAAAATAAACTATGTGTTAAACAGCCAGGCTGGTGTTAATACCATGCTGCTTGGTATATATTTTAAAACAAAGCTGGAAAAGGGTTTAAGCAAGGGTCATGATCATTGGATTACAAACTCTCTGGCTTTGATTAAAGGGTGTGTTACAAGCCTCTTTCCCATGCTCTACCCCCAAAAGAGAATAAACAAATATGCCATGTCAGTTTTAATTTTTCACAGACAGTGGGAGAAAATCCACTTGGATATTCTGAGATGTGGTGTCTTTTTGCAAACCACAGGATTCCCAGCTTCACCTGGATGATGCTATGAGAGGCAACGATGACTTGAAGGAGCAGTTGGCTATGGTAGAACGCAGGAACAACCTGATGACGACTGAGCTTGAGGAGATGCGGGCAGCTCTGGAGCAGACGGAGCGTGCTCGCAAAGTGTCTGAACAAGAGCTGGCAGATGCCAGTGAGCGTGTGCAACTGCTGCATTCCCAGGTATATAGTCAAAGGAACATAGGCAGCTGCCTTACACTGAGTCAGAACATTGGCTCATCTATCTCAGTATTGTCCCCACTGACTGTCAGTGGCTGTCCAGGATTTCAGACAGTCATCTCTCCCAACCCTATCTGGAGATGGAGATGAAGCGGGGACCTTGCCTGTGCAACTCAGATGCTCTGCCACTGAGCTAGTCCTCCTTCCCCACAGAGTGAGAGGCCAAAACTCCCTGAGGCTGGAAGCAATACGCTTTCTCATCCCCAGCTAGTCTGAGCCAGAAGACAGAACCTGCCCGTTGATTCATCCCTGGAGAAATGCAATAGGACACGTCTCCTCACATGTCCAGTATCTCGGGTCTTGGTTGTGTTGAGCAAATGCAATTGCATTAGATAACGCAGGGGAGTAACTGCTGACTGTGCCCACAGAACACAACCCTTCTCAGCACAAAGAAGAAGCTGGAGACGGACCTTGCTCAGTTCCAAGGAGAAATTGACGATGCCATCCAGGAGGCACGGAACGCAGAGGAGAAGGCCAAAAAGGCAATTACAGATGTAAGTTCTCCATCCTGCTTGCCGCAGGCCCCATTCTACCATGTGTTGGTGACTCCATCTGGGAAGCCATTTGTATGATTTTCACAATGACAGCTGAAACTCTCATATTTTTGCATCAGTACTTAAGCCACACCCGCTTAGCTATTGCATTTGTTGTTCAAGTTAAGTCTAGCCAACCAGTGGTTTCTTCCATTTATGGAGGCAGGGAACTCCTCCTCCCAGGCTGTCCATGGTTGGCCATATTCCTCAGTTGGCTGCTACAGCTGTTGCTGCTTCTGCTTCCCACTGATCTTCCTTCTCCTGGGGCATATACATAATGTAGGGAGAAGGCGTGTTATCACAGGAATAATTGGCAATACCTCTCAAGGGAGAGAATATACCATCTAAGGCCCACTATACCCTTTACCCATCTGCCCTTTAATAATTTGTTATCAAACTCAAGTGGTTAAGATTATGAATACTTCGGACCACACTTCGAAGCAACTATTCTTTCAACTCAGGGAAGTCAACATAGTGTCCTCCAGATGTTGTTGGACTACAACTCCCATCAGCCCAGCCAGCATAGCCAGTGGTCAAGGATGATGGGCACTATGATAGCTACCGCTTCTTTAACTGATGATGAATTCTGGTTTTCCCCATATACAGTACTGGCTTTCTTGCATAGTAGAAGAAATTAATAGATGCTTGTTTGTGTGGTAGAAATCCTTTAAAATTGGAGAGGTTTCTTTCTCTCTTCTTTAGAGTTTGACTAAAGTACCAGCTGTTTCTAAAGAACAGGTTTTTGTTTTACTCCATTTATGTAGTGTGGTTAGCAGTACAGTATATACGGTGGCGCTGTGGGTAAAACCTCAGCACCTAGGACTTGCCGATCGTCAGGTCGGCGGTTCGAATCCCCGCGGCGGGGTGCGCTCCCATTGCTCGGTCCCAGCGCCTGCCAACCTAGCAGTTCGAAAGCACCCCCGGGTGCAAGTAGATAAATAGGGACCGCTTACTAGCGGGAAGGTAAATGGCATTTCCGTGTGCTGCGCTGGCTCGCCAGATGCAGCTTGTCACGCTGGCCACATGACCCGGAAGTGTCTCCGGACAGCGCTGGCCCCCTGCCTCTTAAGCGAGATGGGCGCGCATCCCCAGAGTCAGACACGGCTGGCCCGTACGGGCAGGGGTACCTTTACCTTTTTATATGAATGTCACTGTAGCAACACCTAGTGTCGAAATCAAGCATTACAGCAGAAATTCAGTGCACTTAACCAAAATAAAATAATAATTTTTAAAAATCACTCAAGGCGCTTCCAGACTGTAACTATTTTCGGATGGAATTCAATCACATCTTGGCAAATTAAGGCTGTGTAATTGAAGCTGACATAGCACTCTTGTGAAACAAACCCATTTCCCTAAAAGATCTGACTTTCCCCCCTGTAACTGATGGGCAAAGTGTGGGATAATGTTTGCTTGACACAATGCCATTTGATCTCCCCACAAACAAATCTGGATAAATGTTCATTAAATAACCTCTCCACAAATAAATCAGACTGAGTGCTTATTAAGCAGGACATCTGGAAGCAACCTCATATATCCCAATCCAGAGAGGATGCTCTGAAGTCTGGACCCCAATCCAACTAACCAACCAACCAACCATTGAAAGACAAACCAAATGAACTATGTAAACACACCCTGGTGAGCAGTGAGGTACAGAATCTACAACACTAAAAATAATGTTGGGAGCTGTGCAGAGAAGTGGGCACTTACTGATGTTACCATCTAATTAGGCAGCCATGATGGCAGAGGAGCTGAAGAAGGAGCAAGACACCAGTGCCCACCTGGAGAGGATGAAGAAGAACCTGGAGCAGACAGTGAAGGATCTGCAGCACCGTCTGGATGAAGCAGAGCAGCTGGCCCTGAGAGGTGGCAAGAAGCAACTCCAGAAACTGGAGGCCAGGGTACGCTGCCAGAGCTCATTTTTCAGGGTTGCTTGAGCTTGTCATAGTGACTGATTACAAGCAGAGGTTCATGCACAGGGCTTCCACTGGTGGGTCTGGTTAGGTGAAGCCTGCCCACACTGATTTTGGAGGTACCTTTTCAACATGATAATGCTCATTTAAGTTTTCAAAGATGTATTGACCCTTCCCCGTAAAGTTTGATCTCTTTATCAGAATATTCTGTTGTAGGTACACGAGTTAGAAAATGAGCTTGATGCCGAACAGAAGAGAGGAGTTGAGGCAATCAAAGGAGTGCGAAAATATGAGCGGAGAGTCAAAGAAATCACTTATCAGGTAACGATGTCTTATTCCATTTATTGAACTCCTGGGATTCTCCTCCATTACTATCATTCTCTTTATCTGAGAAAGACAGAAGCAGGTCAGCACAACATATTAACCATGGAACCAGATGAGAGGCAACCCAGGACTTAAATCTTTTTCCTCCATATTTTTTTTGAGTTTCAAAGAAAGCATTGCAACGAGGTTAAAATACATCTAACACTCAACTGAGTGGTGTTTGCAGAAAGTGTCTTCACAGTTGGAGGCAGTATGTCTCTGAATACTAGTTGCTGGGAGCAGTGGCATTGCAACGGGGGTGCAGTGCGCCCCAGGTGCCATGTCTTGGGGGGTGACACCCCGCTGGGGCTCGCCCCACCGTGGCGGTGTGAGCAGCCATTGCGCCGCCGTAGCCACATGTGGAGGATCCTCTGTTTGCGGCTGCAGCCGCAAGCAGAGGATCCTGGTGCTGGCGGCAAACCGCTATGTACAGCGCATGTGCGGTGTCACACACATGCACTGTACATAACGACACCGCACATGAGCTGTACATAGCAGTTTGCCACCATTGCCACTTGAGCGCCGTACGGATGGCGGTAGGATCCATCCGTGCCACTGCAGCCACATGTAGAGGATCCTCCGTTCGCGGCTGCAGCCGCGAGCAGAGGATCCCAGCACCGTCCGTGTGGCGCTGGAGTGGCGCCGCCGGCAAGCCGCTGTGTACAGCGCATGTGCAGCATCGCTACGTACGCCGCATGCGTTGTACGTAGCAACGCTGCACATGTGCACGTAGCAACGCCCCACCCTGGGTGTCACGACCCCTTTGTTCGCCCCTGGCTGGGAGTCTATTGTGGGGAGAGTGCTATTTAACTCTGATCCCGCTTCTGGTCCTGCCATAGGCATCTGTTTGGCCACTGTGAGAACAGGGTGCTGGACTAGATGGGCTTTTGGGCTGAACCAGCAGGGTTCTTATGTACCTGTTCTGCCTGTCAACTTCCAGAGGATAACCAAACTCTGATATCCTCTGAAGGCACGCTCTCAGAGCCTTATAGTGTTAGCATTCCATTTACATTCCATGCAGGCTGAAGAGGATAAGAAGAATGTTTTCAGGCTTCAAGACCTAGTGGACAAGTTACAGCTGAAGGTGAAAGCGTACAAGAGACAAGCTGAAGAGGCTGTAAGTGCACAAATCTCAAATGGCTCCCTTCATGCTTAAACCTATACTGACCATCGTTACTCACCCTGCGTTCCTGTGTGAGGAATGGCAGGGTACAATGAAAAGAAAAATGATGATACAAATAATAAAATTAAAATACACTGTCCAAAGAAACACACAGCTTGAAAAACACTCAGAACTGTTTATCTTTATCTTGTAACCCCTTTCAGGATTGCACTAACATAAATCTTGACACCTCTTCACCCCTAACCCCACACTATACTGTTAGGAAGACCCTGCCCCATAACCCCTACATCCTGGAACCACGTAGAACCACCCATTCCTTATACTACTACTTCCACATGTCAAAGGGGTGTAGTGATAACTCCTTCCCAAACCCCAATTATATCTTACTTGTCTCCTTGACAGTGTTCCACCCACAGAAGTCATATCAATTCTCACATCACAGAACAGCAAGTAGAACCCATGTCTCTCATGATGACACAGATTCACTCCCATGCCATTTACTGTAGCATTCAGGCACTTCCCAAAGCATTCCTGCATAACCAAGCAGAGGACAACCATCTCACACGCTTCTAATCTTCCCTTTCCTGTCAGTGTCTCTATTAGACATCATAGATCACACATCATAGATCCTTTCAGAATACAGCTGTCACTTCAGAGAAAGGGTGGAATACATGATGCTTATCCTCTGCCTCCACAGCTAGAGGCAACAATGCTTCTGAAAGCCCATAGCTGGAAACTAGAGGAGAGGAGTGCTATTGTGCTCACATCTTGCTTGCAAGTTTCCCACAAGCATCTGGTTGGCCACTGTGAGAACAGAATGCTGGACTAGATGGCCCACTGGCCTGATCCAGCAAGCTCTTCTTACTGTATGTTCTTACACAGGTATAGCTTACCTCCCACAATTTCCAGCATTCTAGTTCGCATGCTATGGTAAACAATAGTTAATGGTTTAAAACAGTAAATGGGTCAATTTGGGCTGCTTTTCCATGATCCCTGTCTTAGTGTTATGTCCAAACAGAGATTACGCTTTGCTTCAACAAACCACACCCGGTAAGCCAAGAACAAACCTTAGATGACTGCAGGTCATTGTTTGTCAGAATCGGAACAAACCATAATCCTTCATTCAGATGCAATGCTAAGCCCAGGCATCATGGTTTGTTTCCCCTGCACAATGTCAGGGAGGAGGTAAACAGCCTGGATTGGTGCAGGATGTGAAATCAATATCGTTGTGGGACACCTTTGCTGTCCCTTATATACGATACCTTTGGCTCTGCTTGTGTTGTTGATTTCATGTCATGTTTCTGTTGTGCAAGGAGGAGCAAGCCAACACGAACTTTGCCAGGTTCAGGAAGGCTCAGCATGAGCTGGAAGAAGCTGAAGAGCGAGCAGATATTGCTGAATCCCAGGTCAATAAGCTGCGGGCCAAGAGCCGTGACATTGGGGGAAAGGTAAGTGTCTTGGTGGGGTGGGATGATGTACTGGCGTAGAAGGAAACTTTTCTCTGCACAAGGATAACACCTTCTATCTTTCAGTTGGTACTGTTAATCTGCTTGGTTTCAAATTCCTACTTAGCTCTTCTAAGAAGTAGCCCCAAAGTGAAACAGTGTATTTTCCTCCATGAAGTTTAAATTGCCTTTGAGCCTTCCACTTGCTACTGAACACTTGGTATTTGTTAGTGGAGAAATGAACAGGAGAGCATTTGCAATGCAAATTAGTATTCCGGTCAATGTAAGTTTCATATTCACATTAAAAAGAAATTGTCACTCTAAGGCTGCAATCTTATGCATACTTACATCGGAGTAAGTATCACTGAACTCAGTGAGGCTTATTTCTGAGTCTCTGGCGATCACTCGTAGCCGAGTAAGATTGTCTTCCATAAACATGGTTTTAACAATGAGTCCGTAAGTGACTGTGGAGGCCAATTCTGGATCCACACGTCCTTCCACAGTAGGGACATTGGTTTCTGGGCGGGAGTTGATCACAGTGGGGATTTGCCAAGCGTGCCTTCCTCTTAGCACATTTCTCTCCTGCATCCTGAGTTTGAGTGTCTTCAAAGCCCATGACACCTTTGGTAAAGGCTGTTCTCCAACTGGAGCACTTGCAGGCCAATGTTTCCCAGTTGTCAGTGTTTATACTACATTTTTTTTAGATTTGCCTTGAGACAGTCTTTAAACCTCTTTTGTTGACCACCAGCATTACACTTTCCATTTTTAATTTCGGAATAGAGTAGTTGTTTTGGAAGACAATCATCAGGCATCCGCACATGACCAGTCCAAATGAAGCTGATGTTGAAGAATCATTGCTTCAACACTGGTGATCTTTGCTTCTTCCAGTACACTGAGTATTTCTGGGTAGACATTTGTAGGATTGCATTACACACCTAATGTGGCTGGGGCAACCCAGTCAGATGGGTGGGGTACAAGTAATACAACAACAACAAATGTAACAAGATGCCCAATGTATGGTAATTTTCCACCTTTCCACTACTTAGCTCCATGAACAAGAACACCAATGTAAACATTTTACATTTGAATATTTGAATTCTCCTCCCTTGACTTGATAGTAAGCTTTGCAACCTATCCATCGATTTAAGTGTAGAGAAATATTATCAAGCGCAGTCATGAGCTATCCTCCAATAAATTTGAAATGGCAAGAGATAGACACATACATATGGTACAAATATCTTCAATAAATATTGGAGTGTTAAGTACTAACAGATTTGTAAAGCCAGAAGCAATGACTTAGATCATGTTCTCCGATTTCCTTACAAACATGTGCTACATAATTTCACGGCAGCATCTTCTCTGTGCTTCATGGCTCTTAAAACAAATAGGAATTGTGTCCAGACTAGAGTGAAATCTGGAAGCCTGGGCTACAGCCTGGTAAGGATCTTCTTTCCCCTCTTCTTTTGATTTCTCTCCTTTACCTTGCTACTTCTCCTTCATATTATACTTCTGAGCCAAGGAAATAAAAGCAGTTGCTTTTCCAGTTGCTGTGGTGGCAGCAGTCCCACCACAGTTTGTGGGGGGCAGAGGGAGAGGAGAATAAGACAGAGCAATTCTTCCACACCAGAAAAATAATGCAAGAGGGAGAATTCCTGCCTGTTAGTTAGTCCCTTGACATACTCTTGCTACCTACACTGTTCACATATAAGCTGTTCCGTTACCTCATTATCTTCTACATTTGAATTTATTTTTGTACAGAAATCGGAAGAATGAGACGAACTACGCCTGAAAAGATTCCACACAATGTGGAATTCTTCAGAGTGGAATGTACATGTAAATCATTGAACCTGAATAAAAATACATTTTAAGCAACATATTTCAGTTGTGACCTTTTAATGTTTCATCAAAAATCCGAGGCGCCTGTGAGAAATTGTGAAGACTCCCATGGGAATGCGGGCATCAAGCGTACTTGCAGAATTCTTGAGAGCTGCATGAACAGTGGTGTGCATTTGTGAACATGTATATTTTTGTTTGTTTCACTCGTTTGCTTATTTATTTATATCCCACACCTTCATTATAAAATAATTCTAAGGCAGCAATTACAAATGTATTAAAGCTGATTCAACATTACCGCCCCCCCCCCCCCCAAGTCTGGTAATACAAAAGCAACACTAACCAACCAAACAGTGCAAGTATTAGAGTAAAAACCGCATTAGAAAGCCGGTTGAAGCAAATCTGTCTGGGCACATCCATAAGACCTATTTATTGAGCATTCACTTCAATTTGTTTGCGGGGGGAATGCTGCATCAAAGCAAATGTTATCCCACACTTCCTAGTGCATTTCCCCATCACTTTTCTTATTGCTGAAAGCCCAATTTTTCATGAACTACGTTTGTTGCACAAGAAATCCCAGTCAACTATAATTTTGCGGCTTGAATTTGCTGGTGTGTGATTGAATCCCACTCCCCAAATACAGTGGTACATCAGGTTACATACGCTTCATGTTACATACACTTCAGGTTACAGACTCCACTAACCCAGAAATAGTGCTTCAGGTTAAGAACTTTGCTTCAGGATGAGAAGAGAAATTGTGCTCCGGCAGCGGCGCAGCAGCAGCAGGAGGCCCCATTAACTAAAGTGGTACTTCAGGTTAAGAACAGTTTCAGGTTAAGTACGGACCTCTGGAACGAATTAAGTACTTACCCGAGGTACCACTGTAGTGGCAGTCTGGAAGTGCCCTGTATTTTGAAAGACTGAGAAAATACAGCAAGACAACTTCCACCGGTTAGAGTGTTATTATTACTATTATTATATTTGATACTGCCTTTCATCTGAAGATTACAGGCTGGTTCACAACATAAAAATACAAAATGAGAACACAAAATACATAATAAAACAAACCAATAACCCCCATCCCACGAATACATTTTAAAGTCGTAGAATGTTAATCAGCCAAAGGCTATAGCAAAACATTTTCGCCTGGCGCCTAAATATATGCAGTGAAGGCTACCAGGCGAGCCTCTCTAGGGAGAGCATTCCACAAATGGGGAGCCACCACAGAAAAGGCCCTTTCTCGTGTTGCCACCCTCTGGACCTCTTGTGGAGGAGGCTCTTGAAGAAGGGTCTCAGTTGATGATTGCAGGGTCTGGATCGGTTCCATTTCTCTAAGCACCCTTGCTGAAAATGCCAACTCTGTAGTTGCCAGAGGTGGGGGCAACCAGAGAAGGGCATACAATGAAAATCTTACTGTACTGACAGGTACACATGAGGAAACACTTCAGGTATTTGAGTCCTAAGCCTAAGGCATGTGCCTCAGGGAGACAAGGATTATTTTCATCTCCACATTATCCAAAGTTGCATCTGAATGGGAAGAAGAGAGAGAGTATCCCTGTTTAAGAACAGTGGAGTTAATAAATACATTATTTGGCAGAAGGGGCTTGTTATCTGCACAAATAACTTCTGCTGCCATTGAAGATGCAGCTCACTGAAGATTTAAGTGCTTACTTCCATGAGCAAGGTGAATTCCAAAAGCAGAATTTCTTTTTTAAAAATAACCACTTCAGTCTACTGTGAGCAGCTCCTCTGATATTAAAATATTTACACAAGTAGACCATATGTGTTATTTTGCAGATAAATCCTGAGAGGTAACATTTGCACTCGAATGAAGGGCCATATGTAGTTGACTGCATTTTGCATTGGGATCCTGCTGTCAGTACATGTAACATTTAGTAAAATTGGTAAGCGCATAATTTTTACACTGTGCTGCCCTTTTTCCTGCTCTTATGTACACCCACGTTAGAAAAACATAATGTGTGAAGAGACTTGTCCTCCAGATACGTTATAATTCTTCAAGCAGCTAAAAAAAGCAAACGGCAACAGACCAAACATAACAATGCAGCATTGTCGTGACTAAATCAATTCATAATGACTCAGAATGAAGAATATTCCCTGCCATGAATATATAAACAAATACTGACTGCTGGCGAGAGTGACACAAATCCCCAGAATTCCAGAAGATGATTTATTTGGATGTTCACACCAGAACAGCACATTTCTCCTCGAGGTATAAATCATGCATGTGCCTAGGCAGGAGCTAGTGCCAAATGGAAACTTTCTCCCAATACCATAGGCTGAAAAGCCCTCTCCATAATTAGGCTTAAGGGCTTGAAACGGACTATGCATGCTCACTGAAATGACTAACAGGGGTCTACTTTACAACCAGCGGCACGTCCACAGATCTGATCTCTAAGCATGCGGAAGCGAGAAGAGCTAATCGCTGGGTGAAAGCCACCCAAATCCCAAGGAGGAATGTCATCTAATGGGCTCTCTGAGTCACAAAGGCTCCAGGACTTATTTTGGTTCAAAATAGAGCTCAAGCTTCTCTCATGCCTTGCCTGGCCAGTATTTTCAGTGAAATGTCTAATAAATGTAGAACATGAGCAAATAAAATTTCATGGCATACCGTAAATAAATATTTGGGGACAGGAAATAGCCATATTGGAATGTTAGGCTAGACATAGGTTTGCCTGTTAAGAAAAAGATGCGGAAAACTGTATTTGATTGCTTGTATTTGATTATATGTTGTTCTTATATTCAACTAATAAAATATTCAAAAAAGAAAAAGATGCAATGGACCTTAGGCTCACATCACCCTACCCTCGCCTTGTTCTCCAGTGGAGCTGAGAGAAGTTTAGAAGCTTCCCCATTCGTTTCACTTCACCACAGTTTGTACTGCCCAAACCAACAAACTGTGGTTAACGTTAACCTGTTTGTTCGAAAGGAGCCGACTTTAAACCATGGCAGAGTAGATGAGCCCTAGAATTGCTGCAGCTTATTCTCATCCTGCTAAACTTGGTTTCCTCATCGTGGCTGCAATTAGGGCCATAAACACCTCCCCTAGCACTGGTAGTACTTTTCCACTTCTCCCCTCACTTTGGAAGAAAGAAAAGAGCCATATTTGCCTTCAAAACCCTAGAACAGGTGGCTAATATTGGTCGAAATGACAGTCAGCCACCCCACCGCTGGCCACATGGCAGTGGTGGACATCGTCAGTGTATGTGCAAGTCCACACACACTAAACACTCATCAGACATGTACATTCAACACATATACAGCATATGCAGGCACACAACACTCTTTTCCTCTCACTCTTTCACACATACAGTGAGGGGGGAAAGTATTTGATCCCCTGCTAAATTTGCCCGTTTGGCCACTGATGTAGAAATGACCAGTCCATAATTTTAATGGTAGGTTTATTGCAGCTGTGAGAGACAGAATAACAACAGGAAAACCTTACTGCCATTGACAGAAATGTGACCACCATGGGATTTTATCTCCCAGTAAATACTTAACATAGAATTGAGCTGACCTCCATCATGGTTTGTCTGCTAAATGACCAATCATTTCCTGATGAATTCCAGCATAAAAATGGTAAAACAGAACAACATGTTCCATAGATTTCAGCTCTTGTTTGTTAACCTTGAGGAGAGCGAAACACCAGCATATCTTCTCCTAAACATTTTAGATGGCAGCACATTAAATCTGGCCACAGTTAAAGCAGCATGAGACACATAATCAGAATCTCCAGCCCTTCCCTCTCTAGCACTGGGGTGTGGGTGGAAATGCTGACTTTTCTACTCAAAGAGCAGGCAGAAGGCTTTATTTCCAGACATGTCAGCACTAACAAGGCTCAGTGATCACTTCAGGTGCTGACTGACACTTCTCCAACCGGCTGTGACTTTATAGTAAAATGCACCCAACTTTCTCTTGTCCAGTTGCTGCTATTCTGACAGCATTGTTCTTTTCCATTTACATCTAGTTCAAAAAGAAATGTTTGTTGGCTTTTGCAAAATCTAGCCCCAATTGTTTCCAATACTAGGAATTAGAACTCTCTCTCTCTCTCTCTCTCTCTCTAACACACACACAAACACACACACACACACACAGAGAGAGAGAGAGAGAGCGCACAGATACAGATTACACAACTGTAGTAAAGCATTTTCATTGATTTGCACTATTGTGCAATTAAGCAAATAGTTATTATCCCTGATGAGATACATACAGTAAAACAAGGCTATTGTATCATTCTAATCTGAGATTTAAAAGAACTAGGCAATGTGAGAAGAGGGTCTGGGAACTGAGGAGGAGATAGATGTGAGATGGAAACTACAACCAAAGTTCTCAAATAATCCAGTTGTTAAAAAACAAAACAAAAACAACCTTAAATGAGATGACTTTTTTCTTGTTCCATCTATATTTATGGAATGAATATAAACTGATCTGTTCATATGATGTGTCTTCGCTCCACTACACTAAGAATTGTAGTGTTTATAGATTGTACTGAGAATTGTTTTTAGAGATTCCTAATTCCCCAATTGACAGCTAAAAGGATTTGAAAATGGTTTTCATTTGTAGTACAGATATACTGTGAATATGTGTCCACCTGCATGAGGACATGTTCCTGGTCATAATGAAAAAGCAACTAGATGCAGCAAACAAAACTATTGCACATATGCCTCTGCTGAGCAAAGAATTAGGAAACTGATCTGGTAGTTTAAAATCAGGGATTGTTTGGAGAAGGAGAAAAGTGAAAGAAATCAACTGCAAGCAGTGTCATCTCCTATCAAGAATCTGAAAGTGAGTTTGGCAGACTTTGTGGGCACTAATGCGGAGTTCAGGTGCGAGGCTATTATATAGAAGCGGATCTGCTGGACAGGATTCTCTCCCACCACCCTTCCAAATATATGTACTCCTCTGCAAATTTCTAAGGATTAAAGCTGTCATGGGGATGTTAATTCTGAATTCCTGGGGGTTTAAGAGATTAGGACCTCATCTTTACCACTCTACAAACATGGCATTTTACATTTAATTGTAAGA